GGAATGCACCCAGGAAATCAGTAAATCCGATTTCATCGACGATGGAAGGGCCGGATGTGGATGGAAAACTCAACGTCGATTGGACGGAACTCTTTCCCGTGCCTTTCACCTGTCAACAGCACCCCCTCCCCCACCACACCTGCGAGCAAACCACTACAACAACCGTGGAACACAGACTATTCCCTAGAGAGTGTGGCTCGAGTTATGCCCCGTTCACAACCGTAACGGATAATTCTTTAGTAACAAACTGAGAGCGAGCGTGAGAGAAATGTTTCTTTTCCCATGATATCTAGAACCTCCCCGCAAACAGCCGTTTATAGGATATAGGTAAACTATTTTGGTTTTACGCGGCGTGCCACTAAAGCTCGCCGAGTTCTAGCTAGCGAGGTTTTGACTATGGCATCACCGTACGTAAGCTCATAGAATTTTGGTTATGATGAAGTTGCCCGCGCTGGCGGGTTGTAGATCGCGGCTACCCCCCCCCCCCAAAAAAAAAAAAAAAATTGCATTGCAAGAAGTAGATTGACGAGGATGAGATTCAAATTCATGAAAAATTAATGGCCTAGGCCTCTGAGACCCTTCGGTACTACTATTGTAGTTAACTTGCATCTGTGGGAAAGCAATCAGGCAAAGCAAATCAAGAAAGCCCATAGTTGGAATAGGCGGGAAGGCGTAAAGCACGGCAGTGGCTTCTACATAACATCCGCAGCCTGCACCCAGCGCTGCATCCTATTTTCAAAAGCTTCCTCCAACCTCTCTGATGTTGTATTTCCCCGGTTCTGCCTCGCCTCAGAAGTAAATAAAGAATAGCTTCCTCCCAACACAGCTCTGACACAGAGGTCTCATCTCCCTTTGCTTACGTTCAATTTCTATCGTCGTCCTCATCGTTACATACAACAAGCACATTAATATCTTCTCAACCCCGCACGCTATACCTAATACCAAAGAAATCATAGTCTCCATCGGGATACCGTCGATTCGGCATTGACGCATCATCATAATCGTCAAAAACTCCAACTTTGGCAGCTTTCCACCAAACCACGTTTAACTGATACCTATCTCCACAAAGGCACGTTTCTGACGTGCTGGAACTCCGAAAATAACTACCATCGTCATACCAAAATTTTATAATTTCAAATTTCTGTTCTCTTTGTTACGAGAAGCATCTCCTGGGAGGAACTCCATATTTCGCTATAACTACGTTTGAGGAGAAAGAAAGGCGAGGCCTTCATCTGACCTCGGTTTATACCGCAAACCTTCGTTTTTTATCGTTAGGTTCTCGAACAAGACCCCCGCGGAGGTCAGAAAATAGATATTTTGGTCTGCTCGCAATCTCTCTCTGCTCGATTTCTAGACGATATCTCGGAATCGCCGTTTTTTAATTTTATATTTGGCGACAATTGGAAGAAACACGATTCCCGATTACGTCTTCTCATCAAACAACAGAATTTGGTGTGTTCCCCTCAGCTTTAGTAGGCCACACACCGAAAGTAGGAAAGACGTGTCTTTTTGTTTTTGAGTTTCTTAGGGCGCCCGAAATCATATAAAGTCCGTAAACATGAGCGCTGTAGCAATCCCGCCACAACAGCAAGCACCACACACAGCTTCTCTAAACACACCTGGCTTCTTCACCCAGGCATTTTTGGAGTTAAACGTGTTCGAGCAGTGCTTCTCATCTCTCCAATCCTCGGATTCCACACCCTCCAGCTCCACCCCTTCCTCAACCTCAACGTCAGAAGAAAAACTTTCAACGTCCACTGCCAGTTTAGAGCCACCTTCTCCCGGGACGGTTATACATCAGAAAGACAAAACAGAATATACCACTCCGGTGGAACCAGATCTGAGTTTACCAAGCCCAATCATGGAGCCTCACGTTTATACTGTTGATAACCGTCGGTACTCCGTACAAGAATCTTCAGAGATTCACGACTCTCAATATTTTGCGGACAGGAGATTCTCCATGCCTGATACGCATACACTTACATGGGCGGCCATGGGTCCTGAGTATGACAACCAGCAAGCTCATTTACGTCCTGATAACTTCTATCTTCCCGCTCAACCCACTCCCCCTATCTCTGTTCATTCGAATTCGCCTATGAATCGTTACAACACCCCTCTCAACTCTACTGGAGGTGTTTCGACTCCTCCCCGTATGCATCAAACCCCCGAGGGGCCTTTGTCACCTTTGGACGGAATGATCGGACACCCCGACGGTGGACTATTTAGACCACTCCCCGGGCAGACGACTCCACCGGCTGACAATGATTTTGGCGGTAATGTTCAACCGATCGACAACGATTATGGCGGTAACATGGAGATGGATACCCAGGAAGTTTTGGAAACGTCCATGCCCCCTGAAGCTTTCGAATCCCCCAGCTCTCCTCTTCAAGCAAGGCCCAGTGTACGTAAGCGCGGAATTGGTAAGCCGACAGCTGCGGCGACTCGCAAGGCAGCTACAACAGTTAAGCTCGGTCCTGATGGGAAGCCAGTTGAAGATGATAGGAGGCGCAAGAAGTTTTTGGAACGCAACAGGGTTGCTGCCAGCAAGTGTCGTCAAAAGAAGAAGCTCTGGATGCAGAAACTTGAGGAAAATGCCCGCAATGCGCAATTACACGCCAAAAGTCTTAAGGAGCAAGTCACTGCTTTGAAGGATGAGATGCTCAACCTCAAAGGCATGCTTTTGAAGCACACTGGTTGCGGTTGCCCGCAGATCCAGACATATCTCGAGAATGAAGCGGCCAAGGTTGCCCAAGCTGCTCAGACCTCTTTGGATACCATGGCTTCCGCTTCCGCAATGGAGGGACCCACCCCCTCCACCACATTCTCTGAGGCTGCCAATAGCCTGCTTGGCGAGAACGACAACATCCTTGATGACGAATACGAGTTCCCGAATGGCAATTTCAGTGGCAGTTTCCGCAGCAGCAGCTCTGGATCCCTCTAAATTTCCACCCTTTACGATGTAACGTACGTGTAATGAGAGCACACTGGGTTAGGGCGTTTTTGGCTTTTCAAAATTTCTCAACGGACGGCGATTTTTTCTCTTCCTCTTCTCTTTTAGGGTTTTCCCGGAACATATGGGGTATGTAAATACACGTTTCTTCTATTTCCTTTCATCTATTCTTTTCTTAGGGACTCATCGGAATAATGGGAGATTGTATAAAAGTACATGTCTTTTTCATTGTCGTTTTTGATTTATATATATATACACATATTTTTATACTCTTTTTACTCTAGTAGTACTCTTTTCTGCTTCATCTATATATATTATTTTCCTTTTCCTTTTCCTTTTCCTTTTCTTTTTTTTTTTTTTAGGCCCGGGGGGGTGGGGAGTTCTACTCTTTTCTGCTTCGGCCATATCCCCCCCCCATTTGTTGCTCTTTGTACTCGTTTCTGCTTTTAACCCTGGCTATTATCCGCCTTCCCTCCCATTTCTTTCTATCGTCTGTCTTTACATTTTTATTCGTCCTCCCCCTTTTCTTATCATTTCCTCCCCTCATATGGGTCCGCAACTGCATGTTGTGATGATGTCAACAAGTACAAGCAACGCGAGAGAAGGACAAAGTGGTGTTATTATTGGGGTGAGATGGTACATACGAGGAGTTAACATAATATATATTGACTAGCGCAGCGACTAGACTGCGCAGGTGAATCATATATGTAGTTAGATACATCAAAGAATAAAAAAACAGCAACAGCAACAGCCACATGAGAATGGCTGTGCTGCACTGCATGTAACTGTCTGTTCAAGAGCATAAGTGAATATCGGATGAATAAAGGCTCAGGGTTCATCTGAGAATGGAGTTGGAAGTTGGCGTGATGCTCTTTATCACGCATGATCATGTGATCCGAGTGATATTTAATTTGTCACGGTGAGACCACATGCCAAGCCCAGTGAGAGTTCCAAGCTTCGTGGTGGATTTGCACTCCTCTCTCGTTTCTCCTTTCTTTTTCGTCCGCCGGTTTCAGTGATAGGCGAGAACCGAATAGAATAGAAAGAATCAACATTGCCAGATCGCGCGGAGGTCTCAGAATCTGCATAAGAGTTTACTCTGCCTCTAGAGTACAACACCAGCGCTACGGTACCTAGAGTACAGGGTGCTTATCGATGCGAAATCCGTATGGGTTGCAGGGTTAGGGGTCCTCGTATCACAATGGTAAAGCAGAAACCCCATCTGCCAACGCGCATCAGCTGGCTGGGCAATCGCCGAGTATCACGATGCATACACATCATACATACACAGGGATGAATGTCAATGATTAGAATTCACCACATACATTGTATGTGCATACCACACACATGAGTGTACATATGTAGGTATTGGAACCGCACGAATTAGATACAACCGAGCAGTCGGAGTCTCGGTTTCCCATGGACGTTGGGAGGGAGGGAGGTAGTAACTAATCTAGAGCTTTGTCTCCAGGAGATTTGGATCTACTCTGGAATCGCGGCGAGCGCCGGGCTTGTCTGGAATCTCAGACATCGTTGTTGGAGGGAGGTGGGTGACACAAGACATTGTAGGGCTGATCTTTGGGGTAATGAGCGAAGGGACATGATTAGTATGGTGCCCACAAGATAGAGCATCTAGGTTGAAGACCTCTGCATGCGAGGCCGTTTTTCAAAGGAATATCTTTCGTTTAATAACGAGTGCAGAGCCGATCGAAACGTCGTGTGCAGATCAATGCGACAAAACTACTGCTCTAGTGGCATGCGCAAAGACCCAGATAACTCGGGAGAATAAAACCGAAATAGCACCCCATCCCCAAACCACCATAATGATATATTAGACTCGGAAATTGCGTTAAATTAGGTTTCTAGCAGTTTCTACTGTATCTCTCGCAGGACTGAGCATCTCATATATTGGCCCGCGTATTTATGTATCTATTTGAATAAACCTCAGCTACAGGAAAAGGCGCGCAATAATCATTTCCATGTCAATGATACATATTTAGACAGGTTCACATCGGCTCAATTCCCTCATGTGAATGGAATTACAGAGGGATTATTCGGGAAGGAGTCGATAGGACTGGTATCATAAATCAAAGTGATTAGCAGTGTTAAACCTGGGGTGGTTAATTGTAGGATGAAATACTCTAAAATCGTTAAGGTAGTGGTGTGAACAGGAGATCGATATCACAAGGTTGAGTTCGTTCCGCTTTTGATATATAAAACACAGCTCTCGGTGCGGGAATTATCTCGTGGATATTATATATACACCTTCGGCATTCTAATACTCCTCCGCTGGTTTCAAAGTATTCTCAAACCATAGGCGGTTTGGAAACAACCTCGCAATAACCTTACCTCGGATTAAAGCCAGCGGCACCGGCCCATAGTTTCTCGAGTCATGAGAAAAGGGTAGATTATCACCAGTTGTCCAACAGTGGCCCTCAGGAACCTAATATGTCAACCACCTCCTTCCACTCCACCAAGCGATGAATAGAATATACGACATACCTGCACCATCTTCCCTGGTGCGCCAACCGGATCCGCCACGACAAAGTCTCCAGGCATGCCAATGATCCGTTTGACAACACGCTCACCGGAGCCAACATAGACGGGGTGGAGATAGTTTACCAAATCGCCTACTTCCATGCCACGGCCCCGACTGTGGAGCTTCGAAATAACGATCCAGTCGCCTAAGATGTTCATGGTGGGGAGCATTGATGCGCCAAAGGTATAACCGACGGAGTAGAAATGCCCCCAGAAGAGGTGGGCGAAGAAGATACCTTGGACGACACGCACGCCTGTACGCGCAATAACGCGGGGTTCGGGCGGGTGGAGTTCGAACAGGCGGGCGAAACGAGATTTGCTGAAGGTGCCGAAGAGTCGGTTCATTGTAGCCGTGGTGGGGGTATCAAGGTGATTAAGGTGGGTGATGGATGAGACGTTTAATTAGGTCATCCAAACTGGCACTATTAGCTACATGTAACGCTGTGCAGCATGTTACCCAGCTTGATTGTTTAACAATTGAATCCAACGACATATGGCGCGAGAATGCATAGGGGGTGGGTGTGTCAACTTCAGAGGAATGGGAATTAGAGAAAATTCCACCGCTGGGCTAGGCGCTAGTACCATTATGGGAGTAGATCTCTCAATTTCTATTGATTGATTGGCTGCAAACGCCGAAGTTTACACATCTACCCACCATAGCTTCTTGGGCGCGAGCCATACACACACACACACACGACCGATGAGCATGAGTGCATGAGCTCTCAAAGCTTGAAGAAGAGATCAAATTTCTAACTTGGATCATCTTTCTAATTAGATAACGACAAAACTTGAGCTCGAAACCTCTTTCTCATCCAACTTCAATTGATCGACCGACGCTGATCACCTGTGTCACGAGAAACAATAGAGAGCTGTGGTTGGCCAAGGTTGTGAAGAGGTTGTGCGTGCGTTTGCGTTGGCACAGAGGGATACACATCGATCTAGACGTTGGTTTTTGGATCTCGCGTGGAGAAATTAACCTTTGAGCTGCGATTGATGCTACTGCACAAAGTATGCAGTTCGTGCATTTCTCTAGAGTATGTGAATGTCTTGGCATAACTTATGGAGTTTCTTCATTCTCCAAATCGACCCTGCTTTGAGCCACATGTTGTTTAGAATAGTTTTTCCGGAAAAAGAATGGCGAATACACACCCATTCCGTCACTATGTGCAAAGAAAGGGGTAAAAGGAGAGATCCCCTATGGTATATGGTCGAATTCAATCCTTAAAAGGTCCCCGATTCCCTTCTAATGTTTTTTTTACTCTACTGCGTACTTGAGATCGAGGTCTCGATAGGGAGAACCATATTGACAGTTAACAGCTTCTAAATATATACACGGACGGGCCTGGGGTAGGATGGCCTGTAACCATGCCCCTTCAAGCTCACCAAGATCAATATCCTCACGATACCTGGACTTTACCCTATCATAACCCTCAAATGGCTCAAACTCCTTGCTATGGCCCAGGACCGAAGGATATCATGGCTGTAGAATGATATCGAATTGCTTGATATCATCTTGCAGGCTTAATTTCACTATATTTATGTGTTTGATATCACCTTGCAGCATCAACGCGGCTGGCAGTCTGATCATGGTCAACTCCAGCGGCCGGTGAATACATCACAGGATTCCAGCAATTTCCATCGATCTGCATCCTACAGCTACCTAGAACCCCTTACCGCATATGCCGTCACGCTCAACTCCTTTCTGTCATGCAGAGTAGTCAATGCTGACACATGTCACACTGGTACTTGCAAACCCTAGAACGGCTACACCGAGGTCCCTTTTCCCATGTGGCAGGTATTCCTGCCTAATTATTCCATCTCCTCCGGTCGGAACAGAAATTGCAAACCCCATGGAATGAAAAAAACCTGTTTTTTTTCCCAAGAATTGTTTTTTCCCCTCTTCCTTGTTGACGACGCGTGGCGTCTGGCAGTTTTCACCTCTACACAGTACCTCAGATATGGCAGCCACACACACACACACGACGTGGTGGATCTCTTTCAACAATCAGTTGAGTGCATTTAGTTCGACAAGAACAGTGATTCCCTATTCACCTTATGCAGCTTGTGGTTACTGCACGGCTGTTGTGGAGTTGGCGCTTGCATACGCCACTCATATGCCTGGAATTGAGGCCTATAACTGCTGGAATATCACCTACTGTCGTTCATGGGGTATTGGCGGATACTGGGTATTGGCGAATTGCAGGTAAAAGTTGGCTTGGCTGTCTCTTTTTTGCCCTGTCCGCCATCACCCAGTATCCGCCAATACCCCGTGAACGACAATACTGGTTTATGAATATATTTATGTACCTAGATAACTAGGGCAGCACAAATTTCAATGGTATGTATTCGCTCGTTTTCAGGGGAATAACCAGCAAATGTAGGTTTTTGTGCACAGGAAATCTTGTCTTTCTCAGCAGCCTAGAGTATCAAAAAAATGTATGCACTGATACCCTGTATAACGGGTCAAAAGCCACGCGACCAAATCAAGAAACTTGATTTTTATTTTGAATTTTTTCACCCGGAAAAGATTAGTTATTTTTTTTTTTTTTTTTTTTTTTTGAGAAAGGGGAGGCGAGGGCCGGAGAAGAAGTGCGAAAATATCATGCCTCAAAAACCTCTCACGTTTATCTCCCCACGAAAGGATTTTCAACGAAACCGGGGACAATAAAAAAAAGAGAAGGGGTATTCATCAGAAACAGGGGGAATCAAATCTACGGACCAAGATTCCGCTGGTCAATCGGGACTAGATGGATTCCCACAGTGAAAGGAAGGTGCGGACGACAGACGTGCTTGAGCCACAATTTGAGATCGAAAGATCTAGTGGAGGACTGCATATGTACACACATTTACAGGGATCCCAAAATGGTAAGATCCACCTCATTATCTAGACTACAATGTCCCGATCGGGCGCACACTACTATTTGTGATATATAGTAAGACGGAACATAAATCCGTCCCGCGGAGAGGTGTTATTTTTTCTACCTATGTTCTTGGGAGAGTCACATATTTAACAGCATAAACCTGGCTCGAAAAGGTCCGAGTGCAGCGTTGTATGCTGGCTGCTGAAGTCATTATACATACAGCTAGCTAGCGGAATGGTGAAACTGGAGGGTGGGACCCAAATATGTATTGGAGCGAAATCATTTGTTCTCTTTCAAATTCACAAGGAGATTCAGAGAAGGTCACCAGGCAGTGCTGATCCGAGAAGTGACTTTACGCCATGATGTCAATAGAGTCTCTCCCCGAGACTTCTTTCTTTTGCAATCAGCAATAAGGTGCTACTTTAATTGTAGCTGAAAGACCAAACGACGTCGTTGCACCAGAGCCCAACCTTGCAGGCTGTGACATCGGGTGCGACATTAATTTGCGAACCCCGGATCATTGGTTTGGGTCGTAGCAACCGAGAGCCCCGCCAATTGCAATATCGGTGAGCTGATGGACAAGAAACTGTTTGTTATGGCGATCATATAATAATGTCTTGTTCGTAAACAGAGCAAGATCCGAATGAGATACGTGCAAATACCATGTCCGTATGTCTGCTGATGTAGAGGATATCCTCCAGTCATCGGGCTGCGTGAGTGTGGATAATGTTGACTCTGATGTGTTGAGGTTTCATGTGTTCTTTACATACATGTATTGTTTGATGTCTTACGTATATCAGGGTTAGGGCTGTTCATGTCAACTTTGTGATCTTCAAACCTACCTGGAAACAAACTGCCTAGCTTCGGGCTAACGATATGACTTGCTATGATATCTAGATTTTGTCTCAACAGTATTTTAGAAAACAGTAGGTTTTCGTAATGTGGCGCAGGTGTACCTCGATCACAGGTCATCACGCGATGGTATGTTGTGGCGGTGTCGAGTCAATCCTCGTACTCACATCCCTTCGTTCGTCAGAGCAAAAAGGGAGACATATTAGGCTCGCGACGGCGTGGTGGAGAAACTAGAAAAGATATAGAAGAGGTCACGGGAGGTGACTTCATAGTCACGGAGTGAGGGTTAGGTGTACTATCGAGTAAAGGTTTCCTACTAGCTCCCGGTCGTGAAAACACACGAAGGGATATGCGAATCTCCATCTACAATAGTACGGAGAACAGAAAGTAATTTATCTTACTGACCCTCTGCCAGGATGAGATGTCCTTGTTCGTGCGAAAGTTGTTGCTGCCCTTGGTTAAGAATACCAATTAATCAACCTTGCAGATATCTAGATCAGGAATATACCACAAACTGTCCGTGTACTAGTACTTATAGAAACCTAGGTTTTCAATGTCAATCCTAGAATAATACGAGAGCCTTTTAGTATCTATGTATCATAAAAAAGGGTTACCAACTATCGGATCGCTACATGTACATGTACTTACATCATATACGTATCTTCTCAAGGGTGATAGAGAAAAAAATCTGAAGTTGTTATCACCGACTGTACGTACATGCATATATGATCGAATGCTGGCGTTACGTTTCTGCTCATATTTTATCCTATCATTTGGATTGAAGAAGGCTGCTGGGATAGTTATTCACATTTTGCAATTTGTACTCTGATATTTTCTCTCAAGGACACTTGGACCTGAGCTACTTTATTGCCTAGTCTAAACTGAAGGATATTAGTATATTATCAGGCCAGATCCGTGCCTTTGAGACTTTTGATGCGAGATTTTGCAGGCTTTGAATCAATTCTAGGATATGAAAACAACTTTGCTCGAGGTGCTTTGGAGGATATAAACAATTGTCGGACTGTAAGGTCTTGATGACGGATTATATTATAGAAAGCCAAGATATCAGCTCAAGCACTTATCATCGAGATCATGAAATAATGATCACTTAATGTATATGTCACGAGCTCGAGACTTCGTCTCGGGACCTGATGAGCTGAGCCTGGGATAAGACGAGATATCTTGAGTCCTTCTCTTTTTTCTTTTCTTTTCTTTTCTTTTCTTCTTTTTTGGGACCTCGAGATAAGTCCCGAGACCTAATTTCGAATGATTCTAAATGACCCAAAATAAAGATCCATCGTGCTCAGTGTGCTTCTAATTGACTATAAATCAGGTGTGCAGTACGTTGGCTTTGGATTCAATCGGTCATTTTGCCAAGAACTCTGGTCCCTAGTTTACTTTTGAAGTTACTAGCCAGATGTACGTATGTTGTTGAGCACTTCCAGCCATACCAAAGGGTGTTTGTTGGTAACCTCACATAACAACCAGAAGATTTTGCAACTTATCATGTCACCGCGGCCGCCCCCCTCCAACTTTCCAAACTTGTAGTTCCTCTTTATAGGCAAACTTTAAATACCAGAACAATCAATCATGCAATCGAATGCTGTATGTACCGATTCTGATTGCCACATATATATCGATCTCATGTGAGAAAGAATCTTTCCTATCATTTATTCTCTTCTCCAGTGCATGCAGCGTCATTGCCGTGTTCATACAAGTATCTACTAATTCTGCAAGAATGACTAAGTATGTAGTTGCCAGTGGGATCAAGGTAGTTCCCTAAACCAAAATATTAGTGTTGGGTCATGAGGGGTTATGTATTACAATATGCTAGCACTGAAAGCTATACTCGCATATCCATTATGTATTGGCGCAACCATCAAAACACACCAAATTGAGGTTTTCTACAGGACACAGAAGTCTTCATAGATATACTTGACTGACCAAGTATAATATAATTTCGATGCAGGAAATTTCTATATTAAATTTCTGGTCAATTTGGGATGGCGGCAAAGTTATAGAGGAAAGCAGCAAAACAACATATTTGGACACATTTACCTTAGGACTGCCTCATTATGAACAAGACCTATAATTGGCATGTGGACTCCTTTTGGTGCCTAGATAGAACATATATAATACGGCCGGAGGGAAATGAGAAAACTCTCAGGATTCTGTGCCCCTTCGTGTGTTTTGCTGGTTGCGCCAATACATAATGGATATGCGAGTATGTGGACATCTAAATCCCTTCTGAAGGTGCCAATGAACACTGGGTCGTGGTTAAGGAATGTTAGGAAAGTGAAATTATGCCTGCTTTAGACCGTTACGATTGCTATAGAGACACAAATTATACCGCAGAATCTCATGAATAACGAATGGGACTGGGTTGGAATACCGCTTACCCATTGGCCAAGACGACCAAAAATTACGCATTGGGTTTGTCGGATTGGGGCTCAACAAGCATTTGACCAATCCGAAACCTAATATTCCTAGTCCAGTTTGATCCGTTATTCTTGAAATTTCGCGGTATTTCTATGCTCTCCTTAATAAATCTGTTTGGGTATTGAATCGTGCTGGTAAATTTCATTATCCTGAAGTATCGAAATGAAAGCTGGCTAACATTATAGAGCAAAAACACATCAAATCGTCCTCGGCTTTATCCTGTATCCCTTTTCCAACGCTCCGAATTGAGTACATTGCGGTGGCTTTAGATCTAACTATCGTAAAAGATCTCCTTATACATATGATTCACCTCCACCAACGAGTCATAAACATTGAAATCTACCCATTATGTCAGCCAATCTATCCCACTAATCAAAAAAGCAACTACTCCACAAAGAAAGTGAGGGATACCAATATTCGTCCCGAAATCTATGGAATTCAGCACCTTGACCGACAGGTCCTGCTGGATCTTCCCAACAAGCTCCGCAGCATGTCCGACCGCAAGGTGACTATCCTACAGCCCCGAGAATCTTTTGGTTAGTGTATTATTTAAACCCGTACCATAAATGACTAAATACATACCCGGTCGAGGTGAGCAATCATGGTGCCGTGGGAATCGATTGTAGCAGTTTCGCCATGGAGCTCGAGGACCTTTCCGACTATGCGTACAACGCGGCCCTGGAATCGTTCTAGAAGAGGGGCATTGATTCTGGGGGCTTGTTCGTTCATTGTGTGGTGTATTTGTGGTTTTACTGATGGGAGGTGTTAAGCTATGAAGCGTGTAGGCGTGAGCGTGGTGGGGTTGACGCGTTTTATTGCTGGTGACACTTCTACGTGTAGAGTGGTTGTCGCGACGGACAGAGCCTCATCGACGTTTAGCTAGTCCTTATTTAGAGATTACCCGCGAAAATGTCCCTTGCTTAGATCCCGTAGCAATTAAACCAAATGAGCTTTTTCAACCGTGCTAAAAGGAAAAGGCTCGTGTGTTGCAAGGTGCTGGATTGTACTTGCTTATTGACCCTCACAGACTATCACTCGTATAATATAATTGCCGATCGGTAGGGTTAGGGCTCTTCTTATCCGAGCTGACAACATCCCACGCCTCGTCAGTCAAGCGACAGACATCACGGGTCAATTGATCAGAAGAAGATATAACACACCCATAAGATAAGATACACAAGATAATATAGTGTCCTGTTTCTTGAGCAATGCTTCCCGCCAGCAGCCAACAGCAACAGCCTGCACAACCAGTCTATGTGCTCAGAGGGCACTCAGCGCAAATACATTCCGTTGTCTTTACGAGAGATAATGAGAGAATCATAACTGCTGATTCCGATGGATGGGTTGTTGTATGGAACGTTGGCACCAGACGGCCAGTCGCGGTGTGGAAGGCTCATGAGGGCACGGTTATGAAAGTCATGGGGCGGGATGGGAAGATTATTACGTGGGTTTACCTCCCTGTTGTCATAGATATTGAGCATCCCCGTTTTTATTATCGTACAGGTGATAGAAAGATTACCGGAAGTAATAGGATTAACATATCTGTAATAATGCTCAAACCAGACACGGAAGAGATAACAAAATCCTCGTTTGGAAGTTAGGGACTCTTGAAGATGAGTCTGGGATGGATACAGCTCTCCCAGTTGACCTAAGCGCAGGGCATCGTCGAAGCCCGTGGCTCTTGAGCGCGTTAGATGTTAACGCACTTAATTTCTGTGGCTTTGCAATGTGCGAAGATCGTGCGGATTCAAACACCCCAGAGACATGGGAGAAGAACCTATTGATAGCTATACCTAGCGCACTTAACTCTGACTCGGTATATATTAGCATTTCAAGTTATGATGATGGATTGTTTAGACAGCTAATGGAGGTTATTTACATATAGGTTGATATTATGAGACTACCAACGAAGGAGAGAGTCTATGCTGGGATTAGGACGGAAGAAGTCAAGACAGGTTCGTTAGCACTTAGAGTTCGTTTTCGCCAATATGGTCTGTTTTTGCTAACAACATAAACTAGGCATGGCTATGAGCCTCGAACTTTTATACTGTGGGGATACTCTTACCCTTGTTGCAGCTTATGAAAGTGGACATGCAGCGGTATATAAGTTCAAAGAGGGGTTATGGGGTAATATTTACTTGAACAAATCACACTCACAACCTAGTAAGTCCCCGCTTTTCTTGCTAATCTGAGATAACTCTAGCTCAATGTAATAGTTCTCTCCCTCTGCGTATCTCCGTTTCCAGAAGCTGAACCATATTTCCTCACCTCCTCTGCCGATGCCGCCATCGTAAAACACCCCCTAAACGCTCTCATGCCCAATTCTGATCCAGTAAAAACCATAAATACGAAGCATTCAGGGCAGCAATCTATCTCCATCCGCTCAGATGGTAAGCTCTTTGCAACGGCCGGATGGGATTCTAGGATCAGAGTATATTTAACCAAAACTATGAAGGAGCTTGCTGTGTTGAAGTGGCATCAGGAAGGGTGCTATTCGGTTGAATTTGGTGAGGTCTTGGAGCCTGAACAAAGTAAAGAGAAGGACTCATTGATTAATGTCGAGGAAAGACGGAGGGACAAGGTCAGAACTATGCATTGGGTTGCTGGAGGGGCTAAGGACGGGAAAGTATCTTTGTGGGAGGTTTACTAGTATGCAAGAACTTTCTTCACCAATTCAAATATGTATCATTTGGCCGGTACTGCTCCGTGGTTTATTATATAGAGCTCCGGGTGCTTAATACCTATATACATGTATGTTTGTGCTTGAAGAATGATAAAAAGTGGATATGGGGCTCGTTTGCTGCGCGTAAGGTGATGTTTGATAAATGTTAAACTCAATGCATTCACATATAAAGACGTATATATCGTCGGAATTGAAAGCAGCGCAGTCCAATCATTTCCGATGCCACCTTTGACTAAGCGCCAAGAGTGTGATAATATATGCGCACGTTACCCTGCTGTACCCGAGACTTCAACTCGAGCTCAATTGTTACCCACGTGAAGCAATCCCGAATTCGATATTCAAAATGTCTGTACGACATCTCTTCCGGCGGTCCCTTTTATTCTGCCAACAACCGTTGAGGCCACCCTCAATAGTATTCCGGGCAATCCCAGCTTTCCCGCTCGCCAACAATTCACTCTTACCCATCCCCCGCCGCCGCACACTGGTCGATCTCGCCCACTGCCCCCGCGACGAGGACATCCTAAAGATAAGTCCGCAAATCCAGTTGATCGATGCCGATGGTCAATTCAAAGGGGTGCAAGCCCTGGAAAGTGTGCTTAGGTCCTATGACCGGGATATATACCACCTCGTGTGCATCAACCCAGTTGCCGAGAACCCGATCTGCAAGATCATCATGAAGCAGACCCTGGTGGAGGCCTCATATATGATGGACAAGAAGAAAAAGACGGTCACTAAAGACCCCAGTAAGATTGTCAAGGTAGTGGAGATATCATGGGCCACTGCGGAAAATGATCTGGGACACAAGATCAAGAAGATGGTTGAGTTTATGCAGAGGGGGAACAGGGTTGAAGTGGTGCTCGGAATCAAAAAAGGCATGGCGAAGCAGCCGCTAGGAAAGATGGCTGAGCTGCTTACCCGAATCAGGGCAGAAGCAGAGCCGTATGGGAGGGAGTGGAAGGCACCCGATGGTGCCGTCGGAATGCAGTATATAATATACTTCGAAGGACATAGACCGAAGGAGGAGCCGAAGCCAGTGGAGGAGCCAATGGGTCCTATAAAGATGAAAGCAAAGTTTGCAAAGATCAACGAGGAACGAAGGCTGAGATACGAAAAGTGATGCGTTTTTGCTTCCTGTAAATCAAAGCATAGCGTGTGCTTAGATAAATATAAAAATAAAGAAAAGAAAAAAAACCCAAAAACAACTGGCTTCTAATCACACAGCAATAAAGGTCATATTCTAGGACGATATATTATGGATCTAGGTGTATGGCTCGATATGGCTTTAAAGACCATATCTTGATTCTGTGCTTTAGGGCCAGAGGATCGGTCTTGTACTAAGCCACAATTCCTGCACCCCCCAAAGGATCTTAGAGGCAATCCCGCCCCGTAAGCCTTACTTAGTCTCGAAATTCATTCTATCGGGAGTTACATTGTTAATGCATCCTTTATGACAAAAAAAAAGAAGAAAAAATGTTCCAATACATTTGATAATACTACCTATTTATCGCGTGGTGGTCTATAGGAAACATCACCCCCGGGGTGGGAATCCACCACCAGCCCGTATGCACCCGCCGTGAAATATAAATACCTACTACCGCGTAGAACTCAGCCATGAAGTGAAAAACAGGTACCAAGGAGCACGGACCGCCAAAAAGTCATTACGCACCCTGTAATGGATCGAGTGATATTTCATGTTCCAATATTGTACGATTTTGGGCTAGATTGTAAGTTCCCATGTCAATAAGCGCGTTTGATTCTAGATTTTTCCAGGTACAATACCCTATATTTGTTGGAATAATCCACTAATCACCGCGTGAATAATTGTATGTTGAAAAGGGAAAGAAAAACGAGACGGGATAAAATGTGTGCCTATTTCCAGGAATACTCCAATACCAATAAGTTAATAAAAAACAAAAGAGAATAAAAATGCAAAGATATAAAGCTCCAGGAACCCCCCAAACCAAAACAAAAGAAAAATAAAAGATACAAGCTGCGCTTCCCCCGTTTAAACGTCACAATCATTACTTCGTCCAAACTTCTAACAATAACAACAAAAAATGATAAGATAAAATATATGAATCTCTAATCAAGTGTTTGCCACGAGATTTTTTGTAGCCTCATCAATATAGCTTGAGAAATCTACCGTAATTGCCACTTCCTCTGGCGTCGTCCCAGCACTGCTAGACTTTTCACTCTTCATACTTTCACCATCCACCGGAGCGGCGATTCCCATATCCTCAAATATATCTAATCCATAGTCTATTTCGTTGAACTCTGGACTGGATGGTAGAAACCCTCCCCAGCTGTTTACCTCATCTTCCATTCCGTCACCAAGATTGAATAAAGGTGGCGGCGAACTTGGCATAGTCATGTCTGTCTCAAATATGTTGTCGCCAAAATCGAAATTGTTGGTGGTATCAAAGGGGGAAAGTCTGGGAAGATCGTCCGGTAAATGGGCACCGAGGTCTAGCGGGAGTGTCATAGGATCTGCCATTGTCATGATTTTTTCTAGGAGCTGCGATGTGGGAGAGAGTGAGGACTGAACTGCCGTTTGGGTGGTCTGTCCTTTAGGAGTGGCTTGAATAAGGCTACCGCATGCCTTTCTCTTCCCCCCAGGAGCGAAAATATCAGCGTTCCACGGTGATGGCGAAATCAGTTTGCCAGGCTTCATAGGTGAGCTCAAAGGCGTCCTAGGCTGTAAGGAAACACCCCTCTTTTTAATGGGTGTAGCTAGTTGTTGATCTTCACTCCCATTATCAGGAGAAGCAGCATCGGGAACACGGTTTTCCTTCTCAAGTTCGGATCCTAAACCTTTGGGGTGAGTGGCATTCCCAGGGTTTAATGTTTTTCGAATAGACGAACAATTAGGGATTACTTTAACGGGAAACAGAAGTCGCCGCGGAGATTGTATATTTGTGTCAGCTTCCAAATCGATGGGGCTGTCTGCGCTGAGGCCACGCTTGGCAGGGCTAGATTGAACGACACGCCTCGACGCTACAGAGGCTGCTTCCCAATCAGGGTCACTACCTCTAACAGACCTGTTCCCTTTGGGTGTCATGGAATGTCTCTTCTGCACAGGTACTTGGGGAGGAGGCATTGGCAGTTCCTCTTCATCCTCATCAGGTACAACAATCGGTTCTATGCAAACCTCTGAATTCTGAGCTTGGCTTGAAGCAGCAGGGGTTAGCAAGGCCTTTTTCTTCTTTGGTCGCGGCCTTTTTGGCGTAGGCTCCTCCTTCTTCCCATCCCAGTAATCCTGGGGCCGCATGGTCTTGTGCGAGCCATACCACAATCCGCATGGGTTACAAAGTAGTAAATCTTTGTCTTTGTCTTTCTTCGATTTAGCATCACCTTCTGCCTCTGCTTCTTCGCTTTCATCCTTCGTTGAAACCTTTCGCCAGGTTGGTGTTTCGATAGCCCCACAATTCACGCAAAAGTTCGGCATCTTTCCTTGCTCTATCGCGGCAAGCATTTGAGCATGGATACGTTCCTTCACATTGGCAGCTGTACGAGCAGCTTTCTCGCTTTTTGATCGTTTTATTTTCCTCCCTCCATCCTCTCCGATATCGCTAGAGGCTACGGCATCCGAATTAATAGTGCCGGAATCTATTACTGACTTGGCCTTCTTGGGGTATTTTCGCTTTGGTTTTGGTTTTGGTTTTGGGGCTTCGCTGAATGTGCTGGGGGAAGGTGCAGCAGTTTCAGTCATGTCATCAGGCAATGTACTTAGCCTATTAATAGTGGGAAATTTCAGGGCTGTCAATAATGCGGTTTCTTGGTCTGTCGCTGGGATTGGAGGCCGCGCAGGGGGCTCGACAAACGGCGACCCGATATTTGCCACATCTGGTTTGACATCTTCAAAATTTGGATCCTCAAACAGAGACTCCACGTCTTGATGATACTCTTGCGGCGTATGTTGAGCATCTTCGTTAGGAGGCAACGAGGGCAGGACCGGACTTGTAGGTTCTGGTGAAAATTCGGCATTGGTTTCTTCGGCGGCTTCCTCTGGTGCAATCGGGGGAGATGATGCCATGATGGTGGAGTTGACAGTCTGAGGGGCCGGGGAGTTTTCATTTTCCGGGGAGAAGATCTCGGCATTAAACGATATAGAGAGTTGCCCCGTGGTTTCCGCAGGTACTTCAACTGGTTGAGGGGTTGCATCCTGTGGAACATCCAACGGTTCCTTAAATTTTTCCATGGGAGATGTAAAGAGCTCTGGTATCGGAGAAAGGGGGACAGGAGGCAGAGCTGCAGTAGCCTTCTTTCGAGGTCCACCACTTGGCTTCCTTGGCCTCCCAGAATAATTTCGCACCTTCTTCTTTGGAGGCTCTCCATTCTCTTCTGATGATGTTGCATTTCCATCCCGACTGCTCTTCTTCGAACGATTCTTCTCTGTTTCGGCTAGCATGCTCTTATCTAAAGTTCTTGACTGGGCTTGTGACGGTTCAGAAGCCGACGAGGAGTGTGTAGGTGGAGCTAGGATATTAGGGTGTTGGTTTAAGTAAGTTGTCCAAGCTGAAGCATTAAACCCTCCCGGTATAACTTTTGAAAGAGCATTGTATGTATGTACAGACTGCACAAATTGGGCCTGCGTAAATGTCTGTACCGGCATGAGTTTAAATTTAACTTCTAATGTTTCCTTTACTTCGTCATTACTGAAGAACCCGAAGTTATTGCATGATATACGACCAGTAATGATATGCCGAGCAGGGGCGGGGTTATCTGATCCATTATTTGGGTTATTGACAGCTGTCATTGCCCATGAGAGTAGCCCACAGCCAACCAGAGGTATTCCTTGTTCCGAGTAATCATAGGCATAGACAGAATAGTCTTGACTAAGATTGGCTACCAGTTCAGGACTATCCAGAAGAAAAGACGATTCTAAAATTAGCAAGAAGGAACGTTCAAACTTGCATTTACTGGTTCCAACCTTGACGAGATCATGCTTAAAATGCATGTCTTAAACTCTACCGCTCCCACAAGGAGGTCCTTATCAATTTGTATGGCCCTACTGTTAATGGGATGAGGATATCGTGCCAGGCAGTTTGACTTGCTCTCATCATCGAATGTGTATGCTACCTTCACTATTAATGAAAATTACTTTTGCGTTAGCGTTTGTTTGTGACTATTCCTTAAATCCATCATAAGTAGACGCGTACATCGCATAGACCTCGGTTGGTTTTCACCCTGAACCCCCACAGATGATCCGGGGGGAGTAGCCATGGCTGAAGAAGACATCTAGATTTCTTCAGCCGTGAGGTTGTTCGGTTACGGCACGATGATGCTGAATAGGCGCCCAGTTGTCCTCCTGACCCTCTATCCTTCTCGAACCGAAGGGTCACTGTTCGCACAACGCACCAAAAATTGATGGGTTCGGCAATAGCCCTTGGCGCGTTGAAGGATACTACGAGAGTGGAGATGGGATGGGAAGTGCAGTTGTGGTTTGACGGATGGACGATTTCGTGAGGATCGTTGTGTGTGGAAAGATCGAGGGGTGAGGTTGAGTTTGAGGTAACCGAAGGAGAATGTGCAGAGTGGTCGTAGTGCAAAGCGTGCTGTGAGGGGCGCGACATATTGAGGCCTTGGGAATGGAAGGCCGGAAATGGAAAAATGTAATAGGCTTGAACGCGCGCAGGGGTCGGTTTTAGTGATAGAATTGACCCCTGTCGTAACCTGAAATTCAGCACAATTCACGACAACGCGCTCCTCGAGCAACCATGAGGGTTAAACGCGACACAAATCACTTTGCAACCCAATCTGGCTTGGGATCTCTTCCCTAACTCGTTAGAACTTAGAACCACTTTAACCACTCTATCTGAAGATAGAGCTAGCTTTGATAATCAGTAAAGTTTAATCCTCTCCTCTGATATAAAACCCAAGTTCAATATGTTTGCACTTCGTTCCCTTGTTACCTCTCTCTACATATCAGCTAGAACCCCAACCAGTAATTGTTTGATTGATAGCCACATTAAAACTTCTACAGCCAACAAATGGAAGTGGAAAAATATAGATATTGAGAATTTTGAATTCCTCTGTGATACCCAAGGTGCATTCTGCTCATGTATGTAGCATCTCCCTCAACCACGCCACTTCCATCCCTTCCATCCCAACAATCCGTACCCCCGCCTCTAGCATAGACCTCTCAGCCTCCTTCCACCCTTCTACAGGATCCACCGCCATTGTACCCTCCTTCACTACAAATGTAGTATACCCAAACCTCGCTGAATCTATTGCACTGGCTCTAACACAATAATCTTGCGCTAGCCCCACAATATAAACATGTGTTATCCCCTTCTCTTGTAGAAGACGTGGCAGTTCCGAAGTGCTCACACTCGTAGAATCAGATGTGAATGGAGCTTCGTGGAAGGGGTCTGTAAACGAGGAATACATCTCCAGCCTGGAATCCTTCCCTTTATCGATGATCATATCGATACGGTTTCTATGGAGCTCAGAAAGCAATTGTGCCCCTGGTGTGTCTTGAATACAGTGAGGGGGCCATAGGAGGGTCTCATAGGTTCGCGATGGGTCGAAAGGATGGATAATTATTGTTTTGGACACGTATGCGATTTTCTCTGGACCCGCGTGGTTGGAAACGAAAGATATGTGGTCACGAGGATGCCAGTCCCTTGTAGCGACTTTGATAGCAAACGGGAGGGAAAGAAGCTCGTTTACAGTTGGCACGATATCTCGTCCGTTAGGAACTGCAAGAGATCCGTTCTGCGGCCATATTAGAATGTGGGCGGGGCGAGAATAGGTGGGAGTACAAACTGGAGGGCAGAAATCTTCTTGCACATCAACAACTAGAAGAGCTGGTTTAAAATTTTGTGGTGCTTGCGACATTATGAAATATCAACTTCTTTGGTGTGGTAATGATTGAGGATGATTAGGTGGGTGAAGACAAGATAGATTGGAGGATGGTTCGCTTATATCTACTTCTGGCATAGCTTCATGCAACGTCAAGATAAGATAAGCCATCAACTATTATCGCTTGAGATTAGCGAGAAATCTCAGCCAAGCCTTTAATTGATCAAGCGACCCAGTAATAGTAATACTGGAATTACTTAAGCACCCGGGAGTTACATGTACGGCCTAGAGTACAAACCTTTTTCTTTTCTTTGGGGCGAATCCCAGCGGATACTCTCTTCGTATTGCAAGTCTAGTAAGTAGAGTAGATTATGTAGACTGAGCTAGGGTTAGAGTAAATTTAATTTAATCTCTGATAATTGCATGCATGCATGTATGTACGTGTGTGTATCACAGGATTGCGTTTGGGAGGGGAAAAATGCATGTACTTGTAGTTCTACTACCATCCTAGGCTCATACCGCAAACAAGCAGGCTGTTCGTAGCTACAGGGGATAGGTTAGTCTCGCACCCATTCTGTACTTAGCAGCAAGCTGCCCAACAAAGGTCAATATTCCCATTGTTCGTAATTTTTGGTATCAGGTAGCGACTGACAGAAGGTTGTAATTAGGAAAGGAGCTCACGATATAGGTGTCGTGGGCAGAGATGGAGTAAACGACAAAGTAGATGTAGATACAAGCAGATAACATTATATTATAATTTTCCGTAGAAAGAAGATGCAATATGTATCCTGACCATCCTTTTTTTAAAATTATATGTACTCTGTGGTAATATGATTATGGCTCTGTATGTCTGTATGTCTGTATGCACTTCCGCACTAAAGTCTTCGGAGGACAAGTAGGTGTTAATGGTTTACATATTGCATTTGGAGCTCCTACGTGTACATAGATTCTCGGCCTCCAGAGCTCGAGACTTTGGTTCTCATCCATTCCTTACTTATACAGCGCGAAACCCTCAACCAAGACCGCAATTCCCACAGCACCAGGATCCAGAGTATCCCCAACCTCACTAACATAGACGCTTCTTCCCAGACGTGGTCTCATCCCCTTTGTACTATCTGCGCCTTCTCTTGCGGCCTTTGCTGCAGTAACCAACCCTTTATCCTCCGCAAGTGCAACAATGAAAGGCTGTAGTGCATCAACCAAGGTCCTATCGCCTGGCTGTGCAGGGGTGTATCTCCTTAAAGATACCAGAGCAGCCATTGCGGCAGTTGCCCATGTCTTGAGTGTTGCGTTCTCTTCCCCGCTCCTCCGGAGCGCTTTCGCAAGTGAGTTGAGAAAGATTCTATTCTTGTAAGTACTGGGCAGGGTGGATAAGAGTATGTGAATAGGTGGGTGGACATACGAGTAAATGGCCCCTGAAGTACCATCCATATGCTCCTCCACTATCTCCGCAAGCTTTGCGACGGTGATGACTGCATCTGGGACAACCTTCCCGGAATCAATGAACTTGAGTACCGCTTCTGCACCCGACTTAAGCGCGAGCCCACAGTCACCATCACCTACGATGTCATCGGCCTTTGTGATCTCTGGCTCAGCCTCAATGAGATTTTTCAACCCTGCAGTCAGTATCTTCGAAAAGATAGCCGTATCCACTAATTTGGGTTACCCACTGGTTAGCGTTCAACCTTAAACACATATCTTGGACCGTATTTTACGAACTTTTCAATTTTGAAGATGGTATTCTCTCATCATCTGCAATCTTCTCGGCCACCTCGCCCTTGACTTTGTTATCCCAAGTTTCAGGCTTGACAATCATCGGCCATCCGATTGTTTCGCATGGCGCATCCAGAAGTTCTAGCATGCTCTTCCCTTTCCCAAGCCCGGTATCAACCAGTCTCAGAAGACTAATGCTGAAACCATTCCCATTCAAGCTGGTCATATAGGTTCCACTAAATACTCTTTTTGGCTCAATACCATAAGTCGCGTCTATAAACATTAGCCAGCCTTCTAGTACGTAATTCTAGGTATACACACCAAGTTGTTTGACGACTTCTGCAGTGACACCTCCCATCTCTAGGGGGCTGACACCCCCTAAATTATTAACCAACAGGACCCATCCCTCGTTCTTCTCTACTTCTTCCAGGTATCCGCGGTCTTTATCGCTTGAATCTAATAATTGTTTCAACAGCAAACTGACAAGTTCACCGAGCGGTGGGATTGGAATCCTCTTGAACCCCTGTTCATTATGAATCCCATCCCTACCTCTACATCCGTTTCCTTCAAGGCCGCCTCATTCTCTGCCGTTCCATGGCCCGGTACGTGCACATGTCCCAGCGAGCTTCCAACACTCACCAAATTAGCACTCACCAACCTTGCGACCTCCGTCACTTCCTGCAAGCTGCCCTTTGCGACTGCTAGCGCCCCAGCGACCTTGTGGACTAGCACCGTACCAGCGATACCTCTGCGGCCAACTTTGCCGTTTATTTCACGCCCAACACCGACGTCGTCGCCGACTACTACCATCTCGACATCTAGGCCAGCGGCCTTGGCCTTTTCGCTCGCCAACCCAAAATGGAGAACATCGCCGGTGTAGTTCATAACAATCATACACACCCCATTATTGGGATTCACACGGTGCATGATGGCGTTATAGATCTGTCTGACACTTGGACTGGCGAAAATCGATCCTGAGACAGCAGCACGGAGAATGCCGCTGCCAACGAAGCTATTAAGTTTTGTCCCAAGTGTCAGCAGGCGTTTTTCGGGCATCTCATCCGCAGCTATAATTCATGGGTATTCTGATATGGCCTGGAAATGAGAATAGGAGGTTGGTACCTGACAAAACTGGGTTCATGACCAGCACCTCCGCCGGAGACAATCGCGACGGTGTCAGCAGCGTTGTGCTTCGAGTATACGATTTTGTTTTCCTCATCTAGCTTGAGAGCAGGGTTTGTGACGGGCACTGATCGAAGTGCTGATGCGACTAGGTCTGCTGCGTCATTGATGAAATGCTTGTCTATCGACCCACCAGTTAGCTTTACCTTGTGGAGGTACCTGGGGGAGGGCCAATGATATGACGTCAAATAAAGCTGAACTTACTGGACATCTTGATTGCTTAAAATCGATGTCTTAGTTGGCTACTCTGGTTGATTGGTTTGTCCTTCAAATAATGGAACCGATCCAATAGATATTTGTAAATAAGATGAGCAGATTCCTGATGTCTCTACGGAGGGGGGAAACGTTATGAATCGTGTGGCAGCGAGAGGGGTCAACTAAGTATCATGCCATGGAAATTGGCTCTTCAGGCAAAACAACCTCCATGAAAAAAAACAGATCCCAGAAAAAAAAACAAGCAAAGTAAAAAACGGCTATGAAGTCAACGGAAAACAGATACGGAAACTGGTTTGGAAATCATTTCGTTGAGTAGATAACTGCTCGGTTATGTCCGTTGTGAAGTGTCGTGGGATAGCCGGTGGATTATCCGAGGCTAACCCGATTGGGACAATTATCGGCATAATAATTGTGCGAGTGCATACGGTGATACTCAAAGTCGCTATTGCAGTGCGAGGCATAACACGAAAAAGAAAGAAAAGAAAACATTGGCTGGATGGCTAGTCGTTTATCCTGATATCGTAGGGTGCTTTTTGAGAATGGTTATCGGAGACGATGATTCTGCACTGAGAACCTCGGTGAGTATGCTCTCTACTAGCTCTACTTTCTATTGCCGTAGACGCGTGTCCACCACCCATCTAGACCTTCACTAGATCTAATCATGGATGCCGCTCTCTAATAGCGTTTTCCACAGGACAAAACAACTACCGCAAAACATACCTGGGTCGCCTGCGGTCACATATTCGATTAGCAAAAGCTAAGGATTTGCGGCTTTTGTTTATGGGTTCGGAAGGATTTGCATCATGGATAATCACTCGCCAGACCCGAGCCACGGAATCGAAGTGTCCAAGGTCCTGGTTTATAACGGAGACACTCCAGATTGGGCCGTCTACAACGATTATTAACCAAAATGGAACCACAAGGTCGTAAGACTCGACCACATTCACTGGGTTCTATTAGCCTGTTGTCGAAAGATGTAATATCGATCATTGGCTTGTCACAATGTCACAAGATGATGCCAGGGTAATCGCTTTTTTGGCGTTACCCTGCCCTCGTTTGGTGTCGGAGACGTCAGAGGTTTGTGTTGGGAAATCGTGGTGCCGTGGGGTTTGGTGGGGGTTTTTTTTCCTGAGGTTCACTAAGATTGCGCGGGGTCTGAAAGATTGGATTCTTAAAGTTATGTAAATAATCTTATATTTAATTGTCTCTGATAGCCAGGCTGGCGGCTGGCCTGTGTCATCTAAATTGAATATATACCGGCTAGTGTACTGATAGGTTTAAATCTATCGTATTGTAGCGCCGTTGGTGTTGCGACTTGAGTGCTTGCAAAACCCGGTGTCTAAAACATCAACCCCAAGCCAATGATCGACCGGGCCGGAATTCTATATAGTTCCCATCTTTTTTTTTTTTTACATGTATGAAGACAACAAAGTCCATACCAACATGCCACCGTTCACAGCAAGTCTATCTGTACACTTGCACCACTCCAAACCCCCCATTAGACCAGCCCAGCCCAGCCTAGCCCAAACAATAAATGAGAAAACGTCTCAAAATGAATACCCCCAATTGCTCTACAAAAATACTAACTATATACACACCAGAAGAGAAAAAAAGGAGAAGAGAAAAAAAAGATGCTATTTCTACTCACTATATCCACACACGCACACACTCTCTCTCCCCCACACACACACCTATATATAACCTACGTATCCTTCACCCTCGTAAACATCACATCCCACCCGGGCAGCTCATTCCGCTTCATCACCTCCATCGTGTCCTCGTCCCAGCGGCCGCGCCACATGTACGCGCCCACAGTCTTGAGCGCGTGCTTCTCCTGGAACGCGCGCATGTTGAACGTCTCGCGGTCGATCTTGAGGTTCGAGTCGAGCCTGTTGTTGCCCGGCTGCTCGAACACGAAGAGGGCGTAGCGGTGGTAGGGGCTGCCTTTTTGGACGTGCGGGGGGAGGTAGGGGAGGAGGGTGTCGGAGGGCTTGGCGCCGGTGCCGATGGCTTGGGTTTGGAGGGGCGAGATGGGGATGTTGGAGCTGTGGAAGAGGGGGGGGGGTGTTAGTGGTGGGGGTATTAGAGGGGGGGGGGGGGACATACACGATCCAGTGGCAGCGGTAGCGGAAACCGTCTTTTTCAACGTCGGGGACATCTGTGAAGCACCGCCGTCAATTACGCCTCCCCGAGCAATAGTAATGTAGATATATGTATGAGTATGGGGGCATACCAGGATCCACAACAGCAACAGTGCACAGTTTCTCGCCCTGGCGGAACGGGATGATCTTGAGCGTCGGCGGGCGCTCCGAGTTCTTGGAGCCCACAAACATGCCGGGGGCGGTGTCGCGCCCCGCGAAGCGCACCTGCACGTCGACGCGCGGGTCGACGCTGGGGAGAACGTCGGGGATGACGTGCATCTGCGTGAGACGCTGCATGAGGACGGGGCGCCGCATGGAGCGCCATTTCTTCTCGAGGAGGAAGCGGTAGACGGGTTTGTTCATGCCGACTGGTTATGGGGCGTGTGATGTTAGCATTGGTATTAGCAATTGAACCCCCCCCCCCTCCCCCCAAACCCGTAGTAGTGGCAGCAGTGGTGGTGGTGGTGGAATTGTAACAGCGGTAGTGGTAGCAGCAAGTAGCAAGTGGTAGTGGTAGTAATAGTAAAAGGAATTGACCAAAACTCACTAACGCCCGTATCAAAGTTATACTTGACCCTGGGATTATTGATATCCGCCTTTATCTTGAGGTCCTCCAGGTACCTGGTCATGCTCTTGACGACCCTGCTGCTGGGCGCGAGGTTCTTGTACTTTATCATCTTTGCAATCCTTTCGTGCTCGGTCTTGATCTGGGCGAGCTTCTCCTCGCGGTCCTGGTGGATCACGGCGAGCGCGTGCTGGTACGTCTGGAAGGGCATGCTCTCGATCGTGCGCATCTTGCGGGCGTGGGCCTCGACTTCGGGCGTGGCGGCGGCAGCGGCGGGGGCGGCGCGGGCCTTGGTGCGGAGCCCGCGCAGGCCCAGGCCGAGGCGGGGGAGGGAGGACAGCCGGGTGGACATTTGGGGGAGGAGGAGGAGGGGGGAGGTTGAGGGTTGGAGGGGAGGTGGGGAGGGGAGTGTGGGGTTGGTTGTTTGGCGGGGGTGGATTGGTGGGTGTGGGTGGGCGTTGGGATCTGCGGTTGTGAGGTTCGAGAAAAGTTTCAACGCACAACCACCCTAACCCTCGGGATCGAAGCTGGCTCCAGATCTCGAGATATCAACCACAACACCTCCCCCCCAATTACACGCAACTGTCGATTACAGACTGAGCGATAACACACCGGACGGATAATGGCTATGAGATCAATCAGCACTGGCCGAGGCCTTCTCGGTGGCCGCGGGGCAATGGATGTCTTGAAGGTTTTTTTTTCTTTTCTTTTCGCTTTCCTTTACCCCACCTGATTGAGGGAGATTCTCACGAGATGCAATATATATATATAGGCCCTCCAGACCCGGCCAATGGCCACCGAGGCCTCTGCCTCCCCCGCCGTCAAAGTCCTCCCCATGGACCCTCCCCCGCCGCCCTCCTTCGCCTACAGAAAAGGTCTCTCCCACCCCCGTCCCCATCTCCGTCATGGCCCCCACCCCCACTAACACCCCATCCCATCCAGCACCCACCGTCCTCGCCACAATCCACAAGTTCCCCTCACTGGAGCCCTCGCACTTTGAGGCCTTCCCCAGCACCTTCCTGCACGCGCCGCTACGCCGCGACATTCTCCACCGCGCCGTCATCTTCGAGGGCGACTGCCACCGCTTCGGCCTCGCCTCCACCAAGACGCGCCGCGAGATCCACGGCTCGGGCCACAAGCTGCGCCCGCAGAAGGGCACCGGTCGCGCCCGTCTCGGCGACAAGTCGTCGCCGATGCTGCGCGGTGGTGCCGTGGCGCATGGGCCCCGCCCGAGAGACTTTGCGACGAGGCTGCCGAGGAAGATGTATGATATGGCGTGGAGGAACGCGCTGAGCTACCGATACAGGAGGGGCCAGCTGGTGGTGGTGGAGGGAGAGCTGGAGATGGCGGAGCCGGATAAGGGGCTGGCGCTGAGTGTGCTGAGGGCGCATGGGTGGGGGAATGAGGGTGGGAGGAGTCTGCTGATTACGAGGTTTGAGAGGTATAATCTGAAGAAGGCGATGGCGGAGTTGGGTGCGGAGGGGAGGGTGCTGACGGTGGGGGAGGTGGATGTGAAGGATTTGGTGAGTTTGTCAATGGTCTTTTTTTTTTTTCTCTTTGTGGGTGTGGGTGTGCTAACTGTGGTGGTGGTTTTAGTTGGAAATGGGCAGGATTGTCATTGAGAAGGAGGCCCTTCTGCACTTCCAGGAGGAGCACAGCGAGGAGTAGAGGAGGAGGAGTTCGAATACTCGTGTAAAATACAGTATAAAAAAACCAATTGGCATTATTAGACTACATACTGCAGTTCACTCCCAGCTCCCAGCAATAATTAGTGTAGTAAAGTGCATGTACAAAATAATTATTCTCCAGTGTTTTTTTGTATGTGCGTGCATCAGTCAGTTATGAAACACTCCGTGCAGTGCAGGGTGAATGATCAAAGTGCCAGTTCTTCTCTGTGTCTCTCGCTACTCGCTGGTCGCAGCCTCGGCCCAAGGCAACGCAACGGGCTCCCCCACCAAAGTTTGCCTTTCACCACCGCTGCCGCGCACTGGCTGCAACGTCTACCTGCTACATACAAATCAACGAGCATACCTGCCGCATACCGAGCACCCTCGCCCTCGCCCCCACACTCACATCTCTCCTTCTCTCCTTCTCTCCTTCTCTCCTTCTCTCCTTCTCTCCTTCTCTCCTTCTCTCCTTCTCTCCTTCCTTCTTTCCTTCTTTCCTTCTCTCGATGCTGTTCCGCACAAGCTGTGCTCGACTGCTGTCGAGGCCGTCACTGTCACTCGCACACACAATGCCTCTCCGCTCAAAGATCCTCAATCCCGCATTCACAAAGGTACCAGAGTCCCTACACACTCATCCTGTCTACAGAGATTGATTAATTGACTCATTGATCTCCCCCCACAGATGTCAATGTCCACGGCAGCCCCGGAGGGAAAGGCACTCCCCGAAGAAAACCCCGCCGACGACGTCCTCTTTAACTCTGTCTTCGGCGTCCGCACAATCGAGCTGAACCGGCCCTCAAAACTCAATGCGCTCAACAAGTCCATGGCCGAGAAGATCGTTCCGCGCCTGCAAGTACGTCTTCTCCCCCTCCCATCCCCACCGCCACCGCCATCCCCATCCCCATGGTAGTTGCACCACATCTCTAACCCCACCCGCCCCACCAACAGGAATGGGAAAAGTCCCAACTCGCAAACATCATCATCCTCAAAGGCCACGGCGGGCGCGCCCTCTGCGCAGGCGGCGACGTCGGTGCCCTCGCAGCCCTCAACAAGACGGGCGAGGAGGGCATCAAGCAGTCGATTGCCTACTTTGGCCTCGAGTACCAGCTCGACCATCTGATTGCGACCTACACGAAGCCGTATGTGGCCTTCATGGACGGCATCACCATGGGCGGTGGCGTGGGGCTCAGCGTCCATGCGCCGTTCCGCATCGCGACGGAGAACACCCGCTTTGCGATGCCAGAGACGAAGATTGGCTTCTTCCCGGATGTGGGCGCGAGCTTCTTTCTGCCGAGGTTGGAGGGGCAGGTGGGGACGTATTTGGCGCTGACGAGTGAGCAGTTGAAGGGTGTGCAGGCGCTGTGAGTGCTGTTTTTTCTTCTTTTTCTTCTTTAGATATATGTCTATATAATATGGTGGCAGTGGCAGTGGCAGCGGCGGTGGGTGGAAATGACTAACAGCCAGATCCACAGCTACGCCGGCATCGCAACCCACTACATCCACTCCTCCAGTCTCCCCGACCTCGAAGCCCGCCTCGCCGAGCTCACATTCGACGACCTGGCCACCTCGCGCGAGAAATGGAGCATCATCGACAGCACCATCAACGAATTCAGCACGGGTCTCCCGGACGAACCCATCCAGCTCGGCGGCACCACCCGCACCTCCATCGACACCTGCTTCGCCGGCAACACCATGGAAGAAATCATCTCCGCTCTGCACGCCCACAACACCCCCTGGGCCTCACAGACACTCAAGACACTCCTCCAGCGCTCACCCACGTCGCTGCGCGTGACGCTGCAGCTGATGCGTCTCGGCACGGGGTACGAGTGGACCATCGCCGAGGCGTTCCAGCGCGAGTACGCGGTTGCCTCGCACTTTATGCGGCACCCGGACTTTGTGCAGGGCGTTGAGCACGTGCTGTTGAAGAAGGAGGGGCCGCCGGTGTGGACGCCGCCGAAGCTGGAGGAGCTGGGCGAGGAGGCCGTGAGGGCGTTTGTGAACCCAGCGCCGGGGGAGCAGCGGCTGGCGCTGCTGAGGGATCCGGGCGTGGGCGATTATGAGCGGTATCCGCATGAGGGGGTGGTAGGCCTCCCGACGGAGGCGGAGATCAGGAGGCTGGTGGTGGGGCAGAATACGTGGGTGAGGGAGGATGTGGTGAGGTATTTTGTGGACGCGAGGGGCGGGAGGGACGGGGTGGAGAGGAAGGTGAGGGATGTGGTGGAGAGGATGACGTGGGAGGAGCATGGGATGGTGAGGTGGAGGGAGTGAGTGATTGGTGGTTTAGTTGGGGGATGGAATTGGTGTATAAAGGAATTGAATGTTTGCACAAGCTAGACCCTTGTTTGTTTTTCTTGTGGGGTGCAATGGGCGAGAATCATATATGTGCATGGTGCTAGTACGTAGTAAAAACAACAGTGTTTTATGTCCATAGATCCACTGATGTCCTATCTTGCTCCCTATGCTTTCTATGCTACGCAGTGATACCTTGGACATTATGCCCCACGCCCGTTGCTTCAAAGCCAGTATTCCTCTCTCCTCCCAAGAACCACTCCAGCAGACCATAGTCCAGCACATGTACAGTACCCAAAGCACATCCAAGTACAGACTGCCGTCTATATAGCCATAAACGCCCTTCCTCCTTTGTTGCACATCATAAAGCCTCGATTTTCCGCTTAGTCGGACAGACACTACCAGATAACGACTTATGATAAGGGTGAGTGATATCACATGATCCAGGTCTCCAAAACGTTTTGGGGGGGGGGGGGTCAACGCCTGCATATATAGTTTTGATCAAAGACACAACTAAGGTGCGGTTTAGATATGGGCCATATCTACATGTACTACATGTACTATTCCCTAGCTTCTACCCTTGATAAGTCATAGGTCAATAACAGGCTGGGAGAAACGATAGATAGTCTAGTGCTCGGTACTCATGGAGGATGATGTAGATGATTATGTAGTTTGCTCTATGAAGTGGGTACTCATTGCTCATGAAGAGTGTATGCATGCTGTGGTATCTGGACAGATACTACATGTAGTATCTACTATACTATAACAAGTTTCGCGCGCTAAACCAGCCGAATCCTACATACGTAGATCCCATCCAGCCCTAACCATAAGGTGGGGGGAAGGAGGAGAGAGAGGGGAGACCCAAATTATGGGCGAGCTGTAGCTAAATTGGGATAATCAAGCTGACAAATAAATTTTGGAAAAAAAAAAAAAAGAAAAAAAAAACGTGAAATAAATACACAAAAAGTGATTCCTGCGGTCATACACCCTCCACGGCGGTCTGAGGCCCGACTAGCAGCCCCGTCTCCCGTGGATGGGTTAATACTCCCACAGCACCACTCCCACCCCCGGAGTTGAACCCCACAACCTTTCGGTTGCGGTGGTTCGTCAACCCACACGGTGTAGCTGAACAAGGCATCTACCCACTAGACTACCCGCCGCACAACTGTCAACGGCCGGGAAGTAATACTTAAGGGAGCGAGAGCAGAGCGGGCTAGGGAGATACTTAACCCTGAAATCGTAATCTACTACCAACCCACTGGGCACCCTCTTGTATACATTGATGAAGCAATGTTATATACGTTTAAGTATATGCTGTGCGCAAGTATGTACTTACCTGTACCCACTGTTTTCTTTTCTCTTTGATGTACTGCAGTTAAAGTTATCTGATACTGGTGTAAATATGGGGTCGACAGTACTACTGGCCATATAATTCTCACTATAAGAGTCGTTGGTATCAATGGGTATTAAAAAGTAGCTTAATCCACTCCATTGACAATGGACTAGCTGGATTCGATTCATCTAAATCTATTGTAATCCGTATTTCACCTACACACACGCACGCACGCACGCACAATCCAATAGGACACTTTATATATGCATTGACTGACCACATGTTGCTATGATATCGAGAAAAAAAACCAGTCATCTACAGCATCTACATACAAACGTACCCCATGCATCCCACAGTACACAAAAACACACACCACACACAGACACACAAACACAAAAAAAACAAGAAAGAAAAAAAAACCTCCAAATGTTGCGCGCTATAATTCCAAACATGTAGTCAGAAATATATAAAAATAAAGTAAAATAAAAAAGTCTTTTTTTTCTTCTCTTTCTTTCCTAAACACACACACACGCTCACTCACTCACTCACTCACTACTGTTCTGTCCATACACACGTACACTAAAAAAAAAGAAAGGTTTTAAAGCAATACGCCCCACGTACGCCCAAGCCCAAGCCCACGCCCACGCCCACGCCCGCATTTTTCTGTACCCCCCCCCCCCCCTCTCCACTTACCCGCCTCCTACCTCTACACCGCGGCAGCGGCGGTGAAGAAAGAGCTAAAAGACCTCCAAATAGGCCTCTAGCAGGCGGGCGAGAGACCTCATGATGCTGTAAAATGATATATAATAAATAATCCTCCCCCCAAATTCTAGGCCTGTACCTTGCCCGCCCCCGCCCTTGCCCTGCCCTCTAGAGAGTGGTAATATGGGAATAGAAAGCATGCAATAACCCCATCAATTGCTTTTGTTGTGGGGGAGGGGGCCGCCGCCACCGCTGCTGCTGCTGTAGGTACTGACTGACTGACTGACTGGATTGTTCTGGAAGAAAACGAGCAAGCAAGCAAGCAATGCAATGCAATCTGTAAAAAAAAATCTCCCAGCGCCGAATAGTAACACATCACACACAAGTAAAAGAAAAAATCCCTATCCACAAAAGAAAAAAGAACCAAAAAAGGCAAAACCAACAAAGACTCCAGGCTATCATACGTTTTTTCCCACATCTCTCTCACACAACACCCCACGGCGGCTGATTCTTTTTTTAATAAAAAAAACGGGATAACACAAAAAAAAGCAAGAAGAAAAGGAAGGAAGAGAGTTCTAGACTCTTATAGCTTACTACGAATGCCCTCCAGCCTAAACTTTACATCCTTCAAGACCTTTGACGTCGGCTTCCAATTCTCAAACTGCTCCAGCAGCTGCATGCACTCCTCCTGCAGCCTATTCCTGACATGCGGCTCCTCCAGCATGCCCCTCATGCTCCAGGGCAGAAAGAACGGGTTATTCGTATTCGTCGGCAGCTCAAAGGGCTCCACCTTCATCTCCACGCCCTCACACTCCGTCGTCTCGAGCGCATGGCGAACGCCCAGGCTGTAGCAAACACCACTCATGTAAGAATCAATGACCACAATGGCTGGAAAAGGAAATGCACTTACTCATACACCTGCACATCATCATAAATCCTCGAGTGTCCCTCACCGCCATACAAGCTCCCTGCCAACGGATTACTCAGCTCCCTAACAAGCCCATGGTCCGAGACGCCCTGGTTCCTCAACTTCATCGCAAAGCCCACCAGATGGCTCAAAAAGTCCGGCGCATGCACCCGCCCGTCCACAAACACGGCCCGGAAGATATACGGATGCGTGACGTTCGCAAACGTCGACGACTCCAGCGGCACCAGCTGGTCGTCGATGCTCCCCACATACAGCACCCGCACGTTGTGCCGCAGGATCACCTCCAGCGCCTGTATGTACTTCTGCGACGGCGCGCTGTCGGGCTTCTGGAACTCAAACAGCTCCTTCGCCGAGCCCGTCAGGATCGTGGTCGGGAGGTGGTAGAACGGGCCTAAGTTGATCCCCGCCATTGCCGTGAAGCCCACCCGTGCCTTCTCCTTCACGCAGCCTTCCTCAATGAGCCGTGCCAGGAGCTGGACGCCCACAACCACGCCCTGCGAGTGCGCCGCCATCAGGACGAAATCTGCGTTCTTGACATGATCCATCCAGTTTGATAGCAGCTTCCATAGCGTCTCCACCCTGTCGGCTACCTTACCTTCTCCCTCGAGGGCAATCTTCTCAATCTCAACCTCCACGTTGTTCTTCTCGGCCCAGCGCTTGATGGCGCCAGCGGCGGAGTTGGCAAAGCGTATAGACGTCCCCGTAGGCTCGCCCAGCACCGTCCGCACCAGCCGCATCGGGAAAAAGCCATGCACACCTATCGCCACTGCCTTTTTGATGCGCAGTGGCGCCGGAGCAAGATATAAGTGTTTCTTTGGGGGAGGGGGTTGGTTCTTGAAAAGCGGGACCTGGCTCTTCAACACCTTGGTTACCTGGCAGAGCATAGATGGCTGGCGCATCTTGTGGTAGCACGATTCAAACTCGGGGAATACATGATTGGCCGGTGAGGTTTTGCTGGGTGTCTTTGGCACCGTAGTAGAAGCCGAAGCCGCCGCCGGCTGTGGAGTAACTGGTACAACAGTGGCGGCTGTAGACATGCTGGCATCTGACTTTTTGGGGGTGATCGGACGGGACTCTTCCCGCAGATTACTGACCGAGCGAGCGACCTTGGGCTCATTGACCGGCGCCGGAGGTGGGACAGGAATTGGCGCAGGTACATCCTTCACCTTTGCCTTCTGAGGATTTGATGCCGAAGGAGTGTTAGCCACCGCCAATTGGCCCACCGTCGTCGTACTGCTGGCATTGCTATCCAGCGCGGGGTTGGTAGGCTTCGACCGATCCCTCGACCAGAATGCCCAACCCGACGAGGCCCTAGTAGGAGCCGCACTTGTCGAGCTGACCGTTTCCGTGGCACTAGGCATTAGCGAAAGAGGCGCCGATGGATCTACATGAGCCCCTAGCAGATGCGTCTCAGACTGTTTTGCGGCAATCTCTACTGTAGGGGCAGCAGGAACTACAGGTTCAGATCGTGCAGCTGCTTGAGCGGCAGACGAACTTGACTCTGGTGGTACTTGCTCCAGTACCGTCTCTGCAGGTTCCGCCGGAGCCTCCTGGACACTCTGAACTGTTTCAGGATTTGGCCCGCCTCCCCAGAACCCAAACCACGACCTTGGCCTCTCCTTGACCTTATTATCCGCCGCCCCGTCTAACGCCGGCACCTCCGTCGTCTGTGGGGGAATTGGGTCCGGCGTCGGCTCCCGAACCGGCGGAGGAGGGGGAGGGGGCGTTGGCAATCGAGGTGGTGGTGGCGGCGGCGGAGTAGGTTCCCTTGCGACCACAACATCCACAACTGGGGCTTCCTCTGGCTGCACTTCTGGCACCTCCGACTTTGGAGCCGGCGGAGCCTGCGTTTCTGGCGGCGGCCCATACCCGTACCACCATCCAAACCAATACGATCCCGCGGCAGGTGCGGGTGCAGGTTGTTGTGCCGCGGAGGCGTCCGACGTTTCATTGTTCTCGCTGCCCTCCACCGCGTCCTTACTATCTCCCTGTGTCTCCGTAGCTTCGGCCTCGGAAGGATGCAGTGATGGGGCTCTCGTCGATGGGGTTGCCGATTTTGCGGCCATGTCTGATGGCGTGGTGGTAGTAGCTGCTGGAACAGACGAATTCTGGGTCTCCTCTTCCCGGGCTGGTGCACTCGTCTTTCCGTGTTTGATTGATGGTGTTGGGCTCTTTGTGGATGTTCCCGAGATGTGTTCTGACGCTACGCTGGTGACGGGTGCGGACTTTTTGCTCCCGCTTCGAGGCCAAGTACCGGTTCGTAGGAACCACCGCGATGTCGGTTTCTGGAGGGGAAGGTTGCGGATGTTTTAGCAAACGATTGCCTCACTATCTTCTATCTCCGGAGGGAAACGCGAGGAAAAAGGGAAAGGAGAAAAAAGAAAAGAAAGAGAAGCGGAAGAAAGAAGCAAAAAGGAGGGCAAGAAGAAGAAGATGTGTGACACAACAACAATAGCTAGGCCGTTATCATACGTACTTCAACGTCATTCGCGGGTAAATCTGTATTCTGTCCGCTGCTACCGCCGCCCCGTATTGTCGACGGTGTGGACGTCGACGTCGATGCCGGCTGGTTTTGTAGCTGCTGCTGCCGCTTCTGCTGCTTCTGCGTCTTTGAGGAGGAGGACTGATCAGTAACAGCGGTGGCTGGGGATTTAGATGAAGATGCAGACACAGATGGCGGGTCCGCATCTTTGGGCGCCGCCGCGGGGGTGCTAGTCCGTGCTGGTGAGACCTTGCTGCTGCTGCTGTGGACGTGTAGATTGGACCCGCTAGTGCCTGTTGCTGGTAACGAGGATTTCCCGGAAGCATGGACGGTCGATACCGCGGGCGCCGGGGAGGTGGGCGATTTCGACGACGACGATGAGGGGCCGAGAGCTTGGAGCGCGTGGGGAAGGGGAGCTTTGCCTTCTTTTTTGTGCCGGCCATGGAGACGGAGGGCGCGGGGGGGGGGGGGGTAAGTTAAGGGATGAGGAGAAGGAGGAGGGGGGGCGGTTATGGTTGTGAGGAAGAGGCGGGAACTGATGATAAAGCAACTATAGTTGTATGTATGTATAGGGTATTGAATGTAGGATATAGATATGTAGGATAAGGAGAGGAAGGAGGAAGGTTATGAAAAGACACAAACAAAGCTGCGGTGTAGCTTCTATTGTAGGTAGCTAGCTAGTGAAAAAAAAAACTGTAGCTGCCGTGCTTTTTTTTTTTTTTTTGGGGGGGGGGGTGGCGGCGAGGGAAGGGAGATCTAGAAGTGAAGAAGGAAAAGAGAAAAAAATAAATAAACACAAAAGGTCTGGAGGTTTACTGTAGTTACTCTAGTCTCCTCTTCTCTACTGCTTGCCAGTGCTTGCCCTGCTGCTGTCTCTACTCCGCTAACTTTGATGTGCTTGCCTGCTTGCCTGCAGACACGCCAGCCAGCCAGCCAACGAACGTGAAGTCGAAGCCACTAGATTTACACCTAGTGCTGCACGTGTAACCTATCTAAAAGTATTCGGGAAATATCAAAGACGCAGTGTGGAAGAAAAAAAAAACCACTGTCTGTATGTAGCTGTCTGTATCCAGCCTGTACCTACTCTACCCGTAGAGTCGTTATGTATCATGTACTGACCGCCGACAAGCATCACACAGCCGGTAAATCTGGCTTGCAACAACGGCGGGCCCTTTCCTTTTCCCTGGACGGTGGAACGCCTTGGAACCTGAAGATTGGGAATGTGTGTGGTGTGTGTGGTGTGTGTGGTGGTGTGGGTGCGTGGGTGTAAGTATGTGTGTGTGGTGGGCGGCGGCGGGTGTGTGTGGTTACTGTTGTGGTTGCTGTGGTGTTGTAACTACCACCGCCACACCCACCCGTAACCACAGCATCACTCACTCGCTACCTCACTCGCTACCTCAACGTCCCTCAACCGCCACCCCCCCACCCCCGACCTCTCACTCTCGCTCGCTCTCTCTTCCCCGCTAACCCACCGTAGCCACCAAGCTTTCCTTAGTCGGCACCGCTAGTCCACGTCTACTCACTCACCTGCAGCGCACGCGCCACGTGTTCCTGCTCACGATGTCAGTTTTCCCTTCCCTTCTCTTCTCCTTCCATCCTCTACGGGCCGGCCCTGATCAGAGCAACTCCCAACGCCTCCACCCAGCGCATCTGGAAAGGGGCAACGTTATTGCTGGGCTGGCTAGGTAGCTGGTCCGGACATGAATTCTCGGGCCGATCATGCGATATACTTCCGCGCCATCTCAAGTTCGGAATTAAATCGATGTAGCAGGCAGGCAGAGGCAGGCAGAGGCAGGTACGTATGTATGGAGTGCTTGCTGGCTGCAGTGTCTGGGAAATCCACCCCCAACAATGCTACATACATACACACAGGTTACAGGTTACAGGTTACATGGGCGGTGGGTTACTCTACGAGTCTGCTCGGAGGCTACTTATATGATGTATGTACATGTAGGTACCGTGTCACATGAGCAGCTCTGGAGCACGAGTGATATTATATGATCAATTCGAATTCAACCCAATTAACCCCCCAATTCCCATATGCATTCCCATTACACCACCACACAGAAAGAAAGTTAACCACCGCTACAATTACAATTACTATACACCCCCCATATCCCCTCCTCCCCTCCTCCCCTCCCCTCCCTCTCTTCCCTAAAACCCACTACGCCCACAGCGCCCTCTCACTCCTACAAAACTCCCTCATCACCACCGACATGAACGAAATCTCCCTCGAGTCCAAGTCCAGCTCAAACACCCCGGCCCCCAGCATCCTCATGCCCACCTCCCTCCCCACCGCGCCAAAATACACCTCCTCCGGCACCGCCCCCTCCCTCAGCAGCAGCGCAATAATGCGCCCCCCGGCCCAGTGGTAGGCCTGGCCCGGATGCAGCATCTTAGCGTTCTCCAGGCGGCGCTTGGCGTCGCGGAAGTACTTCCTGCGCACATCTATGCATGTTTGTTAGCAACGGACACTCAATTCGCAGGGTGACGGGGGGAGGTAGGAGAGAGGGGGGGGGGGGGGGTTACTGTCGAAAGTCTCGTGGTGTCCCGCGCGCGCAAGGTTCTTGAGGATGCTGCTCTCGAGGTCGCGCGGGAAGAGGTCCATCCCGTCGGCTCTGGGGGCCGGGGCACGGGTATTGGCGGGGCGGCGCAGCGAGCGGGAGAGCTCGGCGTTGCTGGTGGCGACGTGGAAGTCGTGGGCGGCTTCGAGACTTGCTACGCGGGCGGCGAGAGGGGGGAAGGTGACTGCTTTTCGTCAGTGGATGCGGGAGAGGGATGGGAGGAGGGGGAAGCATACAGGCGTTGCTGCCCGTGGCGATGCTGACGGCTTCGGTGCCCGTCAGCTTGGTGCCGGAGTAGGTCCTGACGGCGTCGGGGGTGGCATGCAGACGCTGGGCGCCGCTGGCGGCGGTGGTGGTGGTGCGGAGGAGCGTACGGGCTGCTGAGGTGGTGTGTTTGTAGGACATTATGGGTTGTTGTTTGTAATTAAGTAGAAGAAGTAGAGGTTTATAGAAGAATTAAAAACGAGTAGAAAATTGCGTCGAAGTTGATATGTGTAGTGTGGTGGTGGGCGAGAAATGGAATGGAATGGAGAAAAAAAATTAAAGGTCTATGTTACAAGGAAGGGAAAACCTGGTCGAGCGCCCTAAGCCTTTATATGTATGGGCGAGCACCACCACCACGACCACCGGCCCGTTATCGTGAACCCAGCTCTCCAATACTAAATATACGCCCTCTTCCCTTCCATCACATCGCATCAGCTCCTTATCGATCGGGGCAGGTCCACTAATCATCCACTCGTGCTCTCTCATCCTCTACGCAGGGGCCGGGGGGGGGCCGGGGAGGAGGACCAGAGTAAGACGTGCTAGCTACGTAAGGGGGCGAGACGAGTCGAGTCCGACTCTCGCTTCTCAGCCTCATAGGACAGGAGGATCGTGAGGTCGGTGGGTGCGCTTCGACATTCTACAATTCCCCCCCCGGCCCAGCTATCTACAATACGCACATGACCCCCCGGCCCAACACAACTCTCGCTGTTGTTGGGAGGGTTGAATTATTAATATTTCCCTAGTCGGCTAGAAACGGCCGCGGTGGGTGTATGTGTGTGCTACTTTAACTTATCCTCCTATCTGAAAGCTTCCATCCTCTCCTATCGGGCTGGTACGTGGCAGGGGAGGAGGGTAGTTATCTGATTACGGGGCCCTGGCAGGCATTGAGTTTTGAGTGGAGGTGTGTTGGATCGTGGAGATAAGTACCTACATGCGGTTGCGGTAAGCTGCTGTGAGCCTCCGATTAGCCGCCGCGGCTCTGTTCTGCTCTGCTCTGTCCTGCATTGATTATCTCCATACATTCCTTCCTCTGGAGTCTACATACAAGAGATATCATTGAATTCGCTTATCCACTGCACCCAGAGTAGAGTACTCTACTCTACCTGAGTTCGCAATTCAAACCTCGCGTGTCCCATCCCCATTCCCACACCCCACAAGCCCGAGGACCTACATACCCCAACAAATCCAAACGCATCCAAAGCTCGAGGTCAGTCTGTATGTCGGTGGAGAACGACGGATAAGCGCATACCCACGGCGAATATAAACAACGATGCCGTCACCACCCCCCTTCTGTGTGGTTACCATTACCACCCATGAGCCCATAACGCCATCCATACCCGTGTCTGCGAAATCGAACGCTCAACCCGGTTCCTCTTTAACTCTGGGCTGGGACCAAGTGCTGTCAAGTGGCCCATTCTGCCAAGGCGTATTTGCCATCACCAGGTCCGGCCATGCTTTTGGAGTGGTACATGGTTACATGGTTGCACTGGTATGTAGGGTTGGCTCGGAGGATTTAATCGTTTGTCCTGCTCTACCAGGGATTTGGAGGGAGGGAGGGGTCTGTCTTTTGGGGAGTGATCTGCATGGCCGCTACAACCACTACAACCACCACAAGACAGGACAGGGCAAGGCGCGATAATACGTAAAACTAGCTTCGGAGGTATCATTATCCTTGTCCTTGTCTGATACGCGATATTATAAGCTTTCTTTCGTTCCTTGCGCAATTGCACTGTCTCTGAGCTACGGCTCTCACTGTTGCGTAATGGTAGCGAGTGATACTGCATGACGCAGTGTGAACCCAGCATGTGTGCGAGCAATTGCGCCGCCCGAAAATAGCTGCCATCTGGCTACATGTATGTACATGTATGCATATAGTGTATCCGTCACGCGGGTGATTCATGGCATAGCGAACTACTAGTACCAGCATACGGTAAATTATAATAATTATAATCTGTATGCCTAGGCCTACATATCTAACTCTAGACTCCCGACTCCCCTTAGCTACTACGTATCTAGTACTAGACAATCCAATCACTACAAGTTTGCTTTATAATTTATATCCAACCAATTCCCCCCGTTCTACGCCCAAAGCTTAGACGCCCACGGTACGACTCTATCGTTACTTAAGATCCGACACCCCCCGCCAGATCTAGAGATGAAGCTGTATGAAGCTCCATCTAGAGAGGTATTATGTACTTGAAAGTGTATCCACACACAATTACGCCCTGCGGTGATCAGAGATAAGTATATGCATGCCTCGTCTCAATTCCAAACACAGAGCCCGAGTTCCCCCCTTCCCCGGCCGGGGATACACGCCAAGCCCCACGACCAACCAGCTACTCCTAGACACTATGTAGTTCCTGATATATGTGGTAAAAACCAGCGTTATCACTACATGTATTTATCAAGATAAAAGAAACAACTAGCCGGCTCGATGCGGAGGGTTTGTGGTTTGTGGGAAGAGGACTCTGGGATCATAAGCTAGGTATGTAATCTCGTTACATATATGTAGCTAGCAACGAGACTAGGGGAGATCAATGTATTGATTAATGTATATATACGTAGTAGCTACATGTATGTACCTGCTATCAAGGCTTTGTGGATGCATATAACTGCTTCCCCGTAAAGTGTTTCTAATATCGACTTCTCAATTGCTACCACTGTGGTCCACGAGGATCCTACGATACCACCCATGTATAAACAACGCAAGCATCAGAGACGGGGGTTCCAAGCTTCTACAGGTGTCCCACGACCGTAAAGTACATATATAAACAAAATAAACTATAAAGACAGATGCATAAATCATTCTCTAGCTACATGTAGTAATCTTCCACAGTGCGTTCTTCATGGTATCAGAAGCTATGTATCCGCAAGGAGGTATCCTTACAGTTCAGGTAGGAACAATAAATCAACAGGGCCAAGCCAGTTCCTCCAAGCACGCCCGGTATTATTTACAGCCCCCAAACACCCACGGGCAAATAGTCTCGCATTTCCCTGCACCACTTGACTCCCGAGAACCCTTGATCTTCTTGCAGGGCCGTGGGGAACCCAGGTTATGCATATAGGGTTAGAATATTGGCTCGAGTGATATCCTATGAAGCAAGTACGCGGGTTTCATAAATGGGGGTCTGTTATTCTTAACTCATCCACGTAGGATCTGGAATGTGAATATTTACAGAAAATTTAATGCTACTGTTATTATAGCGTCATCTGGGACTGAAAGTTTGGATAATTAATTTTTTTTCTCTTTCGTTTACTGACTGAGTGTGGTATATCGAGATACGGGTTAAGATTAGCGACAGTGCAACTTTACGGTTGAGCTTGCATGAGATGCGCTCTAGCTAGCTAGCTAGGCCAGCGAAGAAGAGCTCCAATTGAGATATTCCAAACTCACAGCCTCCTCCTAACATTGCTCATCCTGTCCGCTGCCGCCCTCTGCGCCGCGGCCGGGGACATCACGGCTGCAGCAGCTCTCGCTTCCAACACCTGCACCCTCGCCTCCAGCAGGCGTATCCTCTCCGCATCCACATTCGCCTGGCCCACCGATCTCCCAGCAGCTCTCTGCGCATTAACTGTCGCCGCAGCAGTGGTGGCAGCAGTGGTAGCGGCCGCCAGCTCCTCCTTCGCAACGACGGCAGCCATCCTCAGCAGCTCGATCGTGAAGTCCCCGCCCTTGGACAGCAGGGCCTCCATGTCCTCGCAGGCCATGAGGCACTCTAGCTGCTTGACGGCAAAGCGGCACACGACGGTGCGGATGGTGTCGCCGCTGCGGGTGTGTGCGTAGACGTAGTCGATCAGGTCGACTGCGTCGGTGGTTGCGGTGGCAGCATCGTCGTTGTTGGGGGTGCGCCAGTGGGGGCATCGAGTGCCTGCGCGAGGCGGGTGAGCGTGAGCTGGCGGAGGCCGGGGACGTCTTTGTAGTCGGCGAGGGCGTAGAGCTGGGCGTGAGGGAGGAGGGTGTGCGGCTCGGAGGAGTAGGTGGCAATGTAGAGGTACTGGAGGAAGCGGGCAACGGTGGGGCCGTCCCAGTCAGGGAGGTCGATTTGTTGGGTGGTTGACTCTTTCCACGGGCCGGTGAGGGCACAGTTTAGTGGTGGGGAGTGGGCGAGGAGGGTGGCACTGTGGACGGAGAAGTGGGCGGTGCCGTTGGCAGCGGTGACGGCGATTAAGGGTGAGGAGAGGATGGTGGGGTTGTTGCTGAGGTTGCTTGATTTAGTTAGCTGGTGGTGTGCTAAGGAGTGAGGGGTTGGGGAATTCAAGAATAGATACCTCGGTGGTTCGGACGCCATGATAAGATGGGGTGGTGGTTATTGTTGTTGTTGTGATGCTATGATGGTTTTTTTGGTTGTGGAAAGGTCGTGGTGGTTGTGGGGGTGTGAGATGAGGTGAGTGGGAGAGGGAAGACTTGATTGACACATTGACCATGCAGGCTGCGGGTTGTAGACAGCGCCGGCGCACGTCTGAAAACTTCTGCCCAAAGCTACTCTACCCACATACTGGGGCTGACATCATGCATGAGAGACTAATGCGATCTCTTCGCAAGTAGGAAGCCTAATTGATTTCCCCATGCATCCCGTCCTCGCCTGAATCAATCCCTTGCAGGTTCGACCAGAGTATGCCAGCTCGGTACCATAAAACGGATGTGGCCCCCACTTCCATGACAGACAGGTGCTATTATTCTCAGCCTTGAAATTCATCTTGGCACTGCTGTGCACCTTAGTATTCAACCTTTGTAATTATGCCTAGTAGATATCCGGCTTACACTTACTGTTTCAGATTCGATCTATATATATCCATGGGCTGGAGACTCGACGAGGCTGCCTGCGGATGCTTTCCTGTGGAACCTGAGGTCTCGATCCATATCGATGCTATTTATGCTTCCTGCCAAGCCTCGTGACTTCCGAGTGATATATTATGATTCTAAATTGCATTCTAGTCAACGACCAAGACATGATTATATCACCATGATGGAGTGATTTTTACCGTCTGCAGACCATCATATGGACACATGCCACGAACAAGGTTTGAAGTACTGTGGATTGAGTGATAGGTCGATTCGAGGAAGCTACTGCAGAATCTGTAGACGTTTAGTTTCATCGGAAGTGATATTGGAGCATAAAAAAATAGACGAATAGAACCTAGTTACTGGGTATGTGAGCTGACAAATTAGCAAAAAGGAAGAAACGGATATGGAGTCCCTCTTTGAGTCACAGTCAGAAAACAACTTGTCTCAAAGACAAGAAAGACTGCAGGTAACTTGAAGCCCTCGAATAATTATATATAACTCGCTTGGGACTATGAAGGATCGAGGAGCTGAGGCAAAAGGTGTGTTGAAAATTTTTAATAGGTCACGGATTTATGAGAGACTGAAAAGGATCGAGTTTGTGTGATTAGATTCAAGAAGAAACGAGAGAAGAAGGAACAGGCACGTTTTATAGTTAACAAAGTCGTGATGAACAGGTATCATCAAGACAACTAAACTCGTTGTCTTGACACGTACACAGTGCTAATAACAGGTAGCAGAGGCTGTAAAAACAACAGAACGCAAATGGAGGCTTAGGGAGAAACAAAGTGTTTGTGTGAGCTATCTGAACACCGTATTGATATAGTTCAAATTAATAAAAGTTAAATGTCCCTCACAATAATTATTGCTGTATCTCAATAAACTAGCTTTTATCCCTACTATATTGGGGGTTTACACCGTGAACTAAACAAACCCTACAGCTATATATTTTACAACACGTATCCGTTCTTTATATTATAATTGACAGTTCTAGATCCGTCTCTGTTATCTATATACACTACGAAAAAACGGGATGAAATTACTACCATAGTATTGAGGGATTTTAAGAATTAAACCAGCATTATAATGCCAAGTATAAAGGGTTCTCAGCTTTATAATTTAGTTGATTCACTTATAGTTATATTTTCCTGGTAATTTGAACTAAAAAATAGAGTAAATCAGTTTGTGTGACGACGATGGGTGGGGAACCTACGGCTGCCTGGCTGCTCGACCACCTCGCGATGTTTCGAGGTTAAAACTGCAAGCAATGCAGCCCCGCAGTTCTTTTTTGCTTGAAAGAAGAAGAAGAAGAAGAAGAAGCTTATCTCCCAGACAAGAACTCCACCCCGTATAAGACAGCATGTCTCAATTGGTTGCAAATCACGGTCAGAATCGACACTTCAAGCAAACCCACCACCACAGAATCAAGCCAAATGAACTCCAGATAGACCCCCCCCAAAAAAAAAAGAAAACCCCCCCAATAAACAAAAAACCCTTCAGGCCCTTCAGAGCACTCCCAACCCCTCCAGTCCCCCCAAAGAAAAATTTCAATGCAAGGAGCCGTTGCCATGCATGAAAAGTTTCAACCCCCAAGCAAGCCCGCTCGTGCAACGATCGCCGCCTGGCCGCACCTCCCTCTCGCCGAGACAAGCCCGCTTTTTGCAAAAATTTTTTTTTTTTTCGCGACACCTCACACACTATTTATCTCTCTCTTCCTGCCTCTCTTCTTCGCTTTCTCCATTTCCCTTTCTCCACAACACTCTCTTCGCCATCAAATAAGCAGCCCTCATCAACACCAGACAGATATAAAGATGAATTTGGGTTGGTTTGTACGTATCTCTTACACCCACACCAAGATGGAAGAAAAGAAGAAATAAAAAAAAAATGCTAACACATAACCATTAGTCCAAGTTTAATTTCGAGCAGTTCCGTGCTCCAAAGCCCATACTGCCTACAAATGGCCACGCTGCGACCTCTCAGCCCAGCCCCATCCTAACTACTGTGCTCTCAGCCAGCACGACTGATCAGCAAATGCCGAGGGCCGGCAATATCGGCTCACAGTTCAGCGATAAAGCCAAAATATATGGTTTCGCGTCCGGAATCATGATCGTATTGTGCGTCGTCACATTTGCCGCCGCATACTCTATACTTGTGCGACCCATTAACGATGCCGAGCCATATCCCACCGATATTATGGACGGTATTCCTGAAGATATCAATATGGTAACCATGACCATTCTCCCCTTTCATGGCGGTATTGGTTTCGGCGGGCACTACACCACTCAAGACACTGAGTAAGTATTCCATTTTATCCATCTATCCACAATCCTGATAAAAAAATACCAACTGATCATACTAACCCAGTCTCCTACATCTAAGATCTATGACCAGTATGGTTTTGGCAGCCAACACAGCCAATGCACACGCTCTTTCCGGATCCCTCGACCAAGACGCCATTACCGCTACCGGAACTTTGACTCTTGGGACCCAGATCTTTGTTCTGGTCGACTCCACGATCGCTGCCCAGGCCCTAACTGGCACCGATCTGTACGCTCCATTGTTGACGGACACCTCTTATGCTCCTACCCCCGCCGGGACACCGCAGCACAAGCCTAACAACAATTTCTGTGTCAATGGCAACGATGCAACTGGGATCGGTCCATGCACTACGTTTTCTACTACACCTACTATCAAGGTTCCCGATGTTGTTTTGCCGGCCTGAGTGCGAGTAACGTCCATGCAAATAGTACATGTTGATAGAGTTTTAGGTAAGCCTCTCTGTAATTGACGCCTAAGATATTTGCTTGTTGCGCACAAAGCTAACAATATGTTTTTTTTAAAGATCCCTAGTATGATTTTTGATTGTAAAAGTTATATTCAAGGTAATTGGGTAGATAGGGTTTTGTCTGCAGTGTCGTTGTAATTGGTACTGAAATTGAATCGGCTTTTCTTTCTTTAGAGCGTCCTTTTTTGAACTGTCTTTGAGTCTTTTTTAAACAGCTTACTCAGTCGTTAATTAAAAGGTCGGAAAATTTAGTAAGCATTTGGTTGCAGCGATATCCGACCATTTTATTAACGCGCGAGTATATTAGGTCGTCTTTTCATCGGTTCATTTTTTTTTTTTTTTTAGGCAGCCTTTCCTTTGGAATGTCTTTCAAAGTTATTTGTTTTCATGAATTATCACTCGCCCGTCTTGATTGGCATAGCGGCAATATGTAAATTGTATCTTTTTTGGTATTGTTTAAAAAAGATTGATGTAAATTCCCTTTTAAAACTCCTCTGGTATTCCGATGGGGTGACCGAATAATAAGACGACCCATGCACAAGATAAATAGAAAAAAAATCCAAAGAAAAGAAAAAGTACCCCTCGCTGACTAATTTGTTACCACAAATAAATCCAATTGTTCAATAAATAGCAGTTCTGATAGTCTAGGTACCATACCCAAACGGCCCATTTACTAAAAAAAAGAAACTCTTTCAAAAGTCCATTTGCTCCTATGAAGCCTCGGTTTCCGCCTTTGCGCCCTCCTCACCGCTCTTGAACGACTTGTGCGCCGAGTGCTTCTTGTAGTAGTAGTTTTGCTGCGCTGGCTTCAGATCCTCGGGCAGTGATTCCAGAGCCCTTGCCAAGATTGCATCAATACTCTTCTGGTTGCTCCCGTCACGATTCCAAATCATGATCAGATGCGAGTTGAAACGAACACTGATCGACACACCACAGATATCGTCACCTTCACACCACATTAGCCACTATCATCCCAACCACCGCAGAAAAAAACACAATGTACTCACCACGCTCCACAACCTCTTGCAATATCTCACCAATGGCCATCATAAGTACCTCCTTCCAGAACTCCTGCGAGTTCGCCTTTGGCACACGGAAGGTCCACGCTCCGCCCGTCATATTTCGTGGGTCCTCCCTGGAGAGTGAAGTTGTGTAAGCGTCAATCCCATTATCACACATCATAGAGTGGGAGCGTGGGGTTGAGGCTTACCAGATGGGCTTCACATTCTTCTTGAAAAGGTGCAGCGAGTCGCGCAGCGGCAGCGTCGAGAACGGCGTGTTGTTATACACCTGCCAGAAGCTCTGCACGGTGCTGATCTGCGCGATCTCCTTCAGTTGGTCTTCCCAGTCCTGCTCTGTCGGGTTAGGGTTTGCCGTGTGTCTGTGTTCACAGATAAAGTGTTAGATATTGCTTTCCTCACACATACTCCGACTTCTACGACGGCATAATGCAGGGAGGGAGGATTGTGTATATGTACTTGGGTGGTTCAACCGACCTGTCGTGCCAGAAGACCCACTCGTGTCGTAGCGGGTAGGGCCGTAGCTTCTTCAGCATGGTCATACGCAGCTCTGCACGCTTCTCGCCGCTGACGCTGGTGGTCGTGGGCGTGCTGCCATTCACCTGGAGTGCTGGAGCTTCCGACGACGGAGGAGGGGATGCTGCTGTTGTGGTAGCCATGGTGGTGGTGGTGTGATGTTGTTTCTTTTTGGAAAGATCTGTCGAGGGAGAATGGGATTGGGTGGTCGAAACAAGAGATCTAGGAATTGGGCTGCAACAAAGAAAAAGACGACTGAGCTGACTTTGCTGTCGTAAGGAAGGTAGGTATGTAGGTAATAGCAATAGGAAGTAGGCAATAGATTAAAATATATTATTTAAGGTATCTCTAGGAGTAGCTGTAGAAAATATATAGCTATTATATTGATGGGCCGGGCCTGGGGACGCAGAGAAGAGAAGAGAAAGCAAGCAAGGAAGCAATAGAATAGAGCTGGACAGTGACAGAAGGGAAGAGATGTCAGAGAACGGGGGGGAAGACAGCAGAGTATATATTTGGCCTTCAGTCAGTCAGGAAGCAAACCAGTACACCCTGGCCATTCCCTTCCCTTCTCTTCACTTCGCCATGGTCCCACCGATCGGCGGTTGGGGATTAGTTAGTGCTAGTGAGGGGCACGCCTGGACGGCGGGGGGACGGAACGGGGCGTGTGACAACAACAGAACAGCCCTTTTTTTCGTTTCACATGCCCAGGGCCACAGTACAGTGAGCATCATCTAGAATATCTATTTGCTAACGGCATCCAACCCCTGGGTTGGGTGATGATGATAGACGGTAGTGGTGGTGCTTGATGAGGGAGAGAGCGCTTGGGGAAGAGAACGCAGCGAGACGCGTACCACAGTGGAGATCTCTTCAATCTCTCACTTCCCCGGTTTCAACTTGACGAATTGGCCGTTTGATGTGCGGAGAACCTGGCTCTGGGGGGCCAATCCTTCGGGAAGGCTAGCTGCCTAATTTTGCCGAGATCCGGGTTGGGTGAGGCCCCGAAAGCTGTGTGGATCGGGCCGGGATCGGAGGAACTGAGGGCTCGGAGATCTGATCACTCGTCTTGCCCTTGGTGCTCTGAGTGAGTGGGCTGGTTGGGCTTTGTTTTGAGGCTACAGGAAAGTGCTTTACTCTAGAAATGAAACATATGGATGTTTCCTCTCACTTTGCGGCACCCCAGCTTATAATCAATATAAAGTCATCTACGTAGGATGCCGCTTGCTGCATAGTGGAGCACCGGGGTACATAGAGATGCTCGCCATGCGCAGTGCAGCGCAGAACAGTTCTTAAAATAACACCATTTAGGCTCCGAACACTAGTACTAGCAGTTGTACTACTACTCTAGCTGAGGCCAAAAAAACTCCCCTAAGAACTTTTTCCCCCAACTCACCCAAAACCCCAAAACCTCAACTCACCTGGAGAAAAAAACACACTCCAAAATGCCACGCAAAGACTCAGAAACTCTCCCCGCCATCTTCCTCCACCCAGAATCCAATGGCGACTCTGAAGAACCCCAATTCACCGTCTCCACGACCCCCGCCACGGCGCCGCAGAACAAGCCCAAAATAGCACCCATGCCACCCTCGTCAGATTGTATGTACCCCCCCCCCCCTCGCCTCCCAGTCCCCCACTACTCTACGGTGCCGCACGTGCTGACCTGACCTGACCTGACGGGCGCCGGTGACAGTGCTTTCCCGCCTCAATGCGTTTCTGCCCGCCATCTCTGCAGCGAACCGGGACCTGGAAGGCGAGATCGCCGCTGGAACAATCGCGCAGAGGAACATTGAGAATGTGAGCGAGAAGGAGGAGGCTTACATTGAAATGGTGAGTTACATAAGTATTGCGATGCGCTTCGGGTTACGGTGGTGGTGGACCTGGCGGAAAAAGCTCACGCATGGATACTAACGTCCAGATGCGCTCCTGTAGAATCTCGGCCTCGGCGTCCTCAAGCAAATAGATCCAAACAACCCCGACGAGTCCGAGTCAGAGTCCGAGGAGGAGGAGGAGAAGGAGAAGGATAGCGACGCGGGGGCAAAAGCGGAAGAGAAGGATATCCTCGGGAAGCTGCTGCAGCGTCCCGCTCGCGGAAAGCCAGGGATACAAGAGGTGGAGGATCAGGCGCCGAGTGTCAAGAGGGACGATGATGATATGGACATTGATCCATTGGAGAAAAGATAGAAGGTAGAGAACTCTTCAATTTATTTGTAAATCATTTTTAGGTATATTAGTCTGGGGTATAGGTTTTCCTTTTCTTCTCTCTTAAACAGTTTTAAAACGTATCTACATTACTTTTTAACGTTGGTTCTTGGATATAAGCTATATATAAATGCTTTTCAACGTGATATCGCCCACACGCACATAATCTCATCAGTCTAACACCTGTACCCAGCCCACAAACCCCCACCGTCCCAAAAACCCTACATCCAGAAAAAAGAAGATTACCAGAAACCAGAAAGAATTAATGGACCCATTACAAAAAGCAGTCTACATAGTCACAAACATCTAAACCTCCTTAACTCTGCACTGCCATCCACCAGAACCCTGGTCAAGCAATGGCAAACTGGCACCCAGACACCACCCAAGTTCGTTGCCCTTGATCTTCTTCGCGATCTTGACTTCGCGGTCCAAAGGCATTTCGTATCCAGTGTGCAGGAGCGCAAGCATGAAACTCAAGTCGAGACAGTATTCAGGCCTGTCCCTAAGTTCTTCCATGGCGTCGGGGATAGAGTTGAATACGTCCCATGCCTTCTCGCCAGCGCACACTTTAGCGGTAGTCTCGCGCATTTCCTTGAGTGTGAACGAATCCGGGAGACCAAGAGGACGAGCGCGATCATAGAAGTAAGAAAAGATATAGATATCCTCTTTGGCGAATGTGCGCTCTAGAGGTGGCTGATGGATACCATTGAACGAGCATGGGGTGAGCGAGCATTTCTCATCTTTCTTGAGAATTTGCTCTGCGAGGAAACGGCATTGTGTCATGGATGGCTCAGCAGGGCCAGTCATGTTCACCTTGACAATCTCCTTGGTGTCCTTCATTTCAATCTCGACTTCGCGGATCATTCCAGGGATAATGCAAGGGTTTACAATAGGCTTTTCGTTCCATGCCTGGCCAAGTTCAGCAATCTTTGCCTGCGCAACAAACTGGTGAATTGCTTTGCGGGCCTCCATAAGCCCGTAACCGAGATGAGAATGCTGGTAAAGGTCAAAGTGACGACCGCCAAACTTGAGTTCATATTTGTGGTCGCCAGGGGCGAGATGGGCGGGCATGCCACCTCCAATGGAGGGGAAGGTTGGCTCAAAGACAATCTGTGTTGAACCACCGCCAAGATCAAAAATGGCTGCAGTAGGAGTATCTTCAATGGTGCCAATCTTTCCAAGAAGGTAGTTGGTAGTGATCCATGCGTAGACACCTATGGATTGTTAGAACTTGATCTTTGGCAATTTGCGAAACTGAACTTCTGAGGATATACCTTCATCCTTTCCTTCCATAATTTCGATACCGCTTCCTGCAACGACTGGGAACGGATACTTTGTTTCAAGTCTGGTTCTAACCGCGTCCAAAATCTTTTGACTTTTTTCGGGGCCCAACAATCGCAGACCGGCGGTAGCCTTGACAGCAACTGGTGAACAGCCTCTAAGCTTTTCGGGAACAGACGCAACTGCTACATCCATCAATACATCCAAGCTCATCGCAGCCTCTTCTGCCTTCTCCTTGAACGATGAAAGGCCAGGTTGAATCATCTTAAAATCTTCGTTTTCGAGTTCGGGAGTTTCGCCACAGTTGTTGAATCGGTAGACGTGGACACGCGAACCGGTAGAGCCGGCATCGATCATGATAGCATATTGTACAATTGGTTTATTTGGTGAACTGGATCTTGTGCATTTTGAAGTCCCGGATGAGGGATCAAGGGCAACCTGTCCATTTCCTCCCGCTGCTGCTGCTGCTCCGTGTGTACTACCGGATGCTTAAAGGAAATCAGCACCTATGCCCCTCTAGCTGACATCAGAGGATTGAACTTACATGGGAGACTTCTGGGGGCTAGCAAAAAGAGTGCCAGGCAGAAGACGACCCCTATGGTCACTGTCTTGATCATTCGACTCGACATTGCAGGAAATCCTAGGGAAGATCCTGAACTTTGATGGCGACCCAGTTTTTCGTGTGGATCCGACGGACGAAGCTGTGATGAGATGCTGGAGGATCTCTGATGAGGGCGTTGGAAGGAGAAGTATGACCAGAGGGAGGGCCTTCTTCTCACGTTAGACATGGAAGAATATATATAAGGGATGCCAACGCTCGATGAAAGAAAAAACGAGTGTCGGGGAGTATTCTGCAGAACGGGGAAGTGTGGGTCAAAGGGACAAATGGCGAAAGCACACGAACAGCAGGTCTGTAAGGGGACAGACCAAGTGAGAGTAACGGGTTGGGAACAGAAAAGGGACGAAAGTACTCTTAGCCCAAGCCCGGGCCCCTATCTAGAGTAACAACATGTAAAACCTAGCTTGATAGCAACGTAGCTCTAAGGCTAGCTGCTGCAGGGGTAGAACATTTTTTCATTTAAAAGGTTACCCGGCCCGATGACATACCATACCGACCAAACATGGATCATGAGGCTCTAGCCTAGGAACATGTGCACGCAGGTAGAGTATATTCAGTTACAGTGCACACGGCTAGGGGAATTTAAATAAAAAGGTCTGGAAGCTTCTATCCTTATCCGTGGCGATAAGCTACGTATTTAAGAGATGCCCATGCAATCCACTCTGGGCGCATGTGCTTTTGTGGGCTGAGCTTGATGTGAGCTCTCGATCTCGTAGATTCAACACTGTATTTCGTCTCAATAAATTAACTCAACCATCATCATCTCCATCTTTGTCTTCATCATCGTCACCTGCTTCTTTGTCTTTGTTCTTGCTGCGACGATCATCCATCCATCTGTCAGTTTATTCAAACATCTGTTAGACAATTCACACATTACGCCATGGCAAATACTGAGCGTCCCGTTGAGCTCTATGTCTATGATCTATCTCAAGGTGAGCTCACCAAACATTCAGATGCACCGCATAATAGAGCTGACCTCGTTATTAGGGATGGCTAGACAGGTATGTTCTTCGCCTGTCCGGTTCAAATGCTGTTAGTGCAGTACTAACAGGCACATAGTTCTCTCTCGGACTCCTGGGAACTTTCATAGGTAAGTTCTTCTATGACGAGAGGATATCCTAATGGGGGAGCTAATTATCACCATTTTTCAGATGCCATTTACCACACCAGCATAGTCCTCGGGGGTCGTGAGTACTATTATGGTGTGCCAACCTCCATTCCAATGATCTATATGAAACAGCCCACTAAAGCCCATACAGGCCAGGGAATTCAGTTTTCGATTCCCGGGAGGACTCATCACGGAAACCCCATGGAGAAGATTCATCTCGGTGTAACTTCTCTCAACGATGAGATCTTCCTCGAATACCTCGATTCTCTCAAACCAATATACAGTCCTGAGGCTTACGACCTTTTCCAACACAACTGCAACAACTTTACAAATGACGTTGCACAATTTCTCTGCGGCCGTGGCATTCCCGACCACATCGTCTCACTTCCGCAGACTGTACTAAATACACCTTTCGGTCAAATGCTAAAGCCGCAGTTAGAACAAGCCATGCGCCCAATTACAACTGCGCCAACCCCACATGCGGCTTATACTCAAGCATCAAGAGATGCAGGTCAGCGCCCAGGAGCCTCTAAAGTTATTACTGCAAATTCACTTGCAGCGTTGGAGAAGGCTTTATCGTCCGCGGAAGCTTCGTGTGCCGTGGTATTCTTCACATCTTCTACATGTGGACCGTGTAGAAGTATATATCCGCGCTATGAAGAATTGGCCGCCGATGCGGGGAGTAGAGCGAAGCTCATCAAGTGTGATATTGGAGCTGCGCCTGATGCAGCATTGAGATATGAAATTAATAGCACCCCAACATTTGTGACCTTCCTAAAGGGTGAGAAAGTCGAGGAGTGGGTAGGCGCAAGCGAAAGGGATTTGCAGCAACGTGTGGACACTCTCTTGAGAATGGCTTATCCTCGTAAGTATCTTCTCGGATTTTACTCTAGAAATGAGCTAAACCCTTGGTTCAGCCCACCCGCACACGGATATCAAGCTTCCCATTACCTTAAGCACTCCCATGAAGCCGATAACATTCACCAAGGTCCCCCCCCTCGGCAAAGTCACCGAAAAGCTCGGGGATACTGGCAAAACCCCCATTATACAATCTATCTGCGACTTTATCGCAACTCGGAACAACAGCGGCGCCATTGAAGCTCATCTTCCAAATCTTTCAAACGTCGCAGCCCTCCTCCGCGAATCCTTCGAAGGACTTCCCGCGGATAAATTATTCCCTCTTATTGATCTTTTCCGTATTGTTCTTTCAGACGTGCGAGTTTCTGGTTGGTTTGCTGAGGAAAAGGGTACGTATACTCTTCACAGCCTATCACTCGATCTAACAGAACGAAAAATTTAGACACAACTACCATCAAAACTATGCTGTCCTATGCCAAAACCCAAGATATTCCCTATTCTCTGCGCCTAGTCACTCTTCAAGCCTCCTGTAATCTTTTTAGCTCTCCATTATTCGCTGCACACCTCACCTCGCCCGCTCTCTTGTCAGACCTCGTAAATTTGATCACCACCTCCCTTCTCGATCGCACCCATACTCCATGCCGTGTCGCCGCTTCCTCGCTCGTATTCAACTTGGCCACATACGCGCAGAAGCAGCGCTCACTGTACAACGAGGAAGTCCTCGGCGGAGTAAGCGTAGATATCCTAGCCAGCGTAGTCGAAGCCCTCAAAGCGGAGGAGGACAGTAAAGAGGTAGTCAAGGGCCTCGTGCTAAGTCTCGCACTCATGTGCTACTGCGTCCCGCTTGACGGGGAGGTAAAAGACTTCTTGGAGGCTCTCGAGGCGGGTGCTATCGTCAGGTCAAAGTGCGGAGGAGCGGGCTTGGGTGAGAAGGGGCTTTGCGAGGAGGTTGCTCGCCTTTTGGAGGCTTAGACTGTGGGAGGTAGTTTGGGTTGAAGGTACATGTAGCCTATAAACCGCAGTGATATCTTTTACATCATGGCCTGTACTTCAATCTTAGAGAGTTTGTGGTTTGGAATACAATCAGATTTTTTGTTTTGGTTTCAATCAGAATATACTCGTATCAACGCTGATGCTCTATGGGCATGCAAGTATTAGTATGTACTTTCACGAGCACTGTCACAAAAACGTGGTTAAGACAGAACCTCTTCTGTCGTTGAAATTCAAAGTATGGGACGGAACGACGACAGAAAGCCGTAGAGGGGAGATACTCAGCAGGCCCAGTTACCACTTCCAACCCAAGTCTGTGCAGAGTAAAACCTCTACAACCGCCCCACAAGTTATCCGCCGTTGAAGGTTGACTCGTTGCCCAACATCTGGAGACGAAGCTCATTCCCGTCCCAACCGCAGTGACCGTGTGCACAACAGTACATGTAGTTAGCATTGACTAGTGTAGAGTAAAAGCTGTTAAGCTGCTCGATAATGCTCTCCGGTTGCGCTGCTAGGTGAGTGTACTTACGCAGGTCCGATGTATTCTTGTTGATGAAAGCAAAGAGCTGTATGTTGCGAGGAAGTACATATGCAAAAGGAGGATGGTGGGGGGATGAGCAACAGCCCCTATATTCGGCCCCAACCATGGGGCGAGAGAAAATAAGATAGTTCAACCTGCGATTGTAAGCTCTGATCGATATCACACACAGTACGTCCCCACTAAGGCCCTCGGGTGTACCCACCCACCCAGCCACCCAACAAGCTCCAAAAACTCCCCCAAAACAGACAAAAATTTTACAAGAGTGATGCTGTGGGAATATACCCTCACGGATATACTCCCACAGCAACACTCCCACCCCCGGAGTCGAACCCACGACCTCCGGACGGTCATGGTGGCTCAACACACTCGGTGTAGCAGGGTGAGCTGTCTACCACTAGACTACACTCGCCCGCACAAATTTTTGGTGCGCCGGAAGTAATAAGGGAGCACGAGGGATGAGAAGAGCTAGGAGGGAAAACCTAACCCTGCTAGGACAATCTACATTGCGGACGATGTACGTCATGACCCACAGCTGGTCACCTAGTCTCGTACGTACCCATCCCCTACATACTTCGCAGCAAGCTTCTCTGGGCAGTAGGGTCTGGAACATTATCTTCCCGACAGACGTCGGCCTCTGAGATGTGGTATCGGGCTCTGGATTGTGATGTGGGAGCCCGACTAGCTTGGCCGACAATGTGATATAGAAGGCCGACTTGTGATATAAAAGCCCTTAATTCTGATGTCGGAAGGTAAAAAAAAGAGAGAAAAAAAACTTTATTTTTTCGTACATATGCAAACCGAGCACAACAGCCACACCGACAGCCCGATACCCCATACAAAAAAGATCTCACCCATGGCCAAGTCGGAAAGATATAGCACCAGCCGGCCTGTCCGCTGGAAGCATGGAAACAGACGGGTTGGGGACGAGCCTACTGGTCACCTATTTACCCACTTGTATATATATATAGCGTTTTTGGCAACTTGACCTAGCGGCGGCCTAAAAGCCCGTCATCCTGCCTAGCCTGGCTTCCTGTCCGCCCACTTTACGGCAGTCAAAAACTGGAGAGCTCAGAATTGTAACCATAGGAACATAGCTTCGGGAAGCGCGCCGGGCTGATAACCCGGAGGTCCCACGATCGAAACGTGGTGTGGCTAACATTTTATCATTTTTTTTTTTTTGTGTGTGTGTGTGTGTTCTGAGAGAATGGGAAAGAAGCCGCGGGGTACAAGTTCCACGAGAGGGATTTTGAGTGTGTTTTAATCGTGAGTTCAGGCTACCGGGGGGGGGGGGGGGTTTCTTGGGCGAGATTGGGAGGCGGGGGAGGGGGTGTGGGTGTGGGCTATCGAAGTGATACGACGTACGCAGGTTCCTTTGTATTTTCTGGGTAGTGTGGGGGTGATGTTCGGAAAATTTGGTAAGTACTTGATAGGGAAGACAGTGATAATTTAATTTTACAGGCCGTAGTTGTTTGCTTGTAAATCCCAATTTTGATAGGTAACAATCTGCCGCCTCATGCGCAGCTCGAGCTCGAGCACCTTGGGGCATAACCTCGATCATCACGCGTAAACAAAGACATGGATAATATATGTACGAAGCAGAGGAACCTCGAGGCACTCGTCTCTGATCGCCTCGGGCAGTCTCGTGGACCACTCTGATCATGACTGTGCTGTTCTTGCGCGTGTAAATGTACACAGCACAGAGACGCCTTCCTACGTACGCGTGGCCACGTACTTATACTATAACCATAGACTTACGGCGAGGAATAGGGTAGCGTGGCAATCTGCCCTCAAGCATGTCTTATAAAAGCTAGTCTCGTTCCCAGACTGTTTTGTTGTCGCACTGCATGCAGCTACATATAAGAGCTAGAAACTTACATAGTCCCGTCAATACATTATCGTCTGTGGCCCTCATCCCAACCAATATTTCGGTTTTGTTACAGCCATTAATTGGAACACACAACGCTCCACATCTACGATATCGATCGAGAATACGTACCGGTTTATAGCAGCCCCCTTAGCTCTCTTAACATACGTCGGCTGCTTTTTTCTCTTTTGGCTGTGATTGTCATCTCTACGCCCTATTGGGCCATATTTCCTGCGGCGTAGGCCCCATTTTTTTTTTAACCTGCATATATGCAGCCCTATTTTCATGAAATCAGCATCATTGACACTGTCGAGTGATATCCTGTGATGCGTCGACAGGCCCATTGGCCCTAAACACTAGTAGACATAACTCCCTCGATTAACGCCTTCCAGAACTGTAGGTAAATATAAACACAGTTAACAGCTCTCCCGCTGCAGTCAAGGATTAATATCAATCCACCGAGCTGGTTAGGCGTGTGTAACCTCTTGGCAACGACGTCCACAAGTCTCCAAACCTGCCCACCCACTCACCCACAGCTCACTCACCTTCAATTGCAACCCCACGACAGACCGTCAAAATGCGCGCCGGCCTCCGCCCCCTGCTAAGGGCGAAACCGCCCTCCGCACAACTCCCCGCCGCCCCCGCCCGCCTCCAAAAGCGCACCCACACCAGCCACACCCACACCCCCACCCCCACCGCCGCCGCCCGCTCCCCCCCCAGCGTCGACTCAGCACGCACCTACTGCGCCACCCTCCTCCAGTACGCCCCTCCTCCCCCCTCCCCTGCACCCACTCCCACCAAGTCCTAACACCCCGCACCCCCGCGCACCCACTAGGAAACACGACTACGCCTCGCACCTCACCACGGCACTGATGCACCCGCTCGCGCGCGACGCCCACCTCGCCATCCGCGCCTTCAACATCGACACGGCGCTGATCGACGACGCCGTGACCAGCGTCGCCGTCGGCCGCATGCGCATGCAGTACTGGCGGGATGCCGTCGACGCTACGTTTTCGGGCCGGGCGCCGGCGGAGCCGGTCGCCGTGCTGCTGGGCAGTGTGTTGCGCGGCGGGGCGCCGCTGGGGAAGGGGTGGTTTAGGAAGGTTATTGGCTGTCGGGTGCGTATGTACACAGTCTGGTATGGTAGAGTTATTGCGGAAGTCAGAACTAAAAGGGTGGGTGGGTGGGCAAAAAATTTCCTTCAAGGGCCAGCCAATAGGACTATCGGGTCATGGAAAACCCACTTTCGCAATAATTCTACCGACCATTGCATTTCCGGAGGTGTGGAGAGTGGTGAGAGGGTGCTGACGGGGTGCGGGCGGGGGGACAGGAGCAATATCTAGGCGCCGTTCCGTTTGCGACGCTCGAGGATCTCGAGGCGTATGCAGAGGGCACATACGGGTCGCTCAACTACCTCAGTCTCGAGTCGTTTGGCGTGCAGAGTGTCGCGCTCGACCACGTAGCATCACATATCGGGAAGGCTGTTGGCATCGCCGCTATTCTGCGTGGGATGCCACTGCTGGCGTTTCCCACGGGGGCGGGGGCAGGGGCGGGGGCGGTGGTGTTCCCGCTGGATGTGTGTGCGCAGCACGGGCTGCGGCAGGAGGACGTGCTGCGGAAGGGGAGCGGGGCAGAGGGGCTGAGGGATGCGGTGTTTGCGGTGGCCACGAGGGCGAATGATCATTTGATTACGGCGAGGAAGATGTTGGGGGATTATGCGGGGGCCGAGGGGAAGGGGGCGCCGTTTGGTGCTTTCTTGAGTGCGGTGAGTGTTCTTCCTGGGGGATTGATGGGGGGATGGGAGAGGATGGGGAGACTGACGAGATATATTGTATATTGCAGGTCCCGACGGCGCTGTATCTGGAGCGGCTGGAGAAGGTGGATTTCGACCCGTTTGACCAGAGCTTGCAGAAGAGGCCGTGGAAGCTGCCGTGGAGGGCGTATCGTGCGTATTCAACGAAGAAGTTCTGATGGTGGGTGGGTCTGTATAATATAGATTGGGGCTGTAGATAAAACAAGTATAAATACTCAATGGCTGTATCAGTGATGAGTCTTGATGAATGGTCTACTTATGATGTGAGTTGATCAACTTAATATTAAGGATAGTAGCAGAACACCGGGAACAGGTACTCTAAAATGGAAAGGTTTTGATGCTACACGCCGTGAAATTCAAGTCTTTTCGGGCGTTCTTCTGAATTGATAGCTATGGAACTATGTACTCACCACCGTCATGAGGAACAGCTATTATGCGGTATTGATAAACAATCACCTGAAGGATGGTCCCTCATGTCTGTATTTAGCGGGCGTCTGAATGCATATTCAATCCTTGATCAGCGTTCCCGCCCATCCTTGCCATAATCATTGGCGTTCCCAGCTGCCAATCTTTGTGACCATCTGCGTCCCGTCCCGTCTCATCTCATGATGATCTTTCGACAGACACTCGGTGCATATAAACCCCCCACTCTCGTTCTCTTCTCTCCCCAACTTCAACCCACACCCTCGGCGCCACACCCGCGTTGCCACACCCACGCCCACCACAGCCACACCACCACCACCACCACCACCACCACCACCTTCTTCTCCCTGTCCCAATTCCTCTTCTTCCTCCATCCATCACCACTTCCCCCCCCCCCCCCCCACACTCTCTTACCACAAAGCAGCTAGAAGCAATGTTCGAGAAGCAGGCCCTAAAGCAGTACGACCGCTCCCTCGACCAAGAGTCCTGGCCGCTGCTCGAGCTCACAGACGCGTGCGTGTACCGCTACCGCCGCGGCGAGAAGGACATCATGGCCGACCTGCTCGACGTCCAAGACACCGGCCCCTACCGTATCCGCGGGAAGCTGTCCCCCGTGCCGGCCGAGTTTGCGGATATCGGTACCCCCCCTCCTCCTCCTCCCCACCTCCTCCTCCCCACTTCTTCTCCAGCGCGTGTGCTGATAGAATTGAACCACAGTATACCACGGCAAAGCCGCCCGCCTCTACAGCGAAGAACTCATCATCGCCGGCGTCACCACCTACTCCATCCAGTCCCTCTCCGACGGCACCTTCACGCTCTGGGCACTGGGCCAATGCGGCTGGTACTCCCTGCGGCCCTCGCGCAGCTACTCCGGCATCTTCGCGGGCGCAACCGAGAAGATGCAGCTGTGGGCGTTCCTGCAGGACCGGTATCTCGACGTCTACTCCGGCGCCGGCCCGCCCATCCCGGGGACTGTGGGCGAGGTGTATGCAGACTACTCGCGGCTGCGGCGCGAGATCTGTCCCAGCGCAAAGACGGCGCAGCGGCTGTTTGACCAGCACCACCGCTTCCTGCTGTTTGAGATGTGTGCGGCGTGGACGGACACGCCCATGTGGGCGCGCACGCCGCTGTTTCGCGACTGGGAGGTGGCGTATAAGCGCGAGGTGGAAGGGGTGGTGAAGATGGCGGCGGCGGGCAGTTTGGAGGAGAGGATTAAGGCGGGGGCGGTGAAGATGGAGGTGAAGGAGGAGGAGGACGAGGACGAGGAGGGGATGGATGAGGATGATGAGGATGAGGGTGAAGAGGTACCGCCGCCGCGCTCGATGGTCAAGAAGCAGGGCGGCAGCTGGAAGACGGCTGCAAAGAAGGTACCCGCAAAGAAGCTGGTGCCGGCCAAGAAGCTGGTGCAGCAGAAACTCGCGCCCATCTTCATCAAAAGGGAGCCCGCAGCGGAGCCGGAACACATCATCATCCTCGACACGGACGACGAGTTCGACGCCAGCATGCACAACGCCGGCGCCGAAACCGACACCGACTCCGACTGCGACCCCGACGAAGAAGACGAAGAAGACGACGAAGACAACGAGGACGAAGACGAAGAGCAAGACACCCATCCCTCCTTCTCCTCCACTGCCCGCCGCAGCAACCGCCCCAAGCCCACCACCCCCCGCGGCCGCCCAACCCACAGCTCAAAAGGCAAGTCCGCCCTCCGCCCCATCCGCACACCCGCGCCCCCGCCCGCCGTCGAGTTCTACTACGACTCGGACTCCTCCTCCTGTGCCCCGCGCCCACCCTCCAAGCGCGCCTTCTCATCCACCACGGCCAGCAGTACCACAACATCTACAAAACGCACCCTCGACACCAGCACCACCGCCACCTCCCGCTCCGCCTCCAAACGCGCCTGTACATCCAGCACCCGCAGCGCCGCCTCCACGCCCACCACCACCACCACCACCAGCAGCAGCAGCACCACCAGCACGCAGCCATCCCTCATCACCACCCTGCGCATCGGCGCACCCACCACCAAATCCACCAGCACGACCACAAACGCCAAAGCCACCGCAGCACGCATCAAGACCACCACCACCACCACCACCACAACCTTCATCTCCCCGCTCTCCTCCATCACACCAAAAACCCTCGGCTCCAACCGTCCGGGGGGTCTATGGGAGTGCGAGATCGCCGGCTGCCGACACTTCATCCTCGACGCGGACCGCGAGGAGAGCCTGGCGGCGGTGGAGGCGCACTATGAGGAGCATGGACGGGTGATGCGGATTGCGATGGAGGCGATTGGCGGGGAGGTTGTGGAGGAGAGGGGCGGCGGGGGGAGTGTTGAGTGAGTTTCTGTCCCTTCTAGCGAGTGTAGTGCAGAGTGCTAATTGTGGCGTGTAGTAATTTGTTGGCGAAGATTGAGGCGATGGCGGAGCGGTGGGCGATGGCGAAGCCGGCGCCGTTGGGGGGTGATGGGGAGGGTGGGTTCTAGACTACATAGGTGCCTGTGCTGCTTTTCTTGCGGAAACATCTGCCTGGCTTTGGGAAAGGTGGTGGTGGTAATAATGGGCGTTATATTGGAATTGGGATTGGTATTGGGGGGGACTTTTTACTTCTTCACCCTTTTTAGCTTTTAGTTTTTTCACTTTTTTTCTACTTTTACCTTTCTTCCTTACTTTTTTGCATCTTTTTCACGGCATCAATGGTTACATAGGATCTCAAGGGCCGTCCGTGGTGGTGGTGGAGGCAGTCTTTTACATAGCATTATTTTCTTCACCAGTATGTAGCTTAGCTGGGTACTAGGGAACACACATAGTCAATCACAGAGAGAGGATCGCCGTAGCCGGGCTACGCACGCATCACATTCCACCAAAAAAAGAAAAACAAAAACGATATAATAACCACCCCCTACACCGCCTCTCTACTCCCCCCGCCCCTCCCCCCTCCTCCCCCTCCAAAAACCCCCCACACCCACTACCTCTTCAACGTCTTCTGCTTCTCCGCTCCCACCACCACCTTCCGCTTCACAAACAGCCCCTTCCGCTCTCTCACCCTATCCATATACTTCTTCGCCACATTCTCCTTATCCGCCAGCTCGCCCAGATCCTCCAATTCGTCCTCAGTGAACGGGATCCAGAACGGGTCCTCGTCGACAAGCATCTCGTACCCGCTGAAGATGAGCTGCGGCGACGCGGCACCCGATGTGCGTTTTCGGATCTCGTCGCCGAAGCCGAACGACTCGGCGACGGGGAGGGAGGCGCGGATCGTGAAGAAGGGCGTGCCCTCGTTCATTTCTTCGGCGAGGATCTTGCCGCGGCGGCGCGTCACGACGGCGTATACTTTGCCGAGAACTTCGGCTGTAGAGAGTGGAGGAGGGGGGTTAGTTTAGATGCGTACTAGTGGAGGGGGAGGGGGAAGTACTGGAGGCTTGGATGTCGCAGCTGTACATCGCCATCAACAGGCGGGGACTCCAGTCGAGGAAGGCCTGCTTAATCGCGTTCTGCACGACGGTTATAACCTCAAAGTTACGGTTCCTATCCTCTTCCTGGTCCTGCACGGTCGCCTCCTCGACGAAGCACGCGATGCCCTGCACAGGCTCGTGGCACAGCGGTCCCTGCCACGTAGCCAGCTGGAAGGCGTGCGAGAACTTGTCTTCAAAGTCCCTGGCAGAAGAAGAGGCGCCTTCCTGCGCGGTCGAGGTGTCGTTGAGTCTGTTTTGCAAGAAAAGAAAAGGGTCAGTCATGGCTTATCACTCGGGTGGAAATGATCGGATTTACAGTCTTCGGAATAGCCCCTGCGTGGTGGCGTCAATGAGTAAGTTTGGCCCAATGCGGCGGGGGCCAAAGGCAGCGATCTTATCCACAATGCCGGCCCAGACATCTTTCTCGGCGCCCTCGACTTCATCGAACGCTTTCTGCAGGCCCTCGCAGAACTCGGGGAGGCTTAGAAGCGCGGCCTTCTCGGTCTTTGATGTGGAGCCGTCGGCACCCTCAGCTGCAGCGTCGGTGCTCTCGGTCGCTGCTGCGACTTCAGCCTCATTGCCGCGGCGCTCGGCGTACAGGCGCTTGATGCTACCGCTGTTCTTGAGCAGGAACTCTGTCACTTCCACAGGGAACGGGCGGACCCGGATCCGTATCGAGACCTGCTTCGACGGCGTTGTCGCCGCCACAGCACCGCGTACGCCGCCTTCACCCTTCGCGGGGGACATCTCCGCCGCCGCCACGATCGACTCGCGGTACGGCACGATGGGCGCACTGCTCTGTATATCCACCCTCGCGAAGCGCTCCCGGAGGTCCTTCAAGCAGCGTTCGAGGTGCAGCTCGCCGGCGGTCAGGAGCACGTGCTCGCCGGTTTCCTGGACAATGTATTCGGCGCAGGGGTCGGCTTGCTCGAGCATCTTGAGGCCCTCGACCATCTTGCCCATGTCGCTCGGATTCTTCGGTTCCACGGCGACGCGCACGATGGGTGCGGCGCCGAGATTGACGCCCGCGAGGTTGACGCCGCCTTGCGGGAGGGAGCAGAGGGTTCCGGATTTGAGGATGCGGCCTTCGAGACCGCCGATGCCGAAGACGTTGCCGGCGGGGACGGAGTCGAGGGATTGGAGGTCGCGACCCATCATGTAGTATAGCTCGGTGACGGTGATCTTTTGGATATGCTGGTCGGGCTTAGAGGGGGTATATTTGGGCCCCAAAACGTATAGTTCCTGCCCAACGGTGATAGTGCCGGAGTAGAGACGTGCAAAGCCGATGAGACGCTCCTTGTCCCCTTCGTCTTCATCTTTTTCCTTTTCCTTATCCGCCTCGGGCTCGGCGGGCTTCAGGGTAGTGAGCGCACTAAACGTCGCCGTCTCCCTCGGACCCCTAGTCGGCGCCTCTGTCGACTCCGGCACTTCCTCACCCGCGCCCTCTTCCTGCGCAGCGATCGCCCTAGCAACTGTAATTCTCTTTTGGCGCCCCGCTTCCCTCATTTCCTCCGCGCTCAGCTGCACCCTCGTCGTCTTTTTCAGCTCCTTCTCCGGCACAGCGACCATTTTGCTGACAAACGCCATGATGGGCGCGTCGGGGCCCGTCTGGAAGTCAACCATGGCAGTCTTGAGGCTGCTGTCGATCTTGTCGGCGCTCGGTGCGGACTGTAGGATCAACGGGATGCGCTTGTGTTGGGCTACGGGTGGGGAGGGGAGCTCTTCGATTACTGTTACGAGTACGGAGGTGGAGAGGGGCAGCCATTGGGAGAAGATGGATGTGAGGAGTGTGCGTGTGTCTTTTGACTTCAGCTCACGCGGAAGAACCTTGATGTTGAGTGATTTTACGATTTTCTCTACGCGCTCTTGGTCTCTGTGGGTGCGAGTGATAAGCCATGATTCGGAGAAAGAAATGAGGGATAAGAGTGGAGGGCATACTTCTGTAGAACGGTACTCTCGTAAACTGCCCAAATACTATCCAAAACCAGCTGCACAAACATCGGCTTCAGGCTGCGCCCTTTCAAGTGCTTTGCGCCCAAAACCCGCTTCGTCTTGGGGTCTAGGTAGTATTCGCCCCATAGCACTTTCTCCAAAACGGACTTTTTGATGCCCAGTTTCTTCTCATACATGCTCGCAAATTGGCGCACTGTAAATGCCCACCCGTCTATCGCGCTCGCGAAAATGACGTTATGCTTCTCAGGCGCAAAGTAGATATCCTCATCATCGCGCTCCTCATACTGGCTCTCCGGCGTGTCCTGGCCCGGAACCTCACCACTGGCCTCTGCGTCATCTTGCCGCAGTTTTGTCGCTGCCAGTCGCGCTTCGAGCGTCTCGCGCCATTTCAGGTCCTCCTCCATTCTCTCTCCCGCAAAGAACGATCCCATGACCGCATTCACTTGTTCCAGGAGCTTCCACAGATGCGTGAACGCCTCTCCCGGCGTGAGCTTGATCTCCGTGATCAGGCGATCCATCTTATTGATGATCAAAATGGGCCTGATATTCTCGAGCCATGCCTGCCGGAGCACGGTGACGGTCTGGGAGCAAACACCCTCGACGGCATCGACCAGGACTACTGCACCGTCACAGAGACGGGAAGCGGTGGACACCTCGGAGGAGAAGTCGATGTGGCCGGGGGAGTCGATCAAGTTGATAAGGTACTCACTTGGCGCAGGTTCGGCCTCGGGGGTGGGGCGTCGCATTAGGCGAAAGTATAGGGAGATGGCGGAGGACTCCATGGTGATACCGCGGAGCTGTTCATCTGGGCGCGAGTCTAGGTAGCGGACGCGGCCGGCGAGCTTAGAGGAGATAATGCCATTGGTGGCGAGCAGGCAGTCGGAGAGCGATGTTTTGCCATGATCCTGCGTTAGGCGTTAGTAAGGTTCCGAGGAGCTGCGGGAATCCTGGGGACTCCGGTCCGGGACTTTGAGAACTATCGAAACACTGGGAAGGGAAATGATTGGGAATGGCAGAGAGCGTCTGCAGTGATCGCCTCAGGGTATAGTGGGCGGAGAGTATTGAAACTCCGAGTAGTGGTATGGACCGGTGAGGCGATCGGCTTCAGGGTTTCGGGAGTAAGGAATGGAGGGAGGTAGGGAATGAGCATGTGTTAATTTTGGAAACTCACCACATGTGCGAGGATGCAGATCTGTAGGGCGATTGTATGTAAGCGCTGTGTTTCAAAACACAGTGACACTTTGACTTATTTTACTTATGGGGGGTAGACTCACGTTTCGGATATTATCACTGTTCTTCTGAAGGGCGACTATTTGGGCCGGAGTGATGGGAGGCATCGATTCAGACTATGGTGGTGGTGGTGGTGGTGGTGGTGGTGGTGGTGGTGCGCGGTGTCGAATTAACTACTGTTGATCTGATGCACTGGATTGATAACTGAACTCGATCGATATGTATGTGCTTTAGATAGACGAACGTTTCGAAAGTAGGTCAGGGGGGTGGGTGGGAAATGGGGGTGGAGTGAGTGAAAGCTGTGTTATGTGGCGGCGTTATTCTGGAATATTTTTATTATTGGCGGGGTACAAGAAGACGCTTGGTGGGGAGGGGAGGGATGGATGTCTTTGGCTGGCTAGCTGGTTAGGTTACTTAGGTATGTCACTAGCTGGGGCCCAGTCACTGACCGTCGAGTCTGCCCGTCGTGCTGCCTGCCTGTCTCGCCTGCAGCAGCAGCACGGGTCCCAGAGGCGAAACTCAATGTGCTGCCTGAAACAAGGGAGGAAATAGGAACACCTAACCCTACGCCTTAGACGGACAAGACAAGACAAGCCTTGCTGATTGGCGCCGCTTACATACTCTACGGGTGGAGACAGGGGTTGTGGGGACGAATGGGGGCGTGAGTTCATGTTGACGCTACGCTGAACGTGTTGACGCTGCATTTGTGGCCAAGGGTTTTGATGCAACTCTGCCCGCTGTTGTGGGTGCACCTTGGTCCTTCAAGGGCCCCTCAGTACTAGTAGTGCCTAGGATTCGAGAACCTTTGTGCCTGGTTAACTGGTTAACTTTATTAATGTGTGTGCCTGTCTTTTTTCGATTTCTGTGCGTGTATCGTTTTTTCTGTTCCCGTGTCGAAATTTCTCTTCTGTAGCAACTAGTGCCCCCATCTATTCTTGCATCACACGCATCACTAAATTCTATTCCCACCTCACATTCGCTCTCTCTCGTTCACTTTCTCTATCTTTCGCTCTCGCTCACGTTCATTCCTGTGTTACACTCATCTTCCCAATAATACATCCAGATCATACTCTACATCCATTAATAAACGCTTGATCCTCCACTCCTCCCCCCACATACATACACTGCTTCACTCACTAAAACTTCTACATTCGGCTCTGCATCGCTCACTCAACCCCCCTCGCTGCAGCTGCATTTCTGGAAATGCTCTCAACGCAACCGTTAATTCCCGTCCAATCATCACTCTGCTCACCTGCTGCCATCTCCACCTCCACTCCGACGTCCGTCATCTCCCCTCCATAACAAACATCCTCCCATCCTCTCTTCCCACCACATCCATCTCTCGTCACCCATTAAATATCAACTCCCCCCCCCCCCCCCCCATTAATCAACACACCCGTTCCCACAACAACATCCAAAACAAAACGCACGCACCATACCAACCCCATTTCTCGCAGGCTCCGAGTCCACCACCCCTTTACTACCAACCTGGGCATGAACATTTCTCACCACTCAATCTCGCCACGGTAGCCCATAATACAACCAAACAGCAAAAAATGTCGACAGCTCAAGTTCTCTCACCAATACCCCCCCCTGGTACGGCCCCCATCAACGCGTTTTCCCAGCGAGAGCAACCACCGCAGCTGCGCATGCGGACGAATACTGCACCTATCGCTGGCGTGGACCAGGACGGAGCCTTTCACATGGACAAGGTGATCAAGAGTGGCTGGCTAATGAAGAGAAATAGGAAGACAAAGGTAGCTTCTGCACCCTCCCCCCCCCCTTTCCACCCACTTCACCCCCCCACCAATGCTGACGTGTAGGCTTTCAAGAACTGGAAACGTCGCTGGTTCGTCCTACGCGGTGATCGTCTGCAGTCGTACAAGGATCAGAAGGAGTACAAGATCCACCGTCAAGTCTACCTCAACGAGCTCACGGCAGTGGCCGTTCTTAAGGACGCGAAGAAGCCCAACGTCTTTGGCCTCTTCTCTCCATCGCGGAATTATCACTTTCAGGGCGAATCGTTGAAGGATACAAATGAGTGGGTTGAGTGCATACGCAGCACTGCAGCCCTTGCGGACGCAGACGATGACCTCTACCTCGGCTCTCCAATCAACGCTCACGACCCTACGAACCCGTTTTCTAGCCCGATTGCTCCAATGAGTCCGGATATGCGGTTAGGATCAAGCTCGCCCGAATTTGGTACGAACTCGGGGGCTGTCAAAATTAGGGGCATGGGACGTGGTGGCATATCATCGCAGACTTTGGAGTACTCAGGGGCGGAGGTTGGGTCGTTCTCGTCAATGTCTGACGGGGCCAGGATTTCGCAGTTGTCATTAGGTGCAGGGATTGACTCGGGAGCCGAGACTGAACCACCACACCCTGGGATGGTGAGGAATGAGTCTGGGTTTTCGACCGATGTAATGGACGGTGGTGGAAGAGTAGTTTGGCATGGATATTTGTACTGTCTCAAGTCAAAAGGCGGTGTAAGACAGTGGAAGAAATATTGGGTGGTGTTAAGGACTATTAATCTGGCTTTTTACAAAACTGAAGAGGTACTATCCAACTGCGCAGTACGCTTGAAGGTCCAGGTTTGACTAACCAAACTAGGAATACCGAGCTATCAAGATAATCCCTCTAGACAGCATTGTCGATGCTGTTGAGATTGACCCAGTGTCAAAGTCCAAAAAGCACTGCATGCAGGTCATCACTGAAGGCAAATCGTTCCGATTCTCGGCACCAAACGAAGAAGTTCTTGCGAAATGGCTTGGCGCCATGAAGAGCACTCTTTCAAAACGAGCAATCGCAAACACTGCCGGCCCGCTCACTGGGGTAACATCTCCTGTGATCCCTCCTGTGCCCCCGATGCCAGCTGTCGGGTCACCAGTTGTCGGGTCGCCGCAGCAGTAATGAAATAACCCCTTGTAATCGATTTTTGATGAGCCTGGAAGTGAGAAAAGACATTATCATAGGAATTTCTTAATGTCATTGTGCGGTTGGTAACATTGATTGTTTTTCTTCTTGTGTCATTATTTTCAGTTTATTTTTTTCTTTTTTTTTTTGCTGTGAAGAGCTGGCGAGCGGGTTGGATTGTCTATATAGGTGGTTTGGTCTGGTTTTTTTTTCTCACTTTTTTCCTTTGTGTTTTCTGTTGAGATGCATTATCAGCTGGGGTTTGGGGTTCTTGATTTGTTCTCTCGTGTGTCCTACTACATTGCCGACCTGTTGTGTTGCAGTTGTGAGTTTTATACGAACCTGCACACTAACTGATTCCTTTCGTTTCAATTTTCTTTTTTTTTATTACCAAATTTCCATTTTATCTGCAATGTTCCTTTTGTCTTTTGTCAGTCGCTCTAGTGTTATCATATATACTAGCAAACAGAAAGTTTCATTTGTCGACAAGTCATTGGCTGCACACGCGCGCACATACTGTTGCGTCACTATCACCATCATCAGTTTTGCTTTTCCTTTCTCTTTCTCGTTCTTATTTGAAAGTCGTCCGTCACAAATTAGTTTTTAGTTAGTTGATCTTCTAGTTATTTGCATGGCGCTGTGGATTTCGCGTGTTTAACTTTTTTTTTTTTTTTCTTTCCCTTTTTTATGCTGATATCCTCGCATCGCGTTCTCTTTATTGCGCTCGCTCCAGTGCTACATGTATCCGTCCGTCTGCCTGTCTGTTATTACAGTATCTATTAGCATTATTAGTCCCAGCCTACGGGCCAAAGGGGGGGGAGGGGGAAGGAAAAATAATAAGAAGGACCACCGGGTACAATCTAACTCTATACTCACCCCCGTGCAATTCCCATCCCAGTATCCCATCCTATCCCATCTCATCCCATGCCAATCCTAGCATCCCCGCGAGTGACCCCCCATGAAGCAACTGACACCCTCCCTCCCCACAAAAAGGGGTGGGCCGAAGCGAAACCGCTCCAAACCATTTCAACAGCGCAAACAAGCCGGCGGAGGAGGAAGAGGAGGAGGAAGGAAGGAGGCTCATTAAACAATTCCATCTGTGCGGAAATTGTGCGCTACTATATTTACATTGGAGGAGTGTGTGTCTGTTTTTCGTTTTCGCGGGGTAATTTCCGGGTCGCGCGTGTGTTTGCCGAATGCGGTTTAGCGGCCAGGTGTGGGCGGCGGCGAGTGAGGGGTTGTGATTGCGTTCGAGGGGGTGTTTTGGATGGCGATGGTCATGGTGGTAGTGATGGGATGGGGATGGTGATGGTGATGTGAGAGAGGGTTTTCGCTTCGCCGTTGAGAGGGGAGGGGGGAGGGGGTGCATGTGAGTGTTGCTCACGTACATGGTATCGGTATCGTGGTACTGGAAAGCTAGAAGCAACACCAACATCGTGGTAGTGCATGGTTCATAACCCTGTGAGTGTGTTTGTATGTAGAGTGATAGCTCGATACTCGTGGGTAATTCTGGCGATCACTCCAACACCAGTCTCGGAATCCTAGCTGTTGGATTGACATTTTCGGCAGCGATGAACCGCCTAGTCTCTTAGCTTCTCCAAATTTCCGGGATGTGGGGGTTGGAACGATTAACGTTTAGCGTATGTGCATACATACTCTACCAGTACTTATGCCATCCCGCCCGCCCCAAGAATACACCTGTAGAGTTGCGGCATTCTCATCCGCCGGGAAGGGTGACAGAAACTAGCGCAGAGAAGTAGCACAAATCAAGAAGTCAAGGAGATCGATGAAACGCGCCTCCACCGTTCGATGCCCATCTACAGAAACGAAGGTGTGGCGTAAACCGGTTTGGGGGTCGGCAATTCACATGATATCACTCGGTCTTGGCATACAACTAGCAGTCTACTAATCCACGCGAGCGTGAAAAACCTTACTTGACGATCACTATTCAATTTCTGGAAATTGATAAGAGTATATATGGATGAAAATATCTTCGCAAATTGGAAATAAAAAGTCATACAAACTGTTATCGCAAAAAAGTAACTTTAAAAATCAAGATCCTAAAACTTCATCCCAAATCTGTATAACCTAAGAAACAGTAACAAGCTAAACGTTCCAACAATTTTTCCTCCAGTAGTCCACAAACTTTGAAACCAACTTCGTATCTACCACTCCAATGTCCCTCAGTGTTGGTGAGAGTGCTCTTGCCAACTCCGTACGATAATACAACCCCTTTCCGACTCTGTCATTGTCGTATTTCTTGGCGAAGAAATCCACTAGTTTGAATGTTGGATTCTTCACTGGATCTGGGTCAGACTTTCGAAGTCTATCGACCCAGTCCCGCTTTCCGACAATGTCAAATTCAAGACCTGCCTCTTTCAGAGCTGGTAGAAGATCGTTGGTCCAGTGAATTGTGTTTGGATTTACAACGTGGAACAATGCATTCAACGGAGCATCAGCAGGGGGCACAAAAGTTAATTCGAGGACAACCTTTGCGACAATGTTGACGGGTAGCCAAGTAGGGGTATCTTCGAGAGCAGGCAAAGCACCCGTACTTAGGGCACCTTGTATCAACAGCGGGATGGCCTCTGTCGCGTTCCAGATACCGTTATCAGTGTCACCAACTACTTGGCCAACACGGTGAACACGGGAACTCATGCGAGCCTTCTTCGCAGCCAGATTACAAATATTTTCTGTAATGAGCTTTGAACGGGCATAGCCCATTGGCTGAGCAGATTGGAGATATGTTTCAACGGATTCGGGGACCTGGGAGCCAACAATTGCCGCAACGGATGAAACGCTGGAGAGAAAGTTGAACCCAGCCGGAGAGGGACGTTTTGAGCGGAGACACAACTTAATCAAGTTGTGAGTACCTATACTTATTTGTTAATACTGTATATGGAGTAGGGACTGTATTCGATGGATACCTCTGATGTGCTGTGCCTCAAAGCTGGTTACATCCATATTGAAGTTGACTGACCATGCCGAATGGATGATAGCCGTAACTTTGGATTTTAGCTCTTCATAACGCTCCTGACCAAGACCGAGATCCTCCTCCGCTAGATTCGATGGCAGACAGATCACTTTCTTTTTCTCTTCATCTGATAAATTATCGTAAACCCGTCTGACTTGCAAAGATTGTACTGTACGATCCCAAGCATTTCTGAGAGACTCCGCGCGGACAAGGCAGAAGACGGATTTTACAGACTTCATGGCAACGAGCTGTGCCACAATATGGGCTCCAAGGGAACCAGTAGCCCCAGTAACCACCTATTGATAATTATTTTAGCGAGCTTTTTTATGCTGGGTGAATAAAGGGGAACATACCACATGCTCACCCTCGATATCAGAATCTCCAGGAATATGCATGGGGAATTCGGAGTATTTCTCGATCAATCTCTTCATGGTTTCTTCAACAGTCTCCTCTTCTTCTACGCCCGATTTCTCTGGGACTCTCAACCTGAACAAAAACCTTGAGAGTTGGTTGACCGATGGCTTTTCGAACACAATGTTTAGGCCTAGTGTTTGCCCACCGGTGTTGAGGCTTTTCAGGATGGCAGACCTAATCCGTGCAACCATCAAGGAGTCCATCCCTATAGAGAAAAAGTCTGTATCATCTCTTAGGATCAAGGGATCTGGCAACCTCAACAAACTGAGAACGGTATTGCGCACAAAGTCCTTGATGTCAGTTTCGGGTAACTCTAAACCACCATTCACGGCACCTCTCTCAAGGTCTGCATATATCTCCTCGATATCTGACTTGAAGGTATTGTAAAAAGCAGCTCTAATCACCGTGCCTTTATCTGTCCTAGGAAATGGGGTACCAGGGGGTAAGAATCTAACCATCTCCTGGGCTATGCGGGCATATTCGGGTGCAAGGGTATTTGCGGTCTCGAATGAAGGCCAAACTCTCTTCATAACCTCCTGTTCTAGCATCCCCCTAGAGTTATCGGAAAGAATAACGATTGACCCCAATTGTTGTTTCCCAGCACCAAAAACGACTGCTTCGGATACATATGGATTTTCGCGCACCGTATGTTCGGTTTGGATTGGATTTGCTTTTTCACCATTGACGAGCACGAGCGTATCGTCTAAACGGCCGAAGTATTTCCACCTATCCTCTTTCGTGGGATGTTTTAGGAAGAGGTCTTTTGTTGCGTAAGAGCCATCTGGACGGTTTGTAGCGACCTTAGATGCCCATCCATCGAGGATCACTAACTCGTAAACATCACCTGCCTGCTGATCCCATCTGACAAAAGGCTTAAGGTTTGGAGAAACCTTGAGATAATTCCAGTCGTAATCGCCATCCTCACGGAATGAGGTCATCAGTTGACCAGTCTCGGTCCTAAAAATTGTTAGCTGCTTGTTATCCCTCGCTCAACGAATATTGACAATATAACTCACGTTCCATAATGCGAAACTAGCTTTACACCGTTCCTTACCAATCGATCACCCAAAACATCCGGGCAACTTGAACCACCAAACATGACCAAACGGCACTTCTTCAATGCTTCCATCCCCTCTCGTGACTCGGCAAGCAATTTAAGTGCATATGGTACACCGTAAAATATCTCTGGTGGGTGCCTTTCCATGCTCTCGACAAGGTACGGACTTGTAAGAGGTAAATCGGCATTATAAACATGGATCTGTTTGCCGGAATGAATTGCACGGAAAACGGAGGATATGCCATGAGCATGGAATAAAGGAAGTGTGATGAATCCGTTCATGCTGAAATTGTTGGAATAGTTCCGTAGAGCTGCAGCATGTGTCTGTTTTATGGGCTTAGGAAGACCAGTGGAGCCACTGGAGTGAATGATCCAACATATTTTGTCCGTTTCCACATTGGGGTCAAGATGTGCGTCAAAAGCAGTTGAGAAAGAAGGATGAGTTTTGGCCAAAGGATAATCGTAGGATGTGCGTTCAGGCATCAGATGCGTTATCAAATTTGAGAGAGAAAATGTGGCTTTAACTCTGGAAATCGTAGCTTCGAATGATGGTTGGATCACAATGTGCGTGCATCCTGTCACTTCAATAAGTGATGCATAAGCAGCATCGGATATGCGTGTTGAAAGAAACAATACCGTGAACCCTAGCTTGCTAAGAGCTATTGTGCTGACCAAGTAATCGAAATTAGATGCCGCAAGAATTGCAACAACTTTCTCGGGTTCGGATGAAGAGTTTCGAGTGGCAATTAACTTCGAGAAGTGCTTTGCTACACGGGCAGAAAAGACATCCAACTGCCTGGCTGTATAATCCTTGTAATCGAGACCAGTAGTTGGATATGCGATTAGAGGAGTGTCACCAATTGTTTCCGCACGTGATCTGACAAGCTGATCAATTGTGAGCGGTGCAGGTACTGCAGAAACATCGTCATGGTTATCGTGAGTGATGAGAGCTGGAGCCATAGTTTTCCTCCCCGTGAGATGATGGAGAAAGGTGTACAAAGATGTATACATGTATATCTCTTGGTAATTTCCAAGAAGGATGCAGGTGTCTATGCTTAAGTACGGATAGCTTCATCACCAAGAAAAAAAATTTAGATATGATATGCAACTCTTCCCACAATTCCTATCTGATTTCGGGCTATCAGAGAGATTGATACAGCCATAAAGGCTGTTACGGAAGATGGGGGTCGTTGCGGATTCACAACCAATTGGGTTGGGTTCTTTTCCGGTACTCTCCGGAAATGCCACACCTCCGGTCCGGAAATACGGCCCTAGAGAAATTCAGGAACACAACATCCCCCTGGACCGGGTGGCAATCAACCCCCCGACCCGGGATACTGATTCGCGCAAAAAAGCTTGATTTTGGTCGGTAAACTCTCGGTAAATAACATCGAATTATAAGGTACACACATAATACTCTCATGATCAATTAATTACAAATTTTATCTACACAACCCGGGCCTAACTCAGCGCCTAGTAGAGTGGCCCATCTGGCCAGCCAAAGAGATAACCTCCGCTCACTGTTGCATCCAATCCTTGAAATGTGGAGTCTTCTCCGAGCCCTTGCAGAATAATGTCACCCATGTCCCCATATTCTATGCCATTGCCACCCCATAATTCCGTCATACCCGTTTGATCGTTCAAATTTGATTGTTTAGGGTCGTGTATTGGAAAAATTGATGATTCGGAAAAGGCAGGAGAAAACTGTGAGTGCGGTGGAACTGTACGGGATGATGACGGTGGTTGTGAATTCGATTGGTGTTCAGTGGGTTCAAAGGGCTGTAGTGGTTGAATGGTCATGTCTAATGTGGTCCTAATGTTGTTGATAGTTTCCCTCACACTCGCATTATCACGATCTACCAATTCTAGCCTACCCTTGACTTGTCGCAATAGACCCTGTTCGTTTCCAACAATGAGAATAGAACCAAAACTTAAGAAGTAAAAAACCACATACCTCCAATGCAGATGCATACCTCTGAGCCATCTTGTTGTTTTCTCCGGCAAGCATTTTCTCAATAGAGCAACATCTCTCTGCAGCTTTTAGTGCCGTTCTCCTCTTGCTAGAGTCCGGATTTTGTGCAGCATAAACCAACATGACTGTTGCCGCACAAAATGTAACATATGCTGAAAACTGGTTATCGTTAGGTCTGATGGAATGCGTTTGTAGCATAAAAGACAAAATGAATATTATTTACCCAAAAAGGCGAAGAGATGGAACGCTTTTTGGCCAAACCAGAAACCAAATTCCACACTTTTAATGCGGCATCCAGGCAGCAATCCTGATAGACTTTGACTCTTGGACTTCGTGGCCCTCCAGAACCGTTTGTGGCAATCGAAGAAGTAGGTGAGCTTGTAATCCCAGAGAGTGGTAAGAAAGGTCGGTATATCATAATCAAAGCATGCGCATGTGCAAGCTGTATTACCGCCGATTGTCTGTAAATTCAATTAAATGACAGTTCGTTTAAATTTTTTATATGAGTATTGATCTTATACCGTGCGTATATCAATAACAAACTTCCAGGGGCTTTTACTTTGAGAAAGCCCGGCAGTGAGTTTTCCCAATCTGCAATCTTCGCCGCAAGACCATCAACCACCGCCATCTCCTCTAAATCATCCTCTTCGGACTTCTGTCGGTCATTGTAGAGCGTTCGAAGTGTCGAGCGTACTATGCGTGCTAGTCTAACATAATTGACCCTGTCAGAATCATGAACAGAGAAAATATCAGCAATTTTCATTCCGTTTATGTACCTACTTTGCGTGAGCAATAGGTGCATGCATCAAAGATGGCGCGCAATCTCCATCATCAAATTCGGCTTCATCGACATCAGGGTTTAAGTCAACATCAGTTGACGCTGATCTTGAATCGTCTATTAATTTTGGATATTGTTCTGTCACATCATTATCATCCCAAGTTAATGTTTTCCCTAGCATCGTACATAGATATCTATTTTAATTAATAAGTATAGCTCACTAGCTCAAGCATTTTAGAAAGGGAAAAGCCTACGAATCCAGGGTATAAACTGCCCATAGTGCTCTTCTTCGTGACTCCAAATGCACAGCATCCAGATTGCTCCGGAGTCGTACCCTTCGATTCAGGTCCAGACTGTTTGCCATGTTTTTTACCGACGCAAAAAGATCCCACGAGGCTTTCAATCGAGATTTAGTTAGGAGGTAGAGACACTATTTTTTTGCGCGGTATGGGGTTAGAAAAAAAAATCTCTCAATATCAATTAATTAACATAAAAGGCGTGTATGACGGGATAGAGAATATGTTCCTATACCATGAGTAATTTTGCCTGTAGTGCCGCAAGTCTATCGATTTGTGATTTTTCTTTTTCCAGTTGAAGTTGTGCACATTGATAGAACTGTATCCTGAACCTTCATCAGAACTTCTAGTTCCATCGTTTGACACGCATTCATCAAAACAACGTGAAATCGGTGCAGGTGAATTTCCAAAACCCGATCCCCCACCCACAACCCATAAACCAGAGAAGAACCAAAAAAAGCACCAAGCAGTTTTATGGGACTCTGATATCCTCGGTTATCATCTAAGGCCCGGTGGGCTTGGGTTGCATCGAACTTTGGTGTTCGGCTAGCTGCGCACTAGTTTCACGAAGTTTTGATGAATGCCGACATGTTTATAAAAGGTGAACTTACGACATTCTCCCGTATTTCTCTTTGTCCTCCTCTTTTTCAACCAATGGATATTGGCATCCCAAAGCCCAAACCATGAAGACAATTGCACAAAGACACCTATCCTCTAATTTCTTACAATCCGTATTGCCACCTACGTAGAGTCCAGCATCGATGATAGCCTCTACGCTTGCCCGATGCAATACCCGATAAGTAGGTGATGCGTTCTCAAAGTACCACCTTGAATATAGATATGCCTGCTCCCGTGTTGGAAGGGAGAACATAGCAAGGTTTAATTGTGGAAAAGGAGGCTCAGAAAACCAAAATTGATTGTTCTGATTTCTGATTCTGTTGTTCGTGATGCGTCTTTGTGGGAGGTCACTACCGGTATATTCGCCTTCATTGCTGTTATCGCGTGGACCTCGTAGGTTGGATGATGTAGAAGGTGGGGTGGATAAGTGCAGGTGGGCGGCTTCAGAAAATACAAGATTTGAAGAGGATCCTAACGCGTTTATGAGAAAAGGCGATAATAAGGATGAATTCTCTCTTTCATATTTACTTACCGAGATACGACTCATGATGCACTGCATCAACGCTTTCATCACGGCTATCATGGATGTCATGGGAATCTTGAGGGTCCTGCGGGTCTTGAGACTTGACACGAACAGTACTAGACGTCGGGCTTTGACTTTGTGAAGGGTTCGCAGGTAGGACCTCAGGTACAGTGCCTCGGAGATATGGTTTTTCATAGGAGCATGCTTTTGAAATAGATCAGAATTTCAACCTTATCTCGAGGGATATAAGGAATTAGGACTTACTTTCCCCACTGGTAGTACATCGAGTACATGGCTGTTTTGTCGATTATCAGAATTTAAATGAATTGCGGCAAACAACATCAAGATTGAACCTTACTCGAGTACCATCGCACTTCGACTTTTTCCTAAAGAAACCGAAATCAATTTCACAATCAATTGATACCGAGAGCTCATGGGTGAATATACTCCTTGCAACGATCACAAGCTCTAGTAGCATTCCTTCGCCTTTTCTTTAGTGGGGGCCCGATGTTTCCAGGAGATCGTGTACTGTCCTCCATATTGCTCATCTTATTTCTTCGTTCGTACAATTAAAAATAAAATAAAAGAAGTGTTACCTACTCGTGGTGTAGTAGATTGCGGGGAAGGAGAAGGGATGAGATGCACTGGCCAGATGGTTCATCCGTGGTATGTAGTTAAGCTTCGTCATATTTCGGCTATTTTGCCCCCACGTGTGCGGAATAACTTTGCATGGCATGTTCAGGGTCTATTCGGGTGCACTAGCCGAGTTCACCCCGCATACAGTTAATTGACACCACCCGTGGTAATGACAACAGTACTGAAGGCACTTCTTACATCTTGGTATCACAAGTGCCTGCAGATATATTTGGGACCAACACTTCACTTTGGGTAAGTTTGTTTGAACCTGCTTGCATGTAGTTCTTATTCGTATATATCTGATTGTGATAACTCCGAAAAAGATTGTGAAATACATTTTAGCTATCTACATAAATTTATTTCCTCCACAATGAAGCCTATAGGCCGGCCAGATCTAACATAATATTCCAATGCTAACACACCCGTCTAAAGATACTAGGCTTTCTTGTTTGCCTCCGCCCAATCAAGTGCCGCCTGCTTAACCCTTTCATCACCAGCCTCATCGAAAATATCATAACCCCAATGAGCAGGGAAGTTAAATCTTTTGTGTCTTTCTAAAGTATTTAATTCCTTAAACTCTGCTTCGGGGATTATGAAATCTAAAATTTCCCCACAAATTAGCCCCGGAGAAATAAAGGTACTTGAATAGATGAATCGAATGTACCTTGAAAATTCGACTCTATCCTCGATTTTGTCACGCTCTTGGGCAACACAACATGTCCTTTTTGAACACCCCAGCTAACCAGTATCTGGCCTCGATCTTTACCTAGCCTCTTTGACAATTCATGAACCTTCGCATCATCAACAGTTCTCGGCTCACCGGTTTGATTATTCCCGAGTGGCGAGTAGGCTTCGATAAGTATGCCCTTTTCTTTGCAAAGCTTCATGAGAGATGGCTGTTGAAGGTATGGGTGGACTTCTATCTGGTTGACTGCCGGGACAACGGTGCATTTTGAGAGGAGATCGTTGATTCTGCGTTCATTAAAGTTGGAAATACCAATTGCTTTGACTTTCTTAGTCGCTAGAAGAGCCTCCATTGCTTTCCACGAATCAATGTAGCTTACTGAACTGAGTTCGAACTTGCCCTCACTGTCGAGAGGGAACCAATCGCTTCCTGATCGAAAGGCGCTGTTGAAATCACACATAAGCTACTTGACTTCTAGGAATATGTTTCATTCAGCTATAGAATAAGCCAACTCTTACCATGGCCAGTGCATTAGATAAAGGTCTAAGTAATCCGTCCCCAAGCATTGCAATGTCCGGTCGAGTGCATTTTCAACATCGTCAGGATGATGCTTAGTATTCCACAGCTTCGATGTCACCTTTATTTACATGGATCATTAGGTCAAGCTGAGAGATCAAAAAATTTAAGGGGACTTACAAATATATCTTCCCTTTTAACGCCCGAAGCCTTTATTCCTTCACCAACTTCAACTTCGTTACGATATATAGCAGCACAGTCGATATGTCTATACCCTGCACGGAGGGCAGCTTCCACGGCAATTCTAACTTCGTTGGGTTTTGCTTGCCAAGTTCCGAAACCAACGGCCGGAATCTGCGCTCCAGTGTTTAAAGTAAAGGTACGGTTGAGAGCCATTGTTATTATCGATCTGAAGTGGTATATAGTTGATCAAGTAATGCGGAGGCAAGAGTGAGCTTTTTAAGTATATGAACATAGTACCGTGGAATTAAGTACATCTATATAATTTTTTCTTCCCGGACCTCCGTCTCATCGTTTCTAGGCGGATCGCAAGGCAGTGGTTGAGATGGAATTCCGGCCCAGCATTGACAATCCCTGTGAGAGCATGTTTCCGAATCCCGGGACATTTCCGGAACGAAACCTCGGAAAAGCCGCATTTCCGAAACGAACAGTTCCTGGATTCGTTTATCAATAGTGATCACCACTTCCAATCTTCTTGTCCTGGATTGCATTGGTATGGACTAGGGAGCGGATAACCTCCGCATTTCGCTAAAGAGGCGTAAATCCTTGTTTCCCCACGTTCCCGTGACCCCATATCAACGGCTTCCTGGAGCAAGCCACCAAACACCGGAAATGCTCGAAAAAAATTGAAAACGTGCCGTTTTTGCGCGTACGTGCAGAAATTTACATTCAAAATATATAATAACGGGTTGAATACCAAAAAAAAAAAAAGCTCTATATAATCTCACATTCCCAGTTCCCCTTTTGCTGTCCACCCGTCCGGTATCAAAGCCAAGAGATAATTACCCCTACAGCAAATACCTACAGGGAACTGCCAGTCGACCCTAGATCCAGCAAATCAGAATGTCTATCCCCAGCACCAAGTCGGGAATCGAAAAGTCTAACCAGGTTATGGTTGAAGACATTATTGGGTCGCAGTATCAAACTCCTAGACCGGAATGCCTGGTCAACAAATCCCCGGAGGAATTGGAAGCAATTAAGAAAACTATGCTTAGAAAATTGGATACAAGGCTCATGCCTACCTTAATCATATTATTCTTATTGAAGTATATTTTGCCACATGCAAACTAGTATTTGGAAAGCAATGGCTAATCTTATATATTCAATACAGTATCCTCGACCGTAACAACTTCACCAACGCTAGATTGGGCGGCTTGGAAGACGACATTGGCCTCGATGATCATCAATATAATACGTCTTTGATGATCATGTATGTTGGATACCTGCTATTTCAATTTCCATCCAACGTGATATTGTCTAAATTTCCTCGCCCGGGTATTTATCTTTCAGTCGCAGCGTGTCTTTGGGGAGGTGTAAGTGATCCTAAGAAGAGAATATCGGTAAATTATATTAACTTTACTGTTTTTAGGTGTCTGCTTCTATGGCAGCTGCTCACTCCTACGGTGCTGTGCTGTCTATTCGTTTCTTTTTGGGTTTCGTTGAGGCCCCTTTCTTGTGAGATAGCCCCTGTTTTACTTCGGCTTCTAAAAAAGAATACTAAACAGTATTTCTCTTAATTAGCCCCGGTGCTTTACTACTCCTGACTTCATGGTATGCTCGCGCTGAGCTTCCTCCGAGAATTGCCTTTCTTTACGCCGGAAATACTCTCTCCAATGCTTTCGGGGGAATGATTGCTGCAGGTGTTTTGGACAAGATGGAAGGTGTTGGTGGATTACGTGCTTGGAGATGGCTATTTATCATCGAAGGATGCATTACAGTCCTTATCGCTATCGCAGCTGGCTTCATTTTGCCTAACTATCCTAAGAAAACTAAATGGCTCACCGTCGAGGAACGCGAATTCGCTGTGTGGCGCCTGACTGAAGAAGCCGGTGGCATCGAAGATGACGACGGTAGCTCCATCTGGAAGGGTGCGCTTATGGCTCTTGCAGATCCCAAGGTCTACATGCTCATTCTCCTCCAACTTTCCCTCCTTGTTGGTATGGCATACACCTACTTCTTCCCAACCATCATGAAAACTCTTGGATATAACAACATCATTACACTACTCCTGACCGCACCTCCATACTTTCTTGCCTTTTTCACCTCCATCGGCAATTCCTTACACTCCGGAAAGACTAATGAACGTTGTTTCCATATTGCCATCCCTCTCACAATCTCCATGCTTGGCAATATCCTCGTTGTGACCCTGGAAACCACTGCTGGTCGTTATGTCGCTATGTTCCTCATGACTATGGGTGTCTACAGTGCCTTCAATGTCACACTCTCGTGGGTCTCATCAACAATACCTCGCCCAAAGGCCAAACGTGCTGCCGCACTTGCCATGGTCAATTCTATCGCCAACTGCACCCACCTGTTCACTAGCTACCTGTACCCGAGTACGGACAAGCCCAGATACCTGAAAGCCGGGTTGGTCTTAGCCACATTTACTGGCGTTTGTGCTATTACTGCAATTACGCTTAGGACTTGGTTGAAGCATGAGAACCGCAAACTTGATAGAGAAGAGGGTTTTGCACCAGGTTCTAGCGAGGAAGTTGGAACTGATGGACGCAGGAAGGGATTCAGATATACCCTCTAAACGGTAGTTGATGGTAATCAGTGACTGGTAGTTATTTTGGTTATTATGTGAGATACTTATGATGTTGTTGGTTTTGGTTGGCTCTTCTCGGTTGATGGATTCGGTGGCCGCGTTGTTTATTTATATTCGCAATCTGCGTCGATGATTGTGCATTTTCTAGTAGGCGAATTCAATTTCAGGGTTTAATATTGTACTCTAGCTGGCCATATATTCAAGAGATAAACCCTCAAAAGGCATTGCCACTAATACCGAGCACCCTGGCACCGCACACAGCGGTGAGAAGAGCGAGTGATATTCCATGACCAAGACCACTACTAGCCAATGTCAGCCTACACCCCAGCATCATGAGTTATATATATCTCTTCCGCTGATATCCTTCCATCCCATACCGGGCTTGGCGTTAACCACGTTCATCACACCAACCATTCAACTCTTACAGCCAGCATCAGTACATACATAAAAAGAAATGTGTTTGTGATTTATTATCTGAACGTGTATGCGTTTTCCTATTCATGAACTCTTTTTGAAAAGTGACTGTATATGTAATTATCCTACGCTTTTCGATGAGGGTGGTTTAAGAACATCGTTGCTTCAGGTTGTTTGTCTTTGATCAATAAACCGGGTCAGTTCCTAATAATTAATGTTCGGGATTGAATACATTTATGGTCAGTTTTATCCACTTCCAACTGATTCAGACTTCCAGATAGAACGCATACAAAACGCCAGTCCTAAACGTATTCTCCAATCGAGATTCGATTGCAACAATATGTGACAAGCTTATGGCGATTTAATAGGCGACTCGTCTAGAGACGAGTTACTGCCACCTGTTTACTCGCCATTATTCTTCATACTCCACCTCTGACCAGCCCCAACCCCATCTTCGCCCTTCTTCCTCCCCTCCACTCCTCATGTTTTCCGCCTCTTCGCCTCTCTCTCCCACCCTCCAACATCTCGCTAGGTAGTCGTCCGAAATTGCTACCATATCGCCATCCATCGTCCAGGTAAGGTCCATCACCTCTTTTTCATACCCCCTTACTAAGGCTGCTCCCTTTCCCACAGGCATAATCTTACTGACACTTGCGGCCCTTGAGTCCTCTGGGTGCGATTGCGGATACAGTGATCGATCAAAGTAGCGTTCATCTGTCGGGAAAACGATCGGGCAGTTATCTGAGGAGCCTGCTGAGAGTAACCTTCCGTCGCGGGAGATTGCACTTTTGACATAGAAAGTTGATGCATGCAGACGAGGGTGGGTGTATGCATGAATAGGGCCGTTAGAGAGATGCTGGGTACTGTACGCATATATCACACCATCCCTGCAAAGACTATAAAGTCTGGCCCCATCAGGGCTCAAAGTAAGTGAATTTAACCCAAAGGCCCTATTGTGATGCGTGGGCAACGCGCTTGCGTCAATAGCCACTGCGGCCTTCCCTTTTTTCTGAGTCGCCCGAATATCCCACACTTTAATCTCAGCATTCAACTCTGAAGCCGAAGCAATCTTATGTTCTTCAATCCAGGTTACCGCTGTCACACTCACGTCAACCCGCTTCTTGGCACCCCTACCCCGGGTAGTAAGAGGGGTATGGGCTTGGTCAATAGAGTTGACAGGCTTGTGGATGATAAGGTCTTCAGAGCGGATGCCAACACAGCGGGTATCCCAGATATTGATGCTACCATCCCTTGAGCAAGAAGTAAGGACGAAAGGGTTGAGGGGATTGAATGCGACTTGTTTAATACTACTACGATGACCTTGTAGAACAGAAGTGCACAATTGTTTCTGAACATCAAAGATTCGGACAGACTGGTCACCGGATGCAGTTGCCTAGAATATGGTAAATATGATTGAGTCAAGCACATAGGAAATCGGATGAAAGGGGGTGGGGAAATGATATTACACACCATTTGAAAGTCGTCCGGGGAGAACGAAATGTCAAAAACAGCGTTGTCATGGCAATTCATGCCGGTGTAAGTTTTCCCTACAAGGTGTCAGAACAATCCTATTAAAGAAGTGGTGTTTGGTTGATGTACCGAACCCGGGTGCTTCATCTTTTGCGGACTCAATTAACCGTACAGCACCAGATTCATCTCCAACCGCAACGAGCGAATTTCGATTGCACGCTTTTACCGTAAGAGGCAGCGAAAGGACATTTTCTTCATTTATGACAGAATGTGAATCTTCTGGCCTGGAGTAAAATCCCCTCACTTCCATTTTCCAATCTACCGCCACATTAGCATACTCCGATGACGTATCAAGAGACCCATACCGGCGCAGCTAAACCCCCGTTGACCTGGGTCCCTCCATGACACCCCATACCCGCCTAGGCTTCGCATCAAAACCCTATTGCTAAAGGTCGATTTGATTTTTTTTGGTAATGGTGGGGGAGGCCCTGGTTCAAGCCCCGTACCCCCTCTGGTCTCAGCATCTTCGATAAGAGGTGTTATAAATATTGGTTGTTCATTTTCGCCGAATAAAGACTTTGATATACGTGATCTCTTAGACTGTCGGTGAGATGGTGATGCTTCGGGCGATGGGAGGCCTCGTCCCCTTGAATTACTGCCACTTGATGTGACCTTCCGGAGAGGATTCCGTCTAGGAGTAAAGAAAGGGTGGACAGCACTTGTAGAAGTAGGGGCTTTATGATTTGGAGGAGAGAGTAAATTTGACTCTGGGTCTATGCTTCTTGTAGAGATGGCCGTGCGTTTGTCGGAGTGGGCTTTGCGATTGCTTGGAGTGACGGGCATAACTATAACTTATGGACGTGATCAATGGAATCCTCTCCGTTCTTCGGTGAAGCTGTTATATATTTTTATAGGATGCCAGAATTCGAAATGGGAGGGTGTGTTGTTGGTTTCGGAGGTTAATTCAGGAACGCGTCGCGTTGTTTGAAAGCGCATGCCAAGGATTAGTTGGGAAGTTTCACTCCTTCGTTGCCTTAACGACGTGTAGAGCCTAAAAGAGCCGCTGCAACCATCTCCTTATCTGCAGAGTGTGGATGTAGCTTTCGGGATTCGAAAGGGGTCAAAACAAAGTTTACAAGGGTCAAGACTCGTACCCGGTTACCTACGATGGCCATTTGTCCCGTTGTACAGTTCAGTGGCCTTTCCAATCTACAAATACTTTTATTGCGGTACATTGTTCCTCAGCCCCCACAAGAAATGATTTCAAATTTATCAAATATTAATGACAGCTCCAAATAGCTATCCTCACGACAGCTTGTGATGTCACCGGCACTTGGGTTGTGCCACACAATAAAGCGGGGTATCTCTATCTATTGCGAGGCTCGAAATACCACAAAGAGTCTGATGTATCGTCATGCAACAGTTATCATAAGCTATTCACCCAAGCCTGTACCTGTAATATGTATACATGTATGTAAATCTGATCCATTATATTCAAGTGATTCCGAAAATGCATGTTGGTAAGGTATCGCATCCGGTCCTATAACCATCTACCACTCAACTACCCGCTCGGCACGCGGCCTTCCAGTTCCTTATTTCTTGCTGATAACTCCTCGTTTCTCTTTCTTAAGTTCTCATTCTCCTCATCCCTTTTTGCAGCCTCCTCTTTCAGCTTCACATTCTCGGCCCTAACTAATGCCAGCTCTAACTTCAAAGCCCTTGCTCGCTCCTCTGCCTGATCGATCTTTGAAACTGTCTCCCCACTCAAACTCTCAAGTTTCTCGAGCAAGTCAAAGAGTGATTCGTCTATAAGACACGCCCGACGAGTCAGTTAGCCATCAGCGGTAACGAGAACTCCAAATGAGCTTACTTCCTGGGGTCGTGCCCTACAACTCTTGGGTTAGTCACATGGCAGAACAGCGATACACGGTAGAAGAATGCGAACCTCTATGCCCTGCATCTTTAGGTGCGGGTTTATTAGGTGACTTTCGGAAGATGAGGTTCTCAGGATATATACAGGGCAGACGCGGAAGGTCTTCTACTCTAGGATGCCTGTCAATAATGTGACATGAGATGTGGGGTTAAGATCGTGAGGATGCCAAGAGAAATCACGTGCAGATTAGTGATTACAAGCAATTACTCGGCGTATTATGCCGAGTGATATGATGTGACGCGTAAAGTCCCGCGTATTGTGAGCCAATTATACTCAAAAAAAAAGAATGCTACGAAAGAAGGCGCTTTGAAAACTTACTATTGACTGGCTCACTGGATGGCAAGTGGTAGATGCGCAGCAGATTACTACACGGTACCAGAGTTAAAGAAAGATTCATAGTCAGTCAGTACTGCCCTGCACACCCTAAATCTTATTTCATGCTCATACATGTATGTAAGATTTCAAAACTACACGCTCTGAATGCAAATATGGCTTATTAACTATATGTAAGCTATAAAATTGTATATTTATCTGTTAATAATGTATACTGGTCACCAAAGCTTTCCCAGTCCTAAACCCACATGACAAGACGAGACATTTTCCAATCTTCGTCTCGGCTCGTCTCGCGCCCACTACTACGGTGCATATATATTTCTAAGGCTGTTACTAAAAGTTACCAACTGGACAAGAGTGACTTTTCGGAGAGCTTCAAATCTCAAATTTATCCTGTGCGAAGGCAACTTCAATTTGATGTACCGGGTGTTGAGGGTAAGTGATCAGAATCTGATAAGTGAATGCTGCGGTGAATACGTGTATTTGTCTTATCACTTTTTGCTACACTCTAGTACTGTAGTAAGTATTGTGTTCATGAAATATCACTCGTGTCACGTGAGCCGTGGAATGGAAGGACGAAAAACTATTAGACCAAGTCTAACTTTTTCAAATACTTATATATAAAGATACGTATAACTAGATCGCATCCCGACTATCAGTTGGATATATGAACCCACGTCGACGTGGAATTGATTCCATCCCGCTTGGTCTTGCAACATGTACAACGAAGAGATGCACGTAGCTGTAATAACCAGCTACAAGCAACACGAAAAGTGAAACTGGGTGAGTAATGAAAGAAATGATATCTCTAGGCTCGGCGTCTTCAGAAAAGGTTTTGTGCACACTCTTAGCGGTAGGCATGCCCGCATTTTCTGATCCCGTAGAAGTATCAACAGCTCCCGCCGCCGCCTCGTTAACCTGATGTGCTTTACTCCACTTTTGCCGAGCTACATCCCTACAATACTCTCTAAACCGCTTGCCACTTACATTATACTCCCCACGTGCTAACCATGAGGTCATTTCACACATCTCAGGAACCCAAACTTCGTTGTAGGCTAATATATATGGTTTGGGAACCCGTGTACCAGGCACATGATCGAGACAGGCTTCCTTAAGTGGTTGGTTCCCCACAGCCAACATGTCGCTATCGACCCAGGAGCGCGTAGAGTAGTGTTTGCAAAGATTTTGGAAAGTAGTACTGCTTATAGTCTCCGACTGGTAGTTGATTACATTGGTAATTGTGGCGGCCGATATGAGGACGCCTAGGGTAATCCGAAAAGATTTGTGTGGGAACCGAGAGAACGCCCAAAATAAAAAGTCCGTATTGAACCAACTGATCCTGGTATTATTCAAAGTCGTCTGCGACGTCTGACTACCCGATAAACTCTGATCAGTAGACATGGACTGTCGTGGCCTAGCACTTTGAGACCTAGTTCGGGACGCTACTGGCACAGACCTTAGTGCTGGTTTCGAGTTCTGCAACCCCTTCACCACAGCCGAAAGCTTCCTCTCGACTCCCCGCAGCTTTCTCTCGGCGCTACTAAGTCTCTTCGATACATTTTCTACCAACTCAACAGCAAAATCTCCACCCTCATACAGTAACAGGTGCATGTCTATCGGACCTAGCAAAGTTTGCAAGTTTTCGGCAGAAAACCTCGACACAAGTTCTCGTATGGGTTCTCCACAGGATGTATGAGAATAGATATACTCCAGCATTTCGACCACGCGAGCTGTCTGCTCTCCCACATCGATTCTTCCAAGCGCCCTTTGAAGGTTCTTGAAAGATATGACCCGAAGCTCTTCAACGTCGTAGCACGCCGCAAGTGTATATATCTTCGCGTGGGTCAATAGGAAATTCAACGCATTCCCAACCTCAGAGTTCTTTCGGCGCTGGGCCGTATTCGGGCTCATCTCTCCGTCCACGCTCTCGTCTCCCTCGCTCCTTTCTATCAGTCTAGACTCGGGTATCTGGTAGGACCCTATATACAGGAACTGGAGGAAGCGAGCAACCGTGTTTCCGTCCCAGTTTGATAGGTCAAGGCGCTTTACACCCTTTGTGGCGCGACGAAGAGTTCTAGATTTCGCAGCAAATATAGAGCTGTGGACATGGAAGCATTCCTGTCCAGATTCGGCGATTACTTCAATAATTTCTGAGGCGAGGAGCCCAAGATTTTGGGTAAAGCTATAGACGATGACTGTCAGTATCCAAATATTAATTTCGCTTAGTTATGACTAGGTGTAAGAGGTTACCTGGTAGTACCTATAGCCATGGCTCTTGAAGGGATGAGTATATTTAGGACTAGAGATCTGAGAGTGTCTATTCGGATTATTTCTCGTTATATGCGGCGCTTCAGACCTATCTCGCTTAGCGGATAGTTTATAATATGACTAAAGATTTCTTTGTTCTTTTGTCAATGATAGGGGGATCGAGATACCTCTGGCTACTCTGTTCAGCAATGCATACATGTACCTCAGGTCCACAAAGAAAACAACCCCGCGATCTACTATGACCCCGGGCTTTCTACTCAGGGGCTATTGTGGATATGAATACGGAAGTAGTTCTAATGATTCACGACTATAAAAATTAGCGATTCTTAATCCGTTATAATAATCATGTCATGATCAACCACGCAACTGAGGCTCGATAAGCTAGCTTATCTATTTATACATTTAGTCACGAATTATAAGGTATTGTTATAACCCTTAGTCCTCCCCAGAATTCAGCTTACCACACTAAAAAAATCCTTGGCCTACACGGTTCAGATGTTTCCTCCTCAAAAAGCTCCAGCTACCCCCTATTAAACGAGCTCAAGGACCTAAGGATCTCTATGGACCGTCTGATACAATCATTCGACCAGGAATATATATAGTGTAGTGTACCAATACCTAAATCTCGGGTTAATTTGATTACTTATACGTGGATGAAAAAGTTAGTTTATATAGTTACTGCATGCCCTGTGTTCATAGCCTGTTTCCTTAAAAGGTCTCTCTCACATTTCTTGATCCCAATCCTCTCCTTCGAGCTCAGCGGCCTTTTCATGATACAGAGCAAAGTTGTCCACAGAATCAAGCCCTAGAACCTCAAGCCTTAATTCAACTTTAATGAGTCTCCCTATCACGGTTCTCAGCATCTCAGTCGTCAAATCACCTCCCTTGCCCAGAAGTGTCATACATCTTCCCGATCCTTGATATCCAAGAGTCGAAATTTTTTTGCTACAAAGTCTAAAAAGAGCTTTCGTATTGGTTCATCAGAGTATTCACGGGTACATATGTTTTCGTAGATGTAATTCAAAACCTCTAGAACGTAGTTTATAATCGTCTCGGTCAGAGCCGTTTCTAATGTGTTCGTCGATAAACATGGTGGGATCCTAGAAAGTATATTTTCAATCCTTTCCAATGTTAACATCTGAAGCACTTCAACGTCTCGTACTGCGCAAGCGCGTACAAATTCGTGTGCAATAGTAGCACATTAATGTTCTCGCTCCTAAAAAGGTCCTTGTAGATGCAATCGAACGGCTCAGACGCACGATGATATTCACGAACATATCCTGGTTCAACTTCCTCTCAATTTGGTTCATGGATCTGATAGTCGTTCACATACATGGATTGCAGGAACCGGCCAACTGTATCGCCGTCCCAATCTGAGAAGTCGATCTTCTTCTCGGTGACCTCCTTCCATACACTGCCCATAACAGAGCGAAGATGATTTGATTTCGAGGTAAGGATGTCTTTATGAACGAAAAATCTCCTGCTCCCGGACTCGGCCAAAACTTCGATAATCTCAGAAGTCAGTAAGTTGAGGTCTATTATGAGGCTGCTTTTTATTGTTTATTAATTGTTAGTAATGACTAGGTCTGCAATTGTAGAACACTCGAGGGATATATACCTGTATACCTTTGAAGACATAGTTTTTAGTGTTCGTCAATTTTTATTTGTAGTGTGCAAGGAGCAGCTTATACTACTCCGTAAATTAAATTCATGAAGTTAAAGTACATGTAGGGGTTTATAACACGTATATACCGTACTTAGAGGATAAGTCTGCTTTATGCGGCCCACTCACCGGTTTCACGATAGTACATGTAGGTTCTAGCTTTAAAGTAGGCAACATACATGTATAGACGACTGCGATTAAAAGCTCTCCCTAACTGGTACCTGGCATGTGTGTTCAGTATAAACGTGGCGACCATGCAAATACATGTATCATGAAAATCAAGCTGAAGCCTAAGGGTGTGCAGGCACATACAGCAGTTTGCAATTAAAAAAACTAATACCACCTCTCTAGGGATTGTTTAATTTAATTTACTGTGAATTAACTCAAAAATATACAAGTAGATACGTGTAGTGAAGCTATCTCAATCTCCAAGATGCTTCCGCGGGTGGCCGGAGGCCAAACCACGCCTGTAAAGAAATGTACAACCTCCGGCTCAATACTCGACCACCCCGGCCGCACCTTGTTCTACCGGTATCTGAGTTCTATTTGCTTGGTCGGCGACCCCGGCGATATCTGTTTGTGGAATCTTCATGACGGAGGGGTCTACTTCATCCTCCGAACCCTCAATCCCTCCAGTATTCTTTGGCGCCTCGGCTCTATCAATGGGCCTCAAATCCTCCGTTCCAACCTCGAGGCCAGCTATCACCTCACCCTCCTTGCCCTCCTTGCCATCCTTGTCCCCCCCGTCCCCGGCCTTCCCGCCTTCAACATCTTGAATATCCTCAATCGCCACATCAGTCACTAGATCCAGATCTTCGTTGACGCTTGGATCATCACCCATCAACTCACTCTCCACGTTTTTGGCACCATTACTGCTCGCCTCAAACCTTTCAGTCCCGGTAGTAAATCCCTTCTTATCTTCTAAGGAACCTTCCGCGAGGCTATCCTGCACTACTGCACTTGTATCTTCAATACCACCACACTCTTCCTCCTCCTCCTCCTCCTCCTCCTCCTCCTCCACCACCTCGTTTTGTGGGATGGGTTGCTCCTTGTTGACCATGTGGCAGACCTTCAACTCAGTCGTCCTGTCTTTAAGATCTTCGCTAGTTTCGCCCTTGTCAACCACAACTACCAGAGATTCAGCGCTTGGAGCATCCAACCGCGGCGCTTCCTCAACATGTAGCACTTTCAAGCCGCTTTCAATATCTCCATTTCTCCTGCCTCCCCTCTCAACCCTCTCGAGTATAGTAGCCATGTTCCCGCCAAAGCCATTTTCAGACCCACATTGTCTCGTAACCATCTTGTGCATTAACTCAACCGCTAGATCACCGCCTCCACATAGCAGCAACTTCATCTCCCGGCCGCTCACAGCCTTGAGGGTTCTGAAGTTCCCCGCTACATATCCCACCACAAGCTCCCTCGCGGGCTCCTGGGGACTCGTACGAGAGTGGATGTACTGCAGTAGCTCTATCACTTTTTTGGCTGTCCTTTCTGATATAGAAATCAGGCCAAGTGCCGTTCTTAGCCGGCTCACTGCTAACGATTGCAATGCAGTAAGATTCTTGTAACGTGCGAGTAGGTATAGTTTTGCGTGCACTAATAGCACACCCTCGCTTTCTGGGATAACCTCTAACTCAGAGCTCGGCTCAGGATGTCGGTAGTCCCCTGTATGGAGAAACTCTAGGAATCGTCCCATAGTATTGCCATCCCAGTCGGGTTTCTCGACAACCGGCTCTTCCCACACATGCGGTTTTGATTCAATATCTTCATATATATTGAAGTCGCTTTTCTCATTGACCCTACTGAAGATGAGAACACTAGTACATATCTAGGCTGGGGGAATGTGGCCGGGGGGGGGGGTATCTGAGTACATACCTGGAGGATAATAGTGGAGGCGGCGTGGCGCAATGTGGAGGTGTCAGGAGAGGGGGGTAAGGCTGAGACATGCCAGCTGGGAGGGAGAAGTCCTGGACGGGTTACTCTATCACTATCTACTCTACTTCGGGTGAGAATTGGGCGGGACGGTAGCCGTGGGATTCATTCTGGGTACATAACGCGCGTGCCTGCTGAGTTTCTCGTTGGGTGAAGGATCGAAGTGCCTGGCGTACACGTAGGTGATCCGCCAAGATGTTACACAAAAACGGTTATTGCCTCTGTCCTACCTGGGGAGGTGGGGTCCTTGTCTTCCCAGGTTTGTAGCGTACCCGGCCGGAGAAGGCCACCGTACATACCCGCGGTAGGTACTCTTGATGTGCTTGCTGTTCAATAATAGGCAATCCCTGATTTGGCCACGCAGAGTAGGTACATCTGAGTATTGTCAGCGTTCATACGATACATGAATATCAAATGAGGGGGCAGCATTGACGCATTAAGTAAAATTTATACCCAGTCATCAATGCGATAGCTTCATTCTCATCTGGGCATATATAAACACCCACTTCGAAAAGAAAATATAGTGTTTCACGCATGAAAGTACATACAAGACAAATCGCGGTATTATATATCTAATGTAGAGGTTCTTTTTTTTTTTTTATATCATGTAGTTTTATTGTTTCTAGGCACAAAACTCTGCATGCAGTCATAGACTATGGCATAATCTCATGTAGAGGTAACCTTCCCGATTTATATATCGTTTCATGGTTCTTGGTCACTTTAGTTTGGTATTTGTGGTTGGTTGTTCTTGGCCGCCTATATTATCATGATCAAGGGTTCGTAAATGCTATCATTATCACTAGCTAGAAATCCAGACACCAAAGAAAAAAACTTGGAGCGCCCAGATCCGCACCTCTCCCAGGGGGTTGCAGAAGGGGCCCAAAAAGCGAAGGGGTAGTCTATATATAGCCACATCTTTACTGAAGAACAAAAATCAAAGCTCTCTCTCGTGTGCCATGTCGAGCCATCGGTAAAAATACCGTAAAGAAAACTCCAGAGAAGACAATGAAAAAAGAAAAGGAAATATGATGAGTATACATTAATCATTAGGAGTTCATCATTCGTCCCATACATGCGGATACGAATCTTATGCTCCCTCCAGTTTGTCAAAAACACGAAGTCTAGGACAAGAAGGCGTATGGCTAGTGCCTTGACAGTATAATTCAAGCGATTTCCCTTCAAGCTCCAAGTAATAACTTCCAGCCCACAGCCGTTGTTCATAGAACTTACAAATATCACCCCGCCTGCCAGTAGAAATTACAGGCCGTAAGACTCTAGAACCACGCGAGTTCTCATTACATGCGACTTTTAGAGATTTCCCTTCAACCCTGACAAAGTCGCTCCCAGCCCAGTTATAGGTTTCATAATATTGGCATAGGTTTTGGAAAAACTTCCCGTCGATGGTTTGACTTTGAGATTGCGAGAATGTTTGAACCGATGGGGCGTAGGTGGCCTTATGAGTTGACAGGACGATCATACCGATCACGAATAAAGTTGTTGTTGCAATAGAAAGAAGTGTACGCAAGGAAAGGTTCCAGCTGGAAATAAAGAATATCAACTTATCCAAATTGTCCCATGGATGTTTCTTCGGTCCAGATATCGAGATATCGTCTCTACTATGACGAACTGGCAGCGGAGTCGTGGATTTCTTTGCTCTTTCCTCCCCGAGCAACCTCTCCATGTTCGCAACCTTGTCGTTTAACTTTGATATCTCTCGTAGCTTGATGGCCTCGGACCTCTTGGCGGCTTCCAGTCGTAGAGATGCCTCGTTCGACTCTCGCACCTTGTCCGTCAGTTTCTCCTCCCTCTTCTTGGCAGCCTCCAACCGGCGTTCTGCTGCGTTTAGATCTTGTGTAATTTCCGAGTTATTCTCCTCTGACTTTTGTAGCTTCCTTTCTACTTCGTTCATGAGCTTCTGCATCTCCGATTTAACTTCCACGAGCTCTCCTCCGGCATTGCAGAGCCTTGCTGCAACTTTCTCCATCAAGTCGACAGCAAAATCGCCTCCCTTGCCCATCAATACCCTTATCTCCCCGTGTCCTTTGAGCTTTTCGAAATGCGCTGCTGCAAATGTTGACACAACATCCCGTATCGGATCATTAGAGCGTTTTTGAGTGTCGGCATCACAATCCGTAGAAGGGCAAGTTGGAAAATAGACATAGTCCAACATCTCAATAATATGGCGCAGCAACTTTGGGTCCTTATCAAGAAGACTTCCATCGATGGCTTTTAGTACTTCTTTAAGCCTCTCTAAAGCCATCACTCGAAGTGCCTCTATCCTTTTATGCTGCGCAAGGGTATAAACCTTAGGATGGGCCTTTAACATTTCCCCCAATTGATCTGGGTCCGACGGCACAACTCCATTCTTGGTCTCCTTCTCTTCTACTCCCTCTTTTGGTGGAGAAATCTCATAAGTCTCGCTATACAAAAAATCGACGAGTCTCGCAACCGTATTACCGTCCCAGTCCAAGAGTTCGATTTTCTCCTCAAGTTCGGCACCCGTGATAGCACTCGGCAGGAGCTGCCATTTCGCGAGCAGCTTGCTGTTCACAAAAAAGCTGATATCACGGGATTTGACCTCGACCGTTTTTGAGGAGAGGTAGCTGTAGCTGGGTTGTTAGCTGGAGTTATGTTCATTCTTCGTTCCGAGGAGATACTTACCTGGAAATATTCATAGGCATTATGGTATCGAAGTCTGTCTCTACCTCGCATTCCAAAAAATCCGGAGGGCGGGAGGGAGAAATGGGGAGTTTTTTTTTTTCCACGTTCCAATCGTGAGAGGACAGACAGCGCATAGTTAACCCTAACCCTTTATGCGGGTGTTGTACGGAGGTGTTTCAGGATGAGGCTCGAACCAGGATAATATCATGCTATTTACTGAGGTGGGCCTGCGGGGAGATGAATATGTAGGAAATGGAGAGATCTAGCAAAAGGAAAAAAAAAATGAGACAGAATCTATATGGGATATATACTTTACCAATGGCCGTATTAGAGTTACGGTGGTATCCAATCTAATATTGCGTATCATGTGATGTGATGACCTAATGTGCCTTGTCACCTAACCCTAGGGCAAAGGCATGTGTATGAGAGGGTCCTCGGAGTTGGGAGATAAGAAGGCTGGAACTGAGGTAAAAGGTGAGATAAAAAGAATTTTGATTGGTAGCTGGTAGTCTAGGCCCCGGTGTGAATAAAATATTATCGTGACTTGGACTGCCATGCCACATGTGGTGATAGGCATACCATGGCAAAATGCGCATGCTAGTACCCCACTGGACCACATATACAGTGTAGCGTCTTCTTGTCCGAAAGCCTTGTTTGTGATGAGAATGATCGATCGAACCATAAGATCATGAATTCCAGGATCCTCTGACTCATATATACTTGTTTCACAGCTCATGACAGCGTCCTGAACAGTACCAATTTGTAGCATGTATGGCCTATAATCATGACACTAGAGATCTCCTTTGATAAATGATTCGGTCTTCATGTCTAGCGTCTGTTTGAAAGTTTATGGAGTCGCTAGCCTGTATTGTGCGCTCTAAACCCTTCCATATGATAGCTATCCTGAGAAGAAAGAAAATTTGAACCGGTGGAGAACCTGACACCGGATGTGCACACCTACACAGATAATAAATTTCAGCGATAAACCAACACCGCAGCGGGTCCGTTGTTGAGGGATGTTTTAAGTATTAGAATTTATGATGCGAGTAAAATATAATTGAACGAGTACGTCCTCACACTTGTACGTAATTAACTCAGGCTCACTGTATGTTTGCGATATTTTTCCGGGACTATAGACTGTTGAGCGTACATGTGGTATATATCAACTGTTGTCCCATCTGTATATGAGCAACCAGCTTAAGCCAGGAATATGACTTTCACTCATTTTTCAACAGAATGAAAGAGACCAGCAGCCAGCGGCGACTCAGTTGAAGTATATTGCTATAAATAGGTTCCGCCCAAACAAGGCACGACTATTTCATACTTTTAGCTGTCAGTTTGATTCCTTTGCAAATTTGATGGAATCCTGAAACGTTCTGTTGGTGACAATGAGGAGGAGCACGAACCGCTTACATACAGTATCAGAAATGGGGGTAAATCTGATACCGCATCAGTACGGTATTGTGAGAATGTGCCGCTTTATCTCCGTATTTCAACGAAGTATACGGCAGTGGTACGGCAGTGGTACGGCAGTGGTACGGCATTGCCAATGACTGCGGTAGTCGTTTTATCCATGTTTCTGTCACTGTATATCTATGTGTTCGAATTCATGATAATCACAGTAGCTCGATTTTCAACACCAACGACGGGTATGGAATCTCAGACTCAGCTTGAACTGCTGGATTACAATCAGTACAGCTTAGAAACCGGATATATAAATGATTCAAAAGTGAATACATTCACTTTGTAGATCGATAGCTGGCCGAGAATTGGAACAGGACTGATTAATTCACACTGCTTTGTCCTTAACTACACTTATCGTTTTGTGTCCTCGACTAGCTGCGTGAACGTGGCGCAGGAGACGAGAATATGCCAGAGAGCGGTCTTTAATTTAGCTCACTCTGTCTTGGTAATCCCGGTCTTGGCAAACTTCATATCCAAGGTATGGGGGGTTTGCTTTAAAGTATTCCCGCCTTGTGGGCCGTGTGGGCTTTCCGAGCCTCTCCGGTCTCGAGGTGTTGTCCCAAAGCAAAGTTGGAAAGTCGCTCGGCGAGTCATACACGTATAGACTACACGCGTACGGACGGCACTGTTGCCTCTGGCCCAATCGCCTACATACCCGGCTTAATTGCATACTTGTACTGGTACTAGCTACATACGCGCGTGACTACAAGTACACCTGTCCTTAACTGCAGCTGGTGTTCCCTATAGAGCTTGTGTTTCCTGTATATTGGCGTGCGAACTCTACTTCTTCTATTTACCCCTTGGAATTATATTCTATAGTTATAAATTAAACCCCTGCCCATCTGCGCGCCCGTTGGCACCGATATACTTCATTTATATTGACTGCTGCCAATATTATGGCCAGCCCGCCTCCCGAACTCCGCCCTTTGGTCCCCAACCGTACATGTACAGCTACAAGATTATATCTCTTGCTAGTCCTCTCCCATCAACAAGGAACATCTATATGGCAGACTGAGATCTCAGCCATATTTCCTGTAGTCACGTGACAGAATGACTTCAGCGAGTGATACTTCATGACTGATGCACCACAACTGATCGATTGATTATATCATTTCTCGTATGCAACCCGAAGGTCATGACGAGACTAACCAATACAAAATGAAGATATAAAAACAAATTAAACCGATGCACCATGAAAGTAAGCCGGACCATCTGAAAAGAACGCATTGGTGATACCGGTTCTCGTTGCTAACGCCTTAGTTCTGCCTCTTCTTATATTTAGTCTTCCTTAAAGTTAGTTTACCTCTCGCCCCACCCGATGTCCGAACTTTTCACACTAGTAGTATGTATTAGCTTCACCAATCTCCATATTAATCTACTCATTATTGTTACTTTCAATCCCAGGCTTGCAGTTTGTAAGAATTCTTTTATTGAATAGGAACGAACATATAAGGTAGGCTAGGATAACTGCGTGATGGAGCTCTACGCAATATTATCACCACCGCGCCACTAAGGCTGGGGAAATACACGGTCCAATCAGTTGCAACTTCCTCGCCATCTTGACAAGTAACCATAGAAGAAAAAAACAAATATCAGAGCTGGAACGCACCTGGCCGATCCACCGATAAAAATATTCTATCCAAGTGCTATCCCTCTTTGGACGAATACCAGAGTGGCGAAATTCGTCAATGTCTGGTGCGTATGCTAGATCGACTACATGTAGTACTTACTCTTATTGTTCATTGCGCTGGAAGTGTTCACCAGTACAGTCGAATCGCCCTATAAATGTCCAAAAGTGGTGGAAAGTCATATCCTTATAGGGCGTATCTACTATCTATAGCTGGGTGACAAAAGCAACCGTGATTTTACATTGCAGCCAGATTTTGTATGGGAATGCGTCTTGAAACAAGTATAACTCCACAACCATAATAGATATGAAATAAAAGATTATTTAATTAGAAATCCTTAGATTGATAGAACCTATCCCTTGGGTATAAATCTCGAGAACCGATTTTGGGAGTTGGTCGATTTGGGCAATTTTTGCTGGTTGCTACGCAAAATCACGGTTACTTTTGTCACCTGGCAATACTATAAAAGAATATGTACCGAAAAAGTTTCGTTAAAATCTAACCCTGCACCTGAATGGCGCCCTCACCATTGAATGGAATACAGCAGGCATCTCATAGCTATGAGACGGAGTAACCTTGGCTCATAAAATCACTTTATCTCTCTAGATCTTATCTGCAATCGATGACGGGAGAGAGATCTTTAGAATCTTCTCTGACAGCTACTGTACGAGCAACAGGCCGGTAGCATAGGGGATAATGCGCTTCCATCGGGTAGCCGTAGGAACAATTGCCGGAAGAGATGGGGTTCGATCCCCCCCGGCGCTGTTGAATAATTTCTTCTAAGAAATAGTTTTTGATTTTTTTGCTGCATACGAGGGATGTAGATAGGTAAAGCAAGAGATCTAGAAGTATTAATTGCAATAAATTACATATAGTAATTTCCTTCTTGCTGTATATAATTTCTTATTCCGATAGTGAAGTATTCTCGTATTATAAAAAGAAAAATTTCGCTAAACTGGCCCAACGCTACATCTGGCCCTGTTCAATATTGGGGGCCGAGAGCTAGAGGGAGACCAAATTATAAGCGAGAGGCTAAGATAATCAAGCTGGCAATAAATTTTGAAAAATGAATTTACAAAAAGTGATGCTGTGGCCATATACCCTCCACGGGGGTATGGGCCCAACTAGCATGAGCTCCATTTCCCGCTACCAATACATGTATACATAAAAGGTTCCGCTAAAACCTAACCTTTATCTGGCGCTCTTACCATTGAATGAAACTTATACGCCGCCCACCTAAAGCACACGTTGAAACGGAGTGACCTTGGCTCATAGCCCTCTTTATCTATCTAGATCTTATCTGCAATCAATGGCTTTACAATCCGCTCCAGCAACCAGTTATAACCAACAGTTCCGCCCAATCGGATATCGATAGGACGTCCGCCAGAGGAGGTGTGGTTCGGTTACCTCTGAGGACTGTTGCATTTCTGTTTAGAAATTTTTTTTTTTTTTTTTTTTTTTGCTGCGGCGATGTATTTTTTTAGGTAGATAAAGCAAGAGAGCGAGACATGTTAATTGCAATGAATTATATTAAATATAGTAAAGTACATGTACTTTTTGTACTCTAGTGGTATAGAGTGCTCGTCCACACCGTGTGGTATCAGAAGGTTCTGGGTTCCATCCAGGGCCGGGTGGGAGCAGTACATACATGTAACTAGGATAAGAGAAACAAAACCCTGTGGCAAATTTCCGACCACTTTGAGTTGATTTGCAGGCGGGGTGTCTTGTATTGTGCATGCGAGTGAGATTCTATGATTGGAATGCTACTAATTGATAGGTAATTAATTGTGATTGGAATACCAAGGCCCGCCTAGATTTCTTAGTCATAACACAAAATGCTAAACCAAACACCAACCTAAATATAAACAGATTAACTAGGTATCGGGTGCGCTTTGCTGGGAGTGGTGGGCGCTGTGCAAGGGCGCAAGGGCGCAAGGGCGCGGTGGCGACCGAATATAGTAGAATATTCTGGAGTGGTGTGGGGAGGGTTAGGGGTTGATGGGAGCGAGGATATATTAAAGGGTGCGACCGCCCACTTTCTTTCAAGATTAACTTGCACCCCGACCGTGAAAGGTGAGTGTTGTAGGTATTACATAAGCTGACAGGGGTAGAGGGAGAAAAAAGGGCGTATATACGCCCTTTTTTCTCCCTCTACCCCTGTCAGCTTATGTAATCGCTTATGTAATTGCTTAGTAATGCTAATCAAATAAGTTAAAACCGTATTTCGATAGCAAAACCGTATTTTCGATACCAAAACCGTATTTCCGATACAAAAACCGTATTTCCGACACCAAAACCGTATTCCCGATACCAAAACCGTATTCCCGATACCAAAACCGTATTTTCAATAACGGAAAAAAATTTACGAAAAATAAAAAAAAATTTAATTAGTTATGGTATTATTTCTATAATTCTTTGTTTTAATTTTTATAACTAACTTTTATTATAGACATTTCAACCTCATTACGGGAGTCTTATGAATAATCAAATTAAGTTCCGGCTTAATGAACCGATTCTTCATAAGGCTGGTACGAAGCTTTCCGTCACTCAATTGCAAGAGATTAAGGCAAAGATGTCTCAATGCACTTTCAATCGCGACGATTACCCTGATCTTCACGTTGCAGTCAGTGGTCAACCTCATTATCGTCAGTTACTCGATGAGAACAACCAAGTTATCGGTGAATGGTTTAAGTTTATGTATCTTGACCAAAGCGATATCGGCAAATTCAATGATCCTGAAATTCTCCGTCTTCATCAAAATCTTGCTGAACACGTACGTGGCAAATTCGATTACGCGTTGCAGAAATGGGAGTCAGGTTTCCAGAAATTCGATCATCATATGACCGGTAACCGTGATGGTCCGAATACCGCCTATACGACCGGAATTGCTCTTCAAGGTTCTTACGCGGCGGCCCCTGCGGTACATTCAACTTGGGAGAAAACTAAAGATTCGGAATATATGCAATGGTTGGCCAAATTCCATTGTATCCTCGGCGATCTTGGTGGACGTGTCATGTCAACTGTTATGGACGACGTTTATAATCAATTCACTAAGGAAAGACATGAACGTTACAATCCACCATTTTTTGGGCCATCTACTGGTTCACAAACCTATTTCACTTCATCGCAAATCAACCGTAGTACCAACACGATGAGATTGCAAGGTACAGCTGCTGGTGTTCATTGTGATTCTACGGACGATGAACTTTCCTTTTCGCTTGCACTTAACGTGTCAGTCATCAAAGATTCAACTTCGCTTGGTTACTTCTGGTTCCCTGATTTCGATACATTGATTCCCGTCAAACCAATGTCGATGATTATTTTTCAGGGTATCGAAGAACACACCGGAATGCCGATGGTTCTAGATAACAACGATTCCTCATCTCTCCCTTGCGGATATACTGAAGATACCCGTTTCAACATTATCTGTTATCCTAAAGGACCGACAATGAAGAATACTACTTATCGGAATTACGGTAGTTTTGTCAATTCTGCACCGGAACGGCCTAACCTAATGGCTGATGCCCTTCCTAGTTTTGGTGGAAAGGAAAACTATGATACTTGGAGAGCTAGAGAGATTTTAAGAGTTAATATTCCGAATATCAAGAATATTTTTGGAAGACACATTGCAATCAATATTGACGCTGAAGCTCAATATAATTCGATTTCTTTTCCGGATAATGATTCGCAGTATACACTCACTCCCTATTCCGTTTCTCCAAACAATTCCGTCGAATTGGAAAATCTTACACCACCGGAATCACAAGCGGTAATCGCTAAACAGCTTACCCCATATCAAACTATTAATATCAATGATATTTTTGATAATACTTTGTTTGATACCTTTATCGACAAGCTCCGTCAGAAAATCAACTTTGTACGTCATACGCCTTTCAAATCATCCATCACCGAATCAAATTCGAACGCGATAACATCATTGATAACTAATTCCAATATTGAAAATCCGATTTATGAGAGTTTGATTGATATTGCGGAAGATGAAAACGATATCGATGATATTTCTGATATTCAAACCTTTGAATATAATTCAGAAAAGAATCAAAATCTTTTCGATCATATCGGTGTCGACAATGATAACGATAATGAACCTCTAGTACGTACGATTGATGATATCAATTCCTTCCAACTATTTGAATTAGGAGTTATCGAGAACCATATTGCGACGCTCAAGGGAACATCATTAATGACGAAGAATCAACATACGTTCTCAATGCGCGAAGAATTAAAAGATCAAATCCCGTTCCTTCCACCTGTTGATCAAACCGAAATACAAAATGTATCTCGTTTCATTCCTGATTTCTCAACTACATATTCCCGTATTTTGGGAACGCTCTCAAAAAAATCAAGTCAGCTAGATCCTCTTAAAGGTGGTTTGTTGGCAGCTCAAGGCAAATTAGCATTCGAACATATGGAAATGTTAGAACATGATTTTTTTGATCTGTTCAACCCGACATCAAATATCATTCTTCCGCCAAACAGCATTGCCTATCGTTTACGGAAAAAAATTGATGAATTAGTAGATCCCTTAAATGGATCGAATGAACCTGGCCTAAAGCTTTTCTTTTCAGCAGAGGAGATTTTAGGTGATAAACATCATAGCGGTTGGCATCTTGATGTTAATCTCGAACCTGATACACGGCATACTTCTTCACCTGCATTAAAAGCGAAAGCTTTCCGCAATGTACTTTGGGGCATGACAGTTTTTTATCCTGTACATGCATTTATCGGATCATTCAAAAGAACTCGTTTGTCTGATATTACTGATGTTACGTTACCATTGGTAACTAATCGTCACTATCACTACCGACATATTTTTGGGAGAATTGAATTTCTCAAAAGAATTTGCAATGCATTATCACAAATTGGTATATTTTTTTTTCATATTTTAAATATTAATTTCATACTAAATGTCAACAGATAACGACGAAAAATCGACTCCGGAATTATATTTGTTTGTACCACAAGTATATGACTTTGCATTTCGATACGATGTTAGTAATAAGTTATCGAGCCAAACTATGGATAATATTGTATCCATAATTACCGAGGAGGAAAGTATTAGGCCAGCAATTACCGCTATAAATCAGATTGCCAAAATTCTTTCCGAACATTTTGACATTGATCAATTATTACAACGACGTGGCACCAAAACCTTTAATTCTTTTCTTGGTACCAATACACGTAAGTTAAAAATATTATCGATAAGTTGTACATTTATACTAAATTTTTGATAGAACAAAATCGGGCTGCTCAACGTTCAACAATCTTACATGTCGGAAATTCTAACAAACGTAAACGGTTTGAAAATCCTAAATCGAGAAATGTTAAGCGATCTAAAATCGAACGCATCAGACCATTTCAACAACCATTCGAACTTAACGACCTTGATCTTGATCGATTGAATGAAAGCCTTGAACCAATTATTGGTAATCAGGCAGCGATTGACGGAGCGTGTTCTCTTCTGAAATGTTTTTATTCAGTACTCAAAATCAACGAAATCTGTATTGAGATTCTGAATCACCCATCGCCGATACAATATTTTGTAACGAAAACCTCAAATATTACAAATTCGACAACTTTGAGATATGTTCGTGCAGCATGTGGAAAGGACGTCGATAAGGATAAGCTTTTATATGCCAGAACTCAAGGTCCAAGCTTTAAAAGTTTGATGAAAAGCTTATCTGTCAATAATTTCAATCCTGATGGCTCACCGATACTTCCGGAATTTGGTGATATCAACAACTTGACGACTTTAGTTCGAAAGTGTCTTGTTTCCAGAACGGCTTGGGGATTTCCATCCTTGATTGAACTCTACAGTGATTGTGAAAATTCTGAAGATTTTCTTACTGCTCAAACGACTTGGAAAGATCAGCAAAGAGAATTGAATCCAAATACCGAACCAAGCTTTCTGATGCTTCGAGTCTACGGACAGTTGAGTATGAAGGCAACTCAAGTTGATCAGGTACTCACATCACTTTCCCGAAAGTCGAACAGTCTTGCAACTTTTATTCATGGCTATATTTCTCGGCAAGAACAACCGACTTTCAAAAGTGTAATGGATTTGATTGTATCATGGAAAATCTCTTACTTTGCGTCAGGTGGTTTATTGCCTTGGATGGTTACAGGAGATTTGTTTGAGATTGGTATTTGTCAACCACCGACAATCAACGATTTGGCGAATAAAATATTACATGCTGTATCGGAGGGACCTCGCGGTGGTCTCAAAATGGCGTATGTACAACTACCGACTGCTCGTGCAGAATATCCTGAAGATTCCAGAGAACTCGTACCGATATTGGACAGTGTTCTCAATGCGATGAAAGAGAATTGGTCAGATCTTTGGAGGAACATCAGCGGCCATCGACGAGAATTGACATTTTTAGACTTTGAACATATTTTATGCAAAGTTTCAAGAATGAATCAATTTATTTCTAATAATTAGTTTAGATTTTATTTTCTATTCGTTATGTTTTTCAAGTTACTAAATTGTTATTTTCTATCCGTTATTGTTTTCAAGTTCCTAATTATCGTTTTCTATTTTATTTTATCGATACAACGTTCATTTCTTAAGTATATGATCTATTTCAATCATTCAATATTTGTTTTCATTTGTTTTATATACGCTTATTTCTTATGTTTTTCAATGATTTTAACATTTCTTAAATTTGTCGGTTGTGTTTAATGATAAAATAAATAAAATTGTTTTTGTTTTATCCCCGTCCTTAATCAAGGCTAACGATATACTCAACGACTTATATTAAGCTAATATTTTGGAATATCGATTAACTTAATACTGACTGACAAGATACACGAATAAGTAACCGGATGCAAAATAAGTTCCGGGATTGCCGAATCAAAACAAGGAAGTAAAATTAGTTATGAAATTTTACAAGGAATTATGGAAATGTTTTGCAAATAATTTGATAACCTGACTGCAGATCAACCACTAAGAAGCAACGAATATCGAAAATTTGAAATTCTAGTTGCAGGTATTCGTCCGATTTTGATATATCAAAAAGTTTTAAAAAAAAAAAAAACTGACTAACAGGATGCTCGAATAAGTTCCAGGATGCAAAATAAGTTCCAGGATGCAAAATAAGTTCCAGGATGTCCGTATATACTACAGGATGCAAAATTAGTTCCAGAATTTAACGCGGAGTTATATGCATGACCGGAGCACACCAGTTCACAACCTGACTGCAGATCAATCCCTAACAGGCAATGAATACCGAGAATTTGATATTCCAATCTCAGGTAATCGCCCGATCTTAATACGTCACAATTTCTAAAAAAAAAAGACTAAATTGACACACAGGATGCACGAATAGGTTCTGGGATGCAATATAAGTTCCAGGATGCACGAATGGACTGCGGGATGGAAAATTCGTCCCAAGACTTAACGTGGAGTTATATGCATGGTCGGAGCACACCAGTTCACAACCGGACTGCAGATCAATCCCTAACAGGCAATGAATACCGAGAATTTGATATTCCAATCTCAGGTAATCGCCCGATCTTAATACGTCACAATTTCTAAAATAAGAAGACTAAATTGACACACAGGATGCACGAATAGGTTCTGGGATGCAATATAAGTTCCAGGATGCACGAATGGACTGTGGGATGGAAAATTCATCCCAAGACTTAACGCGGAGTTATATGCATAATCGGAGCACACCAGTTCACAACCGGACTGCAGATCAATCCCTAACAGGCAGTGAATACCGAGAATTTTATATTCTAGTCTCAGGTAATCGCCCGATGTTAATACGTCACAATTTTTAAAAAAAAAAGACTAAATTGACACACAGGATGCACGGATAGGTTCTGGGATGCAATATAAGTTCCAGGATGCACGAATAAACTGCGGGATAGAAAATTCGTCCCAAGACTTAACGCGGAGTTATATGCATGATCGGAGCACACCAGTTCACAACCGGACTGCAGATCAATCCCTAACATGCAGTGAATACCGAGAATTTTATATTCTAGTCTCAGGTAATCGCCCGATTTTCATATATAACAAATTTTTAAAAAAAAGACAAAACTGACTCACAGCATGCAAGAATAGGTTCTAGGATGCAATATAAGTTCCAGGATGCACGAATAAGATACAGGATGCAAAAAAATTTAAATGTTCCCTAAAACCTTCTATAATACGGTATATTATAATAGTTTATATATCGCATTTCATGATTTTAATATATATATACCTATTGAGTCAGTACTGTTTGCTAAATCACAAGATATTGAAGCGAATTTTGAATTTTTCATATTCAAAGATGTCAAACCATAATGAACGATCATCATCCCGCAAAGTTAATAATACAAACAATCGAACTTATAATATACAACATCCTCCAATATTTGCGAACCCTCCCTTGACGGAAAAAACTGATGAAGATTTAGAAGATACTGCAAGCGATCAGAGTTCTGAATTCGAACCACCAATTCCACCCAGAGTCAAAGAAAAACGTACATCAGAAAGTAGTCGACATCGATCGAACATTTCTACCATAAAATCAAAACACAAATCAACAGAAAATCAAACTTCCACTTCTAAATCAAAACCTACAGACTCGGATCACAAAAGACTTTCTTCATTATCTGATCGGTTAAATGCTCTTGATAATCATACTACACGAAAACGTTCATCGCATCAAAAATCAGATAATTATCAAGAATTTTCTTCATCCTCTATCGCAACGAGTAAGGTATTTTAATTCAATATCTATTATTGAAACTCAAAATTGATGTTTATTTTAGGATATTATTCGAGCCACCGATAATGTTCCTACAATTATATCGTCAAGGAGATCTACAACATTTAGTCCAATTTTAGGAGTCAGGCAGGATTTTTCAATAAACCCTGTTCCGGAAGAATTGCTGGAAAAAAATTCTGTCAATATTGTAGCAAACGGTTCAATGGAAAAAAATCAGGCGGTGGAAACCGAATATGAACCAAGCGAAGCAACAACAGAAATGTCGGTTAAACAAAAACGGAAAGCCAAAGATCAATCTCCAGAGATCCAACGTTTGCTTGAAATATGCGGAGATTGGATTGAAACCAACACAATACTTATGGACCCGTTTCCATATCCTGACAGATTGAATCTTATGATTACAAAGTTTTGGAATGAGACATTGGCAAGTGAAGTTATTAAAGTTCCGATGAACACTGTTCTTAATCTAATAGTAAGTAACAATTATATGAATTCAGTTTGGTAGTATTAATAAGTTTATAGTTACGGAATACACATTCAAATGTGAAATCTCATCTTCTTGATAAAACCAAAAAGCTTTTTGCAAAAGGTCTTCTGTATTCGTTTGCAAATTATGATTCGATATCAGAAAAATCAGAAAGAATTCTATATTTGTTGGAGAACGACAGATTTATAACCGATGCAGAAAATTACGAGGTTTGGAATCTGATTATCTTAAATTATTATTAAAGATATATTAATATAAATAGACCGCTAGATGTCACTTCTGGGCACCTGAAATAGTATCGGTCATTCACGATAACTATTTTTCAGGAATAAAGACTAAAGGTGTTAAAGACTCGGAGTTTCTTGAGAAAATAACACCGATTTTTATCTTTTTAGTAACGACAGCAATTTGGCACACATTGATAGCGTGGAAGACTGGCGTATATATCAAACCGAAAAATTTCACATGTTCTAATCCAGATGTTATAAGTAAAAACTCTTACTGTTATAAGTTTTGAATTTCATTTACTAACAATTATAATCAAAAGATACATTTTTACGAATGAAGAATACTTGGTTTCGTAGAAGTATAGCAAATCAAAACGGATTGCTCGAAATGATACGTGATTCAATCAAAGATAAAGTAAGTAGAAATCTTTCAATATTGAAAGTAACTAACTTATTAATTTATAGATTGAATCGATACGAAATAATCAAAATGAAGTTAGTATACAAGGCTTCAGCGAAGATGATGACTTGTTGGCTCAAGCATTGTTAAACCGAAAACGTGCACGAATTACACAAAATCAAGTATAGTTCAAAATATTTGTTTTCTATTTCTTCATACTTTTGATTTTCTTTACCGTTTTTGTGTATTTTTGTTTTGTTTTACAATTTGTATTTGGGTATCTCCTAACCTTTTGAAACACTTTTTGTTTTTAAGAATTAACGAAATTACAGAATTACGAGCGTTAAATTCAAATTATTTCAAACCAATACTATTTGCTCCAGCCTTTTATTCTCATTAACAGCTTCCAAATCAACTTTCACTGCTTTCGGATCAAACGAAATAATTTCAACATCCTCTAATCTTTTTGCTCGACTTAACGCTGTATACGCTTGACCATTGGAAAAAATCGTTTCATCGAAATTGACGCAAATATGATTTAAAGACAATCCTTGTGTTTTGTGTACTGTAAGGGCGAAGGCATTTTGAATCGGCAGTTGGGTCCGAGTATATCTGATTCCATTGCTCCGAAAATACGATGTTTCGGGTTTGACCTCTACCATCTATTTCAAATTAGAACTCGAGTATTGTTTGCTTTATGGATATGGAGATAAATACTTACCCTAATTCCGTCAGAGGTCGGGAATGCAATGTTCGGGTATCCATCTTCCATTAAAGATACAATAACACCGCATGTACCGTTAGATATACCCAGCGATATCATAGTGTTATTCAAAAACATCACTTTAGCACCACTTACACAAACAACTTTCGAAGGTAAATTGGTGCCGGTTTTAAATGTTCGTGAGTTTTCCATCGAGTCCAAAACCTGTCCTTCTTCCCGATCAATTGCGATATGAGTTTTACTTTCTGTTATTGGTAGAGTATCCAAAAATAAATCGTTGATTTGGTTTGCTGTTTTGCGAAAAGATACGGGAAATGTTGTCAAATATGTATTGCGGTTGATATTGTAAGATTCAACTTTCTTTTGTAATATTTGGGAACTTTCGACAGAAATTTTTCCGAACCTTAAATCGTTTAAAAGGTTGAAAAATTTCAGATCGCTTTGCTGACGCATTGCTTCCTTTAGGAAAATTGGAATGAACAAACGCCATATGGAGGAATAAAAAACTTTGTGACCAGATACAGGTGATAGCTGGAGGAGATCTCCCAAACAAATAACATGTATGTTTCCAAATGGTTTAACTGAATCATGAATACGTGCAAACAATCCGGAGACAAAATCAAAAAGTTCGGAACTGACCATTGATACTTCATCAATAATTATAATTTGAATTTGTCTTAACTGATTTAGCCTTTCGGGTAGTTGTGGAATATTTGAACAAAAGTTCGAACTGTTTTCGCCTCCTCCGATGTTCAAAGCGGAATGTATTGTTTGTCCCGATATATTATTCGCTGCAATTCCGGTAGAAGCGAGTTTTAAATATTGAAACCGACGAGTTTTAAACCAATTTTCCAAACAATTCAGAAGAAATGACTTTCCAG